AGGCAAATAGGTGAGGCTAATTTGAACTATACTAGTACTTTCACTCATTAGACTTCATTTTCAGAGGTTCAATTGCAAAAATGTCCAATTTCTTACTTTCCTTTACCATTTTGTTGAGGTAGTTGCTTCACCTTCCTGTTACCTGGCTACCCCCATATAGACTAAATACATAGGTTCAGTGTTCTCCCGAGGATATTTTCTCAAGTGGGTGCAAAATTCTCATTTTCACAATTCTGACCAAAATTGGTCAAAATATGCCCATTTTTCATGATTCTTCCCATTTTCAAGTGGGTGCAAATGGATTTTCATGTGGGTGCAAGCCTGTTTTTAAAATCTCAGGTGGGTGCTGCATCCACTTGCTTTAATGCTGGGGAGACCACTGAGGTTAGTATTTTAGTTTCTATCAAAAACATGAGAATATCACCTGAAACCAGCATTTTGATTAAAGTTTTTGAATATGAAACTTAAAGTTAAATACAAATGCAGGAATTATTTTCTGAATATAATTGGCGTATTAAAGAGTTACATCATAACTGGTTTCAGACAGTACTGTGCATGTATACTGTGAAAAAAACCAATCCCCAAAAACAATCACATAAGTTATTGAATGATTTGAAGTGCAATACAGGATATATTCTGCTCGAGAAAATTCCATATTGGAACGAGACGAAGTCGAGTGCCAATACAGAATATCGAGACAGAATATATCCTGTATTGCACTTCAAATCATTCTAAAACGTTTTTATCGTGTGATCCTCTGTATTGCTACTGAGAATGTCCCCTCCATGCCAATATTTTCTGTATTGAGACGGAGATGGTCAATGCGGACAATCTCAGTAGCAATACAGATTGGTACAGCACAAGAACTGACCAATTAGAAGGCTTCATTTTACAGATCATACGATAATTCTTTTTGCTTTTTGCTTCACTCTTTCACTGAACTATGCAAAACCAATGACAGCAATGTTATGGAAATTTAAAGACTGCTTAGAATGCAACTGTTGTGCATACTGAGTGAACGAAAACATACTCAAACTTCAAGATTTTTTACAGTATACATGTATCAATGTTTTTGAATTCTTGCTTAGAATATTTTGGAAGCACCTTTGGACACACATTAAAAACTATTACTAAACGGAAAGTGTGTTTGAAAAAGGTTTGTGTTCCCTTTAAACCACTTATCATAATGATAAATCAACCAGAGTGGTAAAAGTAGAAAACATTGTTACTTCTGGTAAAACCCTTGCCCTGATGAATGCTACATATTCTTATTCAGGGAATAGCAGGGGAGGATTCAGAGATAAGGTGTAAGACTATTAAATGTAAATCAATCAATCAATCGATTGAATAATCAATCAACCAATCAACTAATGAATCAATCACTCATCAAGGTATCTAAATGTGGATGAAGATGCTTCTGTTTGACCATTCCAATAAAGCATACCATCTTTTGCCAAAAAGATCTAATCAGGGAAATGTTATAGTTTTAAGTCAAATTATGTGAAAATAATCCCATGATTGTTTCAAAATTACAAAATACTGGCATGATTTAACGGAATGATCTTTTGTGAAAAGAAATGAAGAACATAGTCAGTCGCAGAAATCACCCAAGGATTACAACACTTCCTGTCACCTTTCCAAAAGAACAGATTACTCCAACTTACTTACAATATGTCATTTTGCTCATGTTTATATTTTCCGTGGTTGAGATGTCCGTCTGTTCATGCTTATTTCATGCGATTTTTGTCAAAAATTGAATGAAATGTCTGATTTTCATGAATTTCTAAACAATTAAGAGTCTTTACTACGAGCCTGTCAGCTTTAATTCATGCTAATTCCTCTTTTTACAATATATTTGCGATTTTAAAATATGAGCACAATGACATTTCTACGGGTCAATCCTTGTCTCTATACCTTGCACGTTACATGATCTAGTTCACCATTCTGTATACGCCATAATACATGATGAGTTGCGTCACCTCCGACTCCAAAGTTGATTGAATGAAGGGGAACAAACAATTTTTCCCATACCTAGGAGAGTGTAGAAGTTATATATTATTTATGTGCAGGTTTTTGTTTGTTTTTTTCCATTTGTTTGGATAACACCTAAGTAACATGCAAGAAAATTGTAACAATTTAACAGTGTTGAGCCAAAGAGGATTATAGGCCACGATCTTCCATTACCTGGCAAAGGAGCAATTTTGTAACAATATTTCCCATATACTAGTATTGAGGACTAGCATTGCCAAAGAAGTTCGAATATTATTGTAATGACCTTTGATAGCAAGTCGCTACTACAGTCTTGGCTGTAGTAGCTGGCCCCTTTGGCCAAATCAGTAGAGCGTCTGCCTCGAGAGCGGAAGGTCCTGGGTTTGATTCCCGCACTGGGCATTGAATTTAGCACACTCCCTTTCGGGTCTAGTATCTGTCTCGTTACACTACAGCTCCCGACGGACGTGCCCAAGGGTCATTACATTATCATATTACTTGTACATTGTATATGTAGTGTAGATACTCGCTATGGACAAGATACTCCAAAAGTACAAGATACTCAAAATGAAAAGGACAGAAATATTATGACTAAATTGGTCGATGCCAGGCAATGGTAGATCAAGTTTGAATAATGGCTACCAACCCTCCTTGGTGCAGTGCTAACAAAGCACAACTTAACTAGCATATTGGCCAACAATATGTGGGCCATAGTACAGACATGCACCCTAAAATGATTTTATTTTATTAGTTAGCTAAAATCAGTTTGGTCAATAAAATAAAGATGGAGTTTATATATTGAAGTGACACTAAAATTTAACAAATAAAGATAATAATTTATTTAATTTGCCTTTTACATCATGAACTCTAAACAATATGTCTACAAATCTTCGCGGGTCTGTGTAAACTGCAACCAGACTCCTAATTGTTGATATAATTAATTGGCTATATAATAACAAATTGCAACCAATAAGAGCCAGAGTTACCCAGAGCCTGGTTGCATTTTGCACACTTCAGTTTTGACATAAACTTATAAACATTAATCTAGCAAAATGCTTTTAAACAACGAGCTTTATTAAAAGCTTATTTCATACAGTTTATATGACATTAATCTAATTTTTCTTACTGGAGAGAACTGTAATTGTTGAACGAGAGAGTCTCCAATGAACAACACCTTTACTTCACGACGCTTCCCCTGTGCCACAAACCGATTGTGCTGAAACAGAAAAAGTAAAGATTTGCTCTGAGAAAGGTCTGCTGACTTTATATCCCCGATATCACAATAAAATTAACTTTTGGAAGTGTTGGTTGTTCACCATCCAGAAGAAGAATCTCACATGATAGTTTGGTATTACTTGGTATCAGGGGCTTCCTTTGGTTTTCCCTACATGGTCATAAAAGCCTTATATGGACCTATCAAATGACATTCAACTGGGAGACAACAGTATCTTTACCAACTCTGATCTTTCGCCATTTCATTTATTTACATCTGCGGGTGCCAACTTAAAAGAATGAATATCGGCAGATGGGACAAATTCCAATATATAACGATATCAAAATTGCCGCAGAAGAAGTAAAGTAATAATCTACATGTGGGGAACACATGTCCATTTTATCATGAATTTATATGAAATATATAAATCTGAAAATACAATTTTGTATAGTACACCTGCTAATCATATCATGATGGTACCAATGGCGTCTATATCTTTGTAAACAAGTTACTTAATAACAACTAAAACATCTGCATCAGGTTATCAAATCACGTTCAGTTTGTCCTAAGCTGTGGTCCAAGTCAAACCCTATAACTAAGCGGTAGAATGTGTACCAATTATACATAGGTCACGGATTCGATGCCCGGTTCAGGCACCTTTGTTGTTTGTTGCGTAATTCACTGTATTTGACTGAGTGGTCCACGACCTAGACTCGTAAAAGGCGTGTGAACGCGTATGCCTATGTATGGGTGCACATAAAAGAACACAGGCCTAGAACTCCTTCGAGGTGGGGTTTCTTGGTCGTCGTTCAGGATTATTTTGCGTAAATCCCGATCGTACACATACGAATTATACCCAAGAGGTATTGCTCACCTTCACTTGTGGTAAATACTATAAGTTATTGAATGATTTGAAGTGCAATACAGGATATATTCTGCTCGAGAAATTCCGTATTGGAACGAGACGAAGTCGAGTGCCAACACAGAATATCGAGACAGAATATATCCTGTATTGCATTTCAAATCATTCTATAACGTTTTTATCGTGTAATCCTCTGTATTGCTACTGAGAATGTCCACTCCGTCCCAATATTTTCTGTATTGCGACGGAGATGATCAACGGGGACAATCTCAGTAGCAAAACAGGTTGGTACAGCACAAGAAGTGACCTATCAGAGGGCTTCATTTTACAGATCATACGATAAAATAGAATACAAAACAATAATATCAAACAATCCAAAATCAATTGTAGTGTAAGAAAATGAGTTAGAGTAATTCAACTTGGATGGGATTTGAACTCAAGACATTTCGGTCTATAGAGTATTGCTCTTTCTACTGAGCTACTGGGCTGGTTGCATTTCATTTATCCATATATGCATATATTTTTTAACAACATTGTTCAATGAACGGGTGGCACGACTTGTGTATATTTCTTGCTAAAGTTATGAAATAAATAGCTTGGGGATCTGCTTGTGTGATAAATGTATACTATTTAAACCTACTTAAAGATTTGTCATATACTGCCCACTGTCATGTTTGAAAAGTGGTATTATTGATATAAGAAACGTTTTTTCTCATTTCTTTCTTCATAATGACATTTTAAAATACTTCCAGATGATTTTATTTCAATATTAAGGTAATGAATTCCAAAGTGTTGCCCTCGATGTATTCATCCACCATTCATAAGTTGATTAAATCACTTAAATTATTTCTTGATCTTCGGGTAAATGAAGGCGTTTTGCATTTTAAAATTGCATTTTAATATGAAAGTCTTGTCTGTATTTTTTGTACATGTGAACTCCTGATAATTTGTACATGATTTAAAAAAGAAGTTTGGTCAATTTGAAGCTAGTTGAAATCAGTTTTGAACAAAATACTGCAACCGGCAGAGCGCCGGCAGATGAATCGGAGCAGGCATTAGACAATATCATGGTATGCCTTATAGGGCATTTTGTCAAAACTGCCCTCATGTATCAACTTATTGATGCATGTATTTGAATGCATAACATTTTTGGCTCGATCACATTTGCTATAAAATAACGAGAGCATCGGTATAGAAGCATTATTCACGTAAACCTTCAATCATGTACATGTACGTTGGCGTTTTCGTGCTGTTCATATTATCGCTGGAAAACATTTCAGCCAGTGGGGGTAAGTAAAATTTATATCAGCTTTTGAAACTGCAGATTTTTTATATAGTTTCAAATTCAGTTCTTCATTTCTCCTTATTGTAGGATATCTGTTTTTGTGAATTGTGTCACAGTCACAAATTGTCACAATTTCTAAATCGCACAATATTATATCTTATCGAAGCTAATTGAATTCCTCATATTTTACTCACAAAATACAATGTGTCTCAAAAAACGCAACAAACAAAAACATTGAAAAATGATAAATCCAGTCCATTTAGCTAACCATGATGCCATGTGTCTCTTCTTTCATTAGTGCAAATCTTGATAAAAGGCTCTGTGTAGAGGCAGGGAAAGCGTGAGATTCACAGGGAGATATGCCAAGTACTAAGATAGTACTCATGGCATTAGCGCTAATTGAGTACTCTTTCAGTAAATATCAGTACTAAATGAGCACTTGTGACATGAGTACGGATTTATTGCATCGTTATAAGAACTTAATTAGTACTCATATGATAAGTAATAAAATAGCGCTTATTTCATACCCTGCGTGCAGAGTCTAGACGAAGCTCTCTTTTAAGAAGTGAAGTCAAACGAATGCAAAGGGTACTTATTTCATTGATTTTTCATTACTCAATGAGCACTCAAACAGATTATTTAAACAACTAAAATCGCACTTTGGATTTGAACACTACCTTTCAGAAACGACACTTTCAAACGCTAAACATTTAACTAGATTACGAATAAGCGCCCACATAAAGATAGAGAGAGGCCGTTATACAAAACCCATTACTGATCTTAATAGTCGATCTTGTAAATTATGTAAGGACTCGGTTATAAAACATGAAACACACTTTTTATTCCAATGTAAACAATTGGAGTATATCAGAAAATCCCATATTGAAAAACTTGAAAATCTGTGCTGTAATTTTAAAAACATGAATGACCACCAAAAGACAATTTTTCTATTGACGAGTGAGCGGACATATTAAAAGAATCTGCTAACATGATAAATTATCTATATGTGTGATTTTATAAAAAAATCGGAAATGTTTTTCAGATATGAGCCCCCTCTAAATATTGGGTGCGGAGGAGCTCCATAAACGTATCTCCGCACCCAATATTTAGAGGGGGCTCATATCTGAAGAACATTTCCGAATTTTTATAAAATCACACAGATACTGCCTGGCTTCCAAAGTGCAAAAATAATTTGCATGGGTAGTGTATCTTGAACACCATTTTTTATGAATGCTGGGGACGCAGTATTAAAAGGATAGTCTCAAAATATATAGGTCTGGGAAATGTTTAAGGCATACTGCGTCGCTATAAAATGAATTGCACTACTATTTTCACAATTTTATTGATATTTGGTGTCAAATACACATATCTTGGTATATTTGAAGTCCCAAAACGGCTTAGTTTCAGAAATATCCCAATTTTAAATTCAAAAATGACCGTTAGCTCCGCACCCTCCGCTCATTTGCGCCGCACCCAATATTTCCCACAGGCTCTGTCTGCATAGGGTGTTCACATAATTAATTATATGAGGTACGTTTATGGAGCTCCTCCGCACCCAATATTTAGAGGGGGCTCATATCTGAAATCATTTCCGAATTTTTATAAAATCACACAGATACTGCCTGGCTTCCAAGATGCAAAAATAATTTGTATAGATAGTGTACCTTGAACACCATTTTCTATGAATGCTTGGGACTCAGTATTAAAAGGATAATTTCAAAATATATAGGTCTGGGAAAGGTTTAAGGCACACTGCGTCGCTATAGAATGAATTGCGCTACTATTTTCACAATTGTATTGATATTTGGTGTCAAATACACATATCTTGGTATATTTGAAGCCCCAAAACGGCTTAGTTTCAGAAATATCCCAAATTTAAATTCAAAAATGACCGTTAGCTCCGCACCCTCCGCTCATTTGCTCCGCACCCAATATTTCCCACAGGCTCTGTCTGCATAGGGTGGTGTTACTCAGTTTAATTAAAGTTTAACGTATTTACACGCTTGGTATACGCAGCTAACGAAAATTGACCGGTACGGGTCAAAAGCTGGACCGGTACGGGTCAACGGTTTTATTTGAATTTAAAACAGCCATAACTTGCTCAATTTTGACTTCCTCGTGTCTAATTTGAAATATATGATGCCTCCCGATGCTTTTAAGTACCCCAATTTTTTACAGATTTTTAAACGGACCAAAACTCTCTAAATGCGCATTTATGCTCTTTTCTCTCGAGAACGACTGTCTCATTTTCACGATAACTTTTATTTAGTACTTTCAGATTGCATGGATTTTGCATGGAAATAATTCATGCGTTTTTGCTATGGCTGTAAACATGCGGTACTAACTTCGACCGTTAGTTTGAATTTTTGACCTACCAGGTTGAAAATCAAGGATTGCGAGTCTCATACTGCACCGTTTTTCTTCAAACTTGTTCCATTCAAAGCATAAAAAACGCCTTTCTAATGGTACATTATTCTGTTATACAAAGTCTCTACTTTCAGTGGTCTCCAGCTGTCAGAAGGGCTTCTAACAGCTGGGGACCAAAAACGCTGCTAAAACGAGGGACTCTTTCCAATAAAGCAATGCACCGACAGAAAGGCAATTTGGTTTTGCTTTGAATGGAAGAAGTCTGAAGAAAAACGGTGCATTATGAGACTCGCAATCCTTGATTTTCAAACATCTGGTAGGTCAAAAATTCAAATTAGCGGTCGAAGTTAGTACCGCGTGGTAATGGTGAAAGGCGAATCAGTCTGAGTATATTCAAAGGCTCCAATAATCTAATGAGAAACTCCTCGCTTCAGCAACCAAGGCGTTAACGCAACGCAACCAAGACGTTATGAAATTCACCAGCCAGATGACGTTCTTGGTCCTCAAGTGATGAGAGAATTCTCACTCAATTGTTTGAGCTGCTGGCTATATTTGCTCTTGACTTGATGAAGTGTCATTTGGCAATCGTGTCACTTGACGTAAAATTAAATCAGTTTTGCCGCGAAAACAGACATGAGCTGACTTTATATCCCCGATATCACGAAAAAATTAACTTTTGGAAGTGTTGGTGGTTCACCATCCAGAAGAAGTGAGAAGCTCACATGATTGTTTGGTATTACTTGGTATCAGGGGCTTCCCTTGGTTTTCCCTACATGGTCATAAAAGCCTTATATGGATCTATCAAATGACATTCAAATGGGAGACAACAGTACCATTACCAACTCTGATCTTTCGCCATTTCATTTATCTACATCTGCGGGTGCCAACTAAAAAGAATGAATATCGGCAGATGTGACAAATTCCAATATATAACGATATCGAAATTGAAGCCGCAGAAGAAGTAAAGTAATAATCTACATGTGGGGAACAACTACATCCATTTTATCATGAATTTATATGAAATATATAAATCTGAAAATACAATTTTGTAGTACACCTGCTAATCATATCATGATGGTACCAATGGCGTCTATATCTTTGTAAACAAGTAACTTAATAACAACTAAAGCATCTGCATCAGGTTATCAAATCACGTTCAGCTTGTCCTCAGCTGTGGTCCAAGGCAAACCCTATAACTAAGCGGTAGAACGTGAACCAATTATACATAGGTCCCGGATTCGATCCCCGGTTCAGGCACTTCTGTTGTTTGTTGCGTAATTCACTGTATCACGGTGTTATAGCATGACGGTTACGACAAGGCGATTTGCAAAATTTTGCGGCAACGATAACAAAAAATGGCGGATGGGAAAGACAGCATGTCCTCTTTCTCGCCTGTAGGCAAGATTCTCAGATAAGATTTCCTTTTTAACTAGCAATCGGATGGATGGATCGTTCCTCATATGACTTATGGCAACCCAACCATTCCCCATTTGTTTAACATGGGATCTGCCATTTTTGTTAAATTTCATGAAATTCATCAATTTTGACATCAAATTATGACCCAATGTAATGGAGATATAACATTGAAACGTTGCGGACTTTATAGTGAATAGAATCAAGATACAGATTTATTTTCTTTATTGGGATTTCTTTTGTTCCCCGCTTGGGAAACAGTCGTTCAAACTAATATGGGGGTTAACATGTAAACCTGTGAGCACGGTGTTATAGCATGACGGTTACGAGATTAGACGACTACGATCACTGATTTATATCCAATAAAATGGCCGCGATGGAACAGAAAACTAAGGTTGGTGCAGTATTTTCTTCTACTGTGTATCAATGAAAGGATGAACGATTTTTGCAGACATCGCATTCGGTGATGCATTTAGTAATGTATATTTTGAACGTATTCTTTGCAAATTGATGCCCGGGGATAACATGAAATAAGCGAAAAACTGTTGAGTTTGAAATTCAAAACTACACAAAATTTAGTAATTTGTTTATTTTTGTCGTTAGGGCATGGTCTACATTGCCTAACGACCTCGGGGTATATAGATGTAACCTACATACGATCATAAAAAGCCAATTGAGCATTGAAACCACCAAATATGTTCTACTTAAGCCATAATATTGTATTTTTAATTTGCGGTTACGCCAAAATTTGATTGACGGTTTACGCGAACCTCGTTCAAATATGTATCCCAGATTCATTGTTATTAATTTTGTCATATTCATCAGTACTTGATGCTAATTCTTCTTTTGCCTCTTCATTGCTATCTTTTTGACTTAAATTGGTTTCATTAATAAAGCAAGACACAATTTTTTCCTTGCCCTATAGAGGCGCAAACAAGAGCGTCTCTTGCGAGTACTGAAAACAAATATAAGCAATTCAATATTCCATTTCTTACCCATTATAACAATTACATGGAAAGAGGCTATCAGAACGTAACTGTCCGCTTATCATGGTATGCCTTATAGAGCATCTTGTCAAAACTGCCCTCAGGTATCAACTTATTGATGCATGTATTTGAATGCGTAACATTTTTGGCTCGATCACATTTGCTATAAAATAACGAGAGCATCGGTATAGAAGCATTATTCACGTAAACCTTCAATCATGTACATGTACGTTGGCGTTTTCGTGCTGTTCATATTATCGCTGGAAAACATTTCAGCCAGTGGGGGTAAGTAAAATGAATATCAGCTTTTGAAACTGCAGATTTTATATATAATTTCAAATTCAGTTCTTCATTTCTCCTTATTGTCGATATCTGTTTTTGTAAATTGTGTCACAGTCACAAATTGTTACAATTTCTAAATTGCACAATATTATATCTTATCGAAGCTAATTGAATTCATCATATTTTACTCACAAAGTACAATGTGTCTCAAAAAACGCAACAAACAAAAACATTGAAAAATGATAAATCCAGTCCATTTAGTTAACCATGATGCCATGTGTCTCTTCTTTCAAATGATATGTCATTTATTTTTGCCGTCAGAATATACAGATAGAAATATTAAATACATATTAGCAATCCAAAAGATTTGAACTAATATCTTGATAATTTTTTGTGAGTTTTGAAATTTTTGTTAGGAAATAAGACCAAAACTCGCGATTCAAATTCTTAAGTGAAAAAGGATGGGTATCGAATCATGGCGAGCTTTTTGAACACACGTTTCTTTTAAACCAGTCATCAAAAAATTCTGAAAATTTTACACATTGTCAATTTAATGGTCATCTTTTGAATGGTAACAAAATAATTGGAAGATGTATATATATATATATACTTTCATCTATATTGTTTTAGAAAACACATCAAACACTTGTTTTGTTCTTGGTATCGTGTTTCCAGAGTGAAATGAAACCTCATTGGAACAAAACGACATAAACACAACATGTTTAGGTCTCTCAATATTGTAATTGTACAAAGGAAATTTTGGTTCATTTTAAAAAAGTATCTTGTTCATGAAATAAAAGGTTTATCTTGATTTTTATCTATTTTGGGGGATTTTGTTTTAATTTTTGAATACTTTTTTAAAATGAACCAAAAATTCCTTTGTATAACTATAATATTGAGAGGTCTAAAAACATGTTGTATATGCTATTTTGTTCCAACAAGGTTCGGAAAGACATTTTATTTCATTCTCGAGAATTGGTAGAAAGGAGCAAAAACAATTACATTAATGTTAGAAAAACGAAAAATGTTAACAAAAACAGTTATATAGAATATTTCTAAATAATTTTCGCATTAAACTGTTGTCATTCAGTCAACATTACATAAAATACCATGTTTTTTTACAGAATGTTTTCAATGATTGGTTTAAGAGAAAAACATTGTTGAATTCAGTTCTCCATATCGATACCTATCCTTTACTCTTTTAATGTTATCTAACATATTTTGGTTATTGTCGCTTATCCACATCATATTGGCACCTGTATAATCCTTAATCTTCTCACAGTATCTTTGGTTAGTATATTGTACTAGTTTTAGAATTTTGGACAATTTTTTGGCAGTTTTACAGAACTTTTCTTGGAGCCAATGATATGTCTAAATTTAATTGGCTATCGGACTAAATAATTTCGCATTAAATTAGTAACATTTCATAAAATACCGTGTTTATTACAGAATGTTTTCAATGATTGGTTTAAGAGAAAAACATTGTTGAATTCAGTTCTCCTTAACGATACCACTCTTTTGTGGCTGTTAATTTCAAATTTTGTAATCACGACATGACTGACATACGGCAGAATATCCTCCTTGATCTTATCTGTAGTGTTAACGTGTTTTATAGTTTGACGGATCGATTGCAAATTTTTCAGGAATAATCTTTTACAATGAAAATCTCGACCTGATTAATTTTTGGTCATTCTGGGTAAATGTTGAGGCGCCCATTTTAGTAGTGAGTAGTGTTGGGTATTCTGGTTGGAAAATCTATAAAGGATCACCCCTTTTTAATTACTTTCATGAAATTTTCACACATCAGAAAATTTCTAGTTACTGATTTGTAAAATATCAGCATCTCTAATTTGATAGGTCAGAAATAACAGTTACTATGGTAACTGGACTATATCGCAGACGTATACGTGTTATGCATCATTGTAAAGGCCAATGTAATGTGCTCCCTCACATTGACAAGAGTTATTTGATATTATTTTTTAGAAAATTAAATAAAGGAAGCCGTACCTGTTTGAAGAAAGAAATATCTTAATCGGTATTTAGACTATCCAGGCTAATAATTAGATGCCTTCGTTAAAATTTGTTAAAAAGTTATAATGGAAAAACGATCATTCCATATAGCGGACGTTAGCGCCTTTTTTAGTTACTTCGTATCAGATCATAAAAGACTTCCAACGAATTTTGTGCATAAGCACGATTGACATCGTCATTGCGTGATTTCATTCTCTGCAAATAAATAGCTTTTCAGTTAAGAAATATAATGTGTGAAAATCTTGAAATTTCTTGTAAAATCGACCTGCTCCTTCACATTGAGCCATTTAGGCGATGAGATCCCGGAAAATATCTAAAATGTAAAAAAATTAAAACAAGATATAGGTAACCAAAAGAAATTGAGAATTATAGATACATTTTTCTAGCAAATCTTGATAAAAGGCTCTGTGTAGAGGCATGGAAAGCGTGAGATTCACAGGGAGATATGTCGGGTACCAAAATAGTACTCATGGCATTTGCGCTAATGGGGTACTCTTTCAGTAAATATCAGTACGAAATGAGCACTTATGACATGAGCACTGATTTATTGCATCTTAGTTCTTAATTAGTACTCATATGATAAGTAATAAAATAGCGCTTATTTCATTGATTTTTCATTACTCAATGAGCACTCATACATATGCCGAGTACTCAATTCATGAGTGCTTATAGCGTGCTTTTGCCAATTCTGTGCTAATTTAGTACTAATTTTGTACTAATTGAGTAATCGGCAGATCGTCCTGTGTTACTTTAATCATCCTTTGACAGTATTGTGGTATTTGAAATGTAAGTTAATATATACCCACCCCTTTAAAATCAACATTAACCATTCGAACACTAAATTATGTTTATAGCAGCGTCTTGGTCTTCGTGGATAGACAGAGACAACCCTAGTGGTAATGAAGACTCGGAGGATAGAGAGAACCTGGAGAAGGGACTGGGAGGGGTAAGTGGATGATGGATTGACTTTGTCCAATATTTTGAATGGCATGCGGGTCAAGGTTACACCCTGGTCTTTGTTCAGTAGATTAACAATTATTACAGTTTAAACTCATTTTAAGCGTATCTTTAAAAGATAAAATGATGACATATAAAATGAAGATTAAGGTGCTTGAAGCTAGCAAACACATTTACATGGATGCATTTTCCAGGGCATGCCATGCCAGAACCCAACAAGAATAGAATGCAAAACAGTAGGAACCCATATCCCTGCTTCAGAAACTGGTCAGGTGTTTAGAAAAGATGCTGATTGTTCAGTTGAAGGTGGGCTGGTGTGTGTCAACAATGAACAAAAACCAGGTTCTCAATGTTTGGACTATGAAATAAGATTTCTCTGCCCAGTTGCTGCCCCAAGTAAGTATATGATATAATATCATATGTAGGTATGGAATCATACTTCTAGTTTGGGATTAATTCATATTAGAAAGTGCCAATTCACTGACATTTTGAAATCTTCCCTTCTCCTGTTTTAAAGTATCAACCATTTAGACAGTTTAAGTTCTGATGTTTATAGCAGCGTCTTGGTCTTCATGGATAGACAGAGATGACACTAGTGGTTCAGGTGACTGGGAGGATAGAGGGAACCTCGAGAAGGGACTGGGAGGGGTAAGTGGATGGCGGTTGTCAAATGTTTCGAATGACATGCGGGTCAAGGTTACACCCTGGTCTCTGTTCAGAATAGCCAACAATGATAACAATTTAATTTCCTTTCAGGCTAATCTTTAAAAGATAAAATATGACGTATAAAATTCGAGATTTAGGAACTTAAAGTACGCAAACACATTTATGTAGATACACTTTCCAGGGCATGCCATGCCAGAACCCAGCAGAAATAGAATGCAGGACAGTAGGAACCCATATCCCTGCTTTAGAAACTGGTCAGGTGTTTAGAAAAGATGCTGTTTGTTCATTAGAAGGTGGGCTGGTATGTGTCAACAATGAACAAAGACCAGGTTCTCAATGTCTGGACTATGAAATTAGATTTCTCTGCTCAATGGCTACCCCAAGTAAGTATATAGTATCATAAGTAGATATGGAATCGTACTTCTAGTTTAGGATTAATCAAATTAGAAAGTGCCAATTCTCTGACATTTTGAAATCTTCCCTTCTCCTGTTTTAGAGTATCAACCATTAAGGTAACGCTTAAGTTAATCAAAAGTACAAAAACATGGCAGCCATATTTTTTGATAAAGTCACAAGATTTTGTGTATCTGTTTTCCTTATATGTGAATGCACTGACTGACTAAAGAGACAGGTCAAAGAAAACTTCACATTTAAATGCAATTTTTATAACTATGAATTGGAGGTGCATGGGCCCCTCTAAGCTAGCATGGAGACAGTGAAGTGAGGATAACTTTTTAAAATTTCAAGGAGTAGGATTGCAATGGAGACACATTTGTAAGACTCCAAAATTTCAACAAATCATCTTACCTTACCAAGGAACATCGAAGACGCATGGAAATGTGTGGTTCTTGCATTGTAAGAGAATAATAAAACTCAAACCATTGTGAATTCTAAATATTTCATGTCCACCATTTTGTTTGCTGGGACTATTTTCTTGTCCAAAGTAATCCTCACTCATGTATCCATTGTTAATCATTTATAAAGCCTCAATCATGTATCTATCATGATAATTATACTGTTATAGATAAAATATACTTGTGATAATCCATGCCACTTGGTGAAGTCACAAAACTTGTTTGAGGATTAATCAGGAAGTCTAGAAGTAGTTCCAGCAAAAAATGGTGGACATGAAATATTTATAAGAAACTACGGTTTGAGCTTTATCATACTCTAACAAAGCAAGAAGTGCACATTTTCATGATCATTCGATGTTCCTTGGTAAGGTAAGATGATTTGTATAAATTTTGGATTCCTGAAAATGTGTGACTGTTGCAAGGCTACTCCTTAAAACTTTCAAAAATTGGCCTCACTTCACACTCTTCATTCTAGCTTTGGGGATCCATGCACCTCCAATTCATAGTTTTGAAAAATGCGTTTAAATGTGATGTTTTCTTCGATGTGTCTGTTTAGTCAGCGAGTGCATGCACATACAAGGAAAACATTATACAAAATCTTCTGACTTTATCAAAAAAATATGGCTGCCATCTTTTTGTACTTTTGATTAACTTTAATTTCACCTTAAGACAGTCTAAGTTCTGATGTTTACAGCAGCGTCTTGGTCTTCGTGGATAGACAGAGATGACCCTAGTGGTACTGCAGACAAGGAGGATAGAGAGAGCCTCGAGAAGGGATTGGGAGGGGTAAGTGGATGGCGGTTGTCAAATATTTTGAATGGCATGCGGGTCAAGGTTACTTCCTGGCTTTCTTCAGAATGGCCAACAATGATTACAATTTGATTTCCTATTAGGCTAATCTTTAAAATATAAAATATGACGTATAAACTTCGAGATTTAGGTGCTTGAAGTACGCAAACACATTTATGTAGATACATTTTCCAGGGCATGCCATGCCAGAACCCAGTAGATATAGACTGCAGGAAAGTAGGAACCCATATCCATGCTTTACGAACTGGTCAGGTGTTTAAAAAAGGTGCTGTTTGTTCATTAGAAGGTGGGCTGGTGTGTGTCAACAATGAACAAAGACCAGGTTCTCATTGTCTGGACTATGAAATCAGATTTCTCTGCCCAATGGCTACCTCAAGTAAGTATATAATATCATAAGTAGTTATGGAATCATACTTCTAGTTTTGGAATAATTTAAATTAGAAAGTGCCAATTCACTGACATTTTTAAAATCTTCTCTTCTCCTGTTTTAAAGTATCAACCATTAAGACAGTTTAAGTTCTGATGTTTACAGCAGCGTCTTCAGTGGGGTCTTGGTCTTCGTGGATAGACAGAGATGACGCCAGTGGTAGTGGAGATTGGGAGGATAGATGGTCCCTCGAGAATGGAATGGGTGGGGTAAGCAAACGATGTCATATCTAACAATATCGTTCCCGAGCTGCTCCAAAAAATGAATTGTCGTTGTCTGGTACTCTGCCACAAAAATGGACATACTGTTTGAAAGTTTTGACTTCTATTATTGAAAAAATATATTTCGTTTCGATTGAAACAGGGGCGCTTTCCTCTAAATTGGGGTCACACAAGGTTGCCTTGTAAAAGCAACTTATGATAATATATATTTTCTACTTTTTACCACATAACTGCATTTCAAGTATGACATCAATTGATTTTGATAAAAATTTAGTACTTTTGATTAACAAAAGAATATAGAATTTGGAGTAAATTCTATACGGTCGGTCCGTCGGCCATTTTGAAGTCAAATGCTAAAATCTCTGCAAACTTACGGACGTTATTTATCAAAATGTGTTTTGTTCGTTGGGATTTGCTACTCCGAGGAGTTGCCGTTTTCTAGTTAGTTTATCGGCACTCTGAGTTGAGGTGGCAAGGGATGATGATTCTTTTTAGTGTATTTAGTTAGTTAGTTAAAATACTTTACATTTATACAATTGAAATACATAAAAAATTCAAGTGAACAAATATGTCCAGCCGTTGTCGACTTATGAGTGACTTTATGTAAATGCGGGGAAATATTGACACGTTTGTGTCTTTGTTACAGTGTGCTATAAGTTAGGCCATTCAACGATACCAACTTTTTCATTTCTATTTTAGCCTTTATGTCATTTTAGCAAGTGTAGAAATAAGAATGTTTTGTAGTACATCAGCCATATTAATACTAACAATTTTATTTTACAATCTGGATGTAGGTTATTTCGGTGCACCAGCCTTTTTTATTTCATACCTTAGCCTCTTGAGACATGTCAGTGCAGAAATAAGAACGTTTTGTGGTACAACAAGCTTTTATGCTATACTCTTGGTCATGATGCAAGTTTTAAGCTGTTTTGGGTCATACTAGTGCAAAAATTGTGTGATTGCTATTGCAACGTTTTTTTTATTTTACAGGGCATGCCATGTAAGAACCCAACAGGGATAGAATGCAGGACTGTAGGAAGCCATATTCCTGCTTCGGAAACTCACCAGGTGTTTAGGGAAGGAGCTGAGTGTTCAGTTGCAGAGGGACTCAAGTGTCTGAACAGCGATCAGAGAGGTGGCGCTAGTGGCTTTTTATGTTTGGACTATGAAGTGAGATACTTCTGCCCTAAATAAAGAAAAGGAAATTTCATATGAACATGCAATTGAAAAGAACCACTCCCGGGAACCACTTTGGCAGAGTATTTAATAGAATTTCAACAACTCAAAACATCAAGATTCGATTATGTAGACAATACATATAATATTCCCAAAATTTGTAATTTCATGGATTGATCATTTTTCAATTAACTTTTATTTAATAAGTTTGTGCTAATCAATAGTTATATGTTCATAAACGTGATGTTCCAATAAGAACTAAACTAATTTAGAAACGTGTTGAGTTTATTTTGTTTTTAAAATGTGGTCTCAGAAATCCTTTAATATGTTTTATCGTGCTTTAAAAGGATACGATATCGCTGTCAGGATCAATGGCAAACTGTCTTGAAATGGCAATACGAACCTTGGCATTAAATGTTGAAATTTTTTGTTAAAGTGCCCGATTAACTATAAAATGCGCATGCGTCCAGGTGTTGATAAACTATAAATAGCGAAAATCCAGGGTTTGTCACCACAAGGTAAGCCAGGACGTGTTGAGAGAACAGCTAGTGTTGATATTGAATTTATATGTAGCCAGATAAGTTTCCTTATTGAAATTACATATGGTTATTAGCAATACTTTGTAGGTGCTAAATAATAAAATATTTAGAGTATATATGAGAGAAATTGGTCATTTCGAACCTGTTGAAAAGTTTGTGGCTCTCGGCTACACCGGGGAATTTACTTCCATGAGTACACACATAAATGTGGGGTTCCCCAAGAGGTACGCGACAAGGTGACCTGGCATCAAATGTGCGACTAAATGCTACTATCGAGAAGATAAAATAACGAATACGACAATAAGTTATTGCATGTGACAATTCCGAGCCTTAATCTCACTGACGTATTTTGAGGTGAAAATAGGATTTTTGTTTTGATACATGGATTCAGATGAACGTAACTTTATTCTGACAACTAATCAAAACTGAACAAAATTGATTGTACGTAACAGACAATTTATTGTTTTACAATGTTTTGATTGGCTAAACGAATGAAACCAACAAATTATGACATGTAAAATGACAATTTTGAAATGTAAAATTTAAAAGTGACAAACACAACCTCCCCATCCACTCTTTGGGAGCCCTAGTAAATTAGTAATATAACAGGATCTTAAGAGGTTCTGGACAAATCATTTGATTCTGGACTTGTCATATTTTTTTTTCATCGAAATCACATCCAAGGGTTGAATTTTTATTAGCTATTTAGAGAGTGAGTCCTGCCTAGTATTAATTTCAATAAAAAAGTTAAAATAGAACCCTATTTGAGAGTCAATCTAATACTTACATTACATTGATAAATTAAGGCAAATCCTGTTTAAAGTGCATTTTTTATGAAATATTATCCAGCAAGTATTTAGATGAAACGGTCTTATTTAAATACAAATCATAACATGATGATATTTTTCATGAAACATTTTTCATTTTTAATTTAGGTGAAAACCCTTACATGATGATGTGTTTTCATAACTTCTGTCATAAAATTCCATCAAGGGGTGAAGATAAAATGATCGAATTTAAGTGATTTAAGGATCACGAGAATATGTTTTCTTGGACATTTTCTATGAAATCCCATCCAATGGTCAAGGTAAAATTTTGATTTTGATTTGGTATTAGGTCACGTCTTCCAAAGATCCATATAAGGCCCATAGAACCATATAGGAACATCATTTTAAATGTCACGTGATAGATCCATATAAGGCTTTTAGAACCATGTCGGGAAAGATGAGGGGAAGCCCCTGACACCTGTTTCACGATTTTATCCGAACGTTGTTCGGATCATTTCGGTTTTTATGCACTTCAATATTGTACCGAAGTTTGCCGATTCGATTCGTCGTATTTCGGAATCCTGGTGACAATTTTATACTCCATTTGGAGTATTTTTGATCTACTTCTTATGACGAAAATTCCCGAACCTTGTTCGGATTAATCCGGATTTTCTGACCTACTTTATCTTCCGAGATTTCACGAGTTAACATTCGTCTCATTTCGGAATCCTGGTGACAATTTTATACTCCATTGGAGTATTTTTGATCTACTTCTTATGACGAAAATTCCCGAACATAGTTCGGATTAAACCGGATTTTCTGACCTACCTTATCTACCGAGATTTAACGAGTTACATTCGTCTCATTTCGGAATCCTGGTGACAATTTTATACTCCATTGGAGTATTTTTGATCTACCTTTTCTGGATTTTGCCCTACTTCTTATATCTTGACAACAAGCAAATCAAAAAGTTCGACATGAACGGGTCTCGATCAACTAACTTAGAGCGTGGGAGCCAGGCACGCTAACCATTAGGCCAACGTGCTACCGATATGAAAGAACAAAAGTATTATATATTTATACCGAGCGTCAATTCAAAATGATCCTCACTTTTGACTCCACTTAAATACGACTCGTCAGATGTATCCAGAATAGGTGAACGCCTATGGCGCTAGTGAATAACCAAGTCCCAGGTGAGTGGTTCGTATCCCTCCGTGATATACTATTTTTGTTTCATTAAATACGACAGAAAGGAGCAAGGTGTAGTTTGAAAACAAGACGTTAGTTTGTTTCAAAACAGTTTGGAAACATTAATCTCTGATAATTTAAGATTTTCCACTCCTGAAGGGCCTCTAGATCTATGAAATTCATTAATCCACTCAGTAAAAATACTATTTCTCTGCAATCTAATGTCCAATCAAGATCATTCAAATATATATGTGTTCCTGACACGTTTGGGCGTCCGGGAATAGCAAGGTCTACACAAAGTTTGCACGCGAAATTGACGTAATTCATGACTGAAATCGGGAAGACAAAATTTGAGATTCACAAACAAAATTGCTTGTGAAAACTATTTACAAAAGTGTTCCAGAGACTCTAATCTACTTGGCTAAGGTTTTATTTGAAGATACATTGCCTTATTAAGCAGGTAGAGGGGCATACAGAATACGGGAGCAAATGCTATGTTGAAAATTTTCTATTTTTTCAATTTGAACCTGTTATTACAATGTTTTATATGGGGATTATATGTACTTTACTTGTTTACATGAACTTAAATCATTACATGAAATCTGCATTCTTCTGGGTTTAATCTGGGTTTTTATTGTCTTATTGGGGCTTTTCGACTTTAAAACAAACCCTACCTAAATGGATTGTGTCTCAGGAACGTTTTTGTAAATAGTTATTATAAACAATTCTGAAAGAATATCACATATTTTTGTCTTCCCGATTTCAGTCATGAATTACGTCAATTTCTCGTGCAAACATTGGGTAGACGTTGTCATAACCGGATGCCAGAACGTGTCAGAAACATATAGATACTCGAATGATGTTGATTGAACATCAGGGTGCAGAGAAATCGTAATTTTACTGTTTGTATCCAGTTGGAATTCCAGCGTATTATTTTATTTTTTTAATTATATGGTTGTGCTTTGATTTTACGCTGAAAACATTTATAACTACGTCAACTTTATATTAAAACATTTATTATCTTTTCAGTTGTATTAAAATGTAAAATATGATATATGTCAGCTTATTGCTTTCTGGAGAACAGTCAAGGTTTAAAGGACAAGGTGCAATTATTGGCAAATATCCCTATGGTCAAAATGAATCATTCGTAGGTGTAACATGAAGAATAAAATGTCATATAATATTTTGGAAAATATTAAAGTGCTCGGGCACACATAAGCTAAGATAGGGATCATTTCGTTCAGTAAGGTTGTATTGACTTACATGAGGCTGTACACCATTGACTTAACATGAGGATATCAGCAGATCCCAATAGAGGCCATTGATTTCCATTGATTATCACAGAAATACCAAAAATACACTATGACCTGAATCGATTGCAAACTTAATAATTTCACAATACGACACAAATGGTTTATCTCATCAAATGTGCAAATATGAAGTTTGCAATCGATTCAGGTCATACTTAAAATTAAAAGATTGTACATTTTTTCATTATTTTTTTCCCTACAAAATGGCTATAGAAAAATGATCCAAAAACAACTTTTACACTTATCAAATATCATACAAGTTTGTAAAACCAAAGATTATACTATTATATTTCATTATGTAGTAACATATTTGGATAAGATGCAGGGATCCGTAGGATGTAAATGGATTTTGACAGACACAAAAATACTTCCTGGTTTGGAATCTATGCCTCTACACTTCATGATTGAATTATGACCCTAATAAATGGCCTATACATCAATACAGTGCTGAATATAGGTCAACAAGATACTAGTGTGCATATAAATGTAATAATTGAAGCAGAATACTCATTTTGAAAAATCAGATGAATTATTTTTTTCCCATGGTCCTTTGGTACAATGAATCGGACACTCATGTAAATCGACATGGTTATAACATTGAGCTCAATGCAGTAAATTAGTTATTTCTATGAATCACAGCGGGATTGGTTTCATTTTATATGATTGCCAACTCTGGCGGTATTTTTGTAAATGCTTTTGACCGCGGTAAATGTGAAACTGATACAGTTGTGTATTATTCAATTGTTTTATGTCTTGGTCACATTTGCTCCGATTTTCACTACGGCGCCCGGCCGATTGAGTAATGTGTTCAGAAATGTATTCAATTTTGAACAAAATACTCGCAGCAAATGTGATCCAGGCATTACACAGCGGTATTTCGAACATACTATTGTTGCATAACCACGCCCCAGCCAATTTTAAAATCATACTCCTTATTTAAATCCAACGATAGGAGCTCATGGAAAGTATACATTTCAACTTTTATACATCTTTACAGATACTAGAAATCTACATGTTCGAGTGGATCACGAAGGGTCCCCACATAGCAGCAGTCTCCGTAAAATGCAAAATACCTGTATTGATAACTTGACTTTGACTGATTTTTGAATTGAGATGAACTTGTTGAAACCTCGTGAAACGCCAGATACTAGTACCTAGATGTGACCTTGAAATAATGTTGGCCAATACACATTGACTTTGACCTTAGGTCACCTAATCATGTGTCGTCAAGGGTCATTGTAGCCCTCAAGGTCCTTACAACGCCAAATACTTAGATATTAATTTTTGATCTTGAAACAAACTTGACCCAGTAACATTGGCCTTGAACTCAGTTCACCTAATCGTTGGTTGCCAAGGGTCACAGCAGCCCAAAGGACTTTAAATCACCAAATACCTAGATATTAATATTTTACATAGGAATGACCTTGACTTCAGGTCACCTTATCATGCCTCATCAAGGGTCGAATCTCAGACCGAGGGTAAAAAACGCGTAAACCAAGATATTGACATTTTAAAGAGAGAATCGGATCTAGCAAGCTGTCTAACAAAAAAAAAGTTTCAATTTTAGAATATTTCTGGCTTATGTCATTCCTTTTCATGTCTATTTTCTAAAAATATAATCCCAAAAGTGCACACTTTATTTCAGGAAAACTAAAGAGTTTACAACAATGACTTTTGTATATTTCTTCTATAAGAATGGTTACTTATTATTTACAATTTTGCACTTTTAATCTATTATAACTTCATCAATTTTTAACATATCGTAAATATTTTGTGAGATATTGTATTTGAGATTGTAAGGAATAGTGTACGTCAGTTGTACATGTTGCTTGTAATTTTGTCACCTCCATATATCTGATTCTGCCTTTAACCTAGAATGACTTTGACCTCTGACCTTAGTAGAACGCTCACTGGCCCATCAAGTATGAGGGCAAAAGGAGATGTCGAGACCTACTATAAAGCATGTTCGGTCTGTCTGTCATTTTGTCTGTCTGTCGGGACATTTCCTTCTACACCATTTAACCTTAGTAAGTTGGTCTCCGAAGGTCAGAGTTAAGTTCATTCAAAGGTAAACGATCAATGTTTAGGTATTTGGCGTTTGATGATACTATGGCCATTGGCGAATTGTGATTAGATGAACCGAGGTCAATATTAATGTTTCTTGTACAAGGTCATCCCAAGGTCAAAGATAAATATTTAGGTATTTTACGTTTCAAGACCTTTGGACAAATTCGATTCAATTCAAGAATCGGTCAAGGTCAAAAAATCAATATACAGGTATTTTGTATTTTTTTGTAAAGATGTATTAAAGTTAAAATGTAACAAGTTACATTTCAATCAATATGATGAGTATTTTCCTTACATGTTATGTAAATAAAAATTCAAACATAAAGAGGCTTTAACACGAGGGAGCTAAGGTTGCCAAACTTATGAAGGGGAGTGTATATCTGACATTATTCTATAAAAAGTTCCTGACTATCACAATTCAGTATTGACAAAGTTATGTTTACTATGGTAACCAATGTCAATGTCTGGGAGGGGGCAAAGTTCTAGCGTCACTTTTTGACGAAATTTTAAGTGTTGAAAGCAACTATCACATATCATTGTTTCACTCTTTGGAAATGCATTGAGGCAACGCATATATAGTCCTCACAGTTGTACTATTGTAATGACCCCAGGGCGCCTCCGAGGAATGACTAACTAACGATACTGTAACAAGCCAGATACAGACCTGAAAGGGAGTGTGCTAAATTTTTATCGTACCTAACAAAAGGTACGATATTGTAGTCAGCTTGACGGGCGGCGGGCGGGCGGCGTCTCACTTTTCAGCTTGTCTACAGGTTTCCAGCCAAACCATGTGAGGGATTCATCTGAAATTTTCAGGGATGTTTCTACATATCAACGTCAAGAACTGATTAGTTTTTGGGCATTCTGGGTAAATCTTAAGGTGGCCATTTTGGATTTTCCGTCTTAAAATCTTCACTTTCAAGACTTGTCTACAGGTTGATTAGTTTTTGGGCATTATGGGTAAATATTAAGGTGGCCATTTTGGATTTTCCGTCCTAAAATCTTCACTTTCAAGACTTGTCTACAGGTTTTCAGCCAAATATTTGAGGGATTCATCTGAAATTTTCAGGGATGTTTCTACATATCAACGTCAAGAAGTGATTAGTTTTTGGGTATTCTGGGTAAATCTTAAGGTGGCCATTTTGGATTTTCCGTCCTTAAATCTTCAATTTCAAGACTTGTCTACAGGTTTCCAGCCAAACCATTTGAGGGATTCATCTGAAATTTTCAGGGATGTTTTTACATATCAACGACAAGAACTGATTAGTTTTTGGGCATTCTGGGTAAATCTTAAGGGGGCCATTTTAGATTTTCCGTCCTAAAATCTTCACTTTCAAGACTTGTCTACAGGTTTCCAGCCAAACCATTTGAGGGATTCATCTGAAATTTTCAGGGATGTTTCTACATATCAACGTCAAGACCTGATTAGTTTTTGGGCATTCTGGGTAAATCTTAAGGTGGCCATTTTGGATTTTCCGTCCTAAAATCTTCACTTTCAAGACTTGTCTACAGGTTTTCAGCCAAACCATTTGAGGGATTCATCTGAAATTTTCAGGGATGTTTCTACGTATCAACCTCAAGAACTGATTAGTTTTTGGGCATTCTGGGTAAATTTTAAGGTGCTCATTTTGGATTTTCCGTCCTAAAATCTTCACTTTCAAGACTTGTCTACAGGTTTCCAGCCAAACCATTTGAGGGATTCATCTGAAATTTTCAGGGATGTTTCTACATATCAACGTCAAGAACTGATTAGTTTTTGGGCATTCTGGGTAAGTTTTAAGGTGGCCATTTTGGATTTTCCGTCCTAAAATCTTCACTTTCAAGACTTGTCAACAGGTTTTCAGCCAAACCATTTGAGGGATTCATCTGACATTTTCTGGGATGTTTCTACATATCAACGTCAAGAACTGATTTGTTTTTGGGCATTCTGGGTAAATTTTAAGGTGGCCATTTTGGATTTTCTGTCCTAAAATCTTCACTTTCAAGACTTGTCTACAGATTTTCAGCCAAACCATTTGAGGGATTCATCTGAAATTTTCAGGGATGTTTCTACATATCAACGTCAAGAAGTGATTGGTTTTTGGGCATTCTGGGTAAATTTTAAGGTGGCCATACTTAACATTTATACAATTGCAATACATAAAACAAAATACAATTGAACAAATATGTCCAGCCGTTGTCGACTTATGAGTGACTATAGATAAATGCGTCTTCTATGCCACATTTAAAAACATATTTAATATTTATTTGTATTGATTAGTTTCTGGGCATTCAGGGTAAATGTTAAAGTGGCCATTTTGGTTTCTTGTCCTAAAATCTTATGCTTGTCTAGTGTTAGTGTTGGGCATATAGGATGAAAAATCTATAGGAACACCCATTGGAAGGGACATTTGTTTCAGTGTGCTATAATTTAGGCTTTTTCATTTCTATTTCAGCCTTTATGTCATTTTAGCAAGTGTAGAAATAAGAACGTTTTGTGGTACAACAAGCTTTTATGCTCTAATCTTGGTCATGATGCAAGTTTTCAGCTGTTTTGAGTCATACTAGTGCAACAATTAGAATGTGTGCAGTGATTGCTATTGCAACAACATTTTTTATTTTACAGGGCATGCCATGTAAGAACCCAATAGGGATAGAATGCAGGACTGTAGGAAGCCATACTCCTGCTTCGGAAACTCACCAGGTGTTTATGCCAGGAGCTGAGTGTTCACTTGCAAGGGGACTCATGTGTCAGAACAGCGATCAGAGAGGTGGCGCTGGTGGCTTTTGGTGTCTTGACTATGAAGTGAGATACCTCTGCCCTAAATAAAGAAAAGGAAATTTCAGATGAACATGCATTGAAAAGAACCATTCCCGGGAACCACTTTGGCAGAGTATTTAACAGAATTTTAACAACTCAAAACATCAAGATTCGATTCTGTAGACATATTCCCAAAATTTGTAATTTCATGGATTGATCATTTTTCGAATGGCATAGAGGAAATAAACTTAAAATTGAATAAGTTTGTGCTAATCAATAGTTATATGTTCATGAACGTGATGTTCCAATAAGAACTAAACTAATTTAGAAACGTGTTGAGTTAAATTTGTTTTTAAAATGTGGTCTCAAAAATCCTTTGATATGTTTAATCGTACTTTAAAAGGATACGATATCGCTGTCAGCATCAATGGCAAACTGTCTTTAAATGATATATAACCTTGGCATTAAATGATGAAATCTTTTGTTAAATGGAGTTCAAACTCAAAATTAAAATTCAATTGTCCAATTAACTTTTATTTTTGGTGAAAAATATTTTGCACTGTTTCCCCCAATAACAGTCACTATTTGCATTCTATCGTTGTTGATTAGTCAAATGACATTTATTGATTGGTTGCCGATTAAAGATTTGGTATAAACACTAAATATCAATAAAGGTCCATTTGTGGCATATTCAGCAATCAAAAGTACATTTATTTCGCATCAAGGCATTCATCATTTCTCAACAGGCACGAACTGAATGTCAAAGATGATCTCCTTTTTATGATCTGCAATTGTCCAGAGGTCATTTTTATACACTCTATCTTTGGCATATCCCCACAGGTACATGTAGAAGTCAGATAGGACATTTTGGACAATGTGTGCAGGTTTGCCTACAGCAGAATAGTGCCCACTTACATTATGACTATGTATCTGATGGTCATGAAATATGGCAGGATGGTTGGCAATTGAATAATGTACACATGTGCTCAATATCAGTTAGTAATATCTTAAAATGACAAAGATATAAAGGAAATAGAAGAGGGTTGCCATTTTTTGACCACCCTGTACATTAAAAAGAAAGTTCATCAAATTGTTTTATGCTACATCCTAGGTCATGCAACTGAACCAACTTTTTGATAATTCATTTTAGGTCGTGTAAGTGCAACAAGTTTTGTGTGCTACATTTTACATGAAGGTCAGGCAAGTGTACCAACTTATTTTGTTAGTACCGCAATTGAAATACTCAATTCTGATTGGTTGATTAAAAATCAGCAATATGTACTGTTGAAAAAATTAGACAACTTTTTAGAAGCGATAATCAACGGTTTGCGGATATTTTGCAGATTGTTTGTTAAAATATGATATATTGATCCACTTATCAAATATCTTCACCTGATATTCGATATATCCTTCCTTCTATCGGTCACGGTCAACAGTACTTTAAAGGTTTACATTATAGGTATACATGTACAATTTTGCCAGTTGACCTCAAGAGAGGTCTACAATTGTATAATATTACATGCTAGGTCATGCAACTGAAACAACTTTTTTATGATTCATATTAGGGTCTATATTGTATAAGTGCAGGTGTACCAACCTTTTTTATGATTCATCCTAGGTCGTGCAATTGTACCAACTTTTTTATGTTACATTCCAGTTCATGCAAGTGCACCAACTTTTTATATTAATTTCTAGGTCGTGCAAATGCACCAACTTTTTGTTTCATTCTAGGCCATGCAAGTGAGGACTAACATTTTATGTTACATTCCTGGTCATGCAAGTGCATAAAAAAGTACATAAACCTTCTCGTTTTAAATGTTTATTCTTTATCATACCAATGATTATACAGTGATATATCTCTGCCCTAAATAGGGAAAATGAAATACCAAAGGAACGTACATTTAAAAGGACACTTGCTTTAGTGAATTATTTACTGGAATGTCGATGACTCAATGAGATGTGATACTGATTAATTTTTTACCATAGAAATATGCCATTTTACATTCTTCTTAAATATTTAATTAATTTACCAAGAAATGAACTGGAAACAAATAAATATATCTAGGTGTGTATTACAATTTTTATTACCATAGTTTGATGCTATACAATAATCTGAGGTTACACAATAACTTGAGGCTATACAATAAACTTATGCTATACAATAAGTTGAGGATATACAATAACATTTACAGCAGCTGTTATCAAGATATTTTAATAAAATATGATTGGCAAAAAGATCGCTTATGATTATTGCACTATATACAAGTACACTAGACAAGTACATTGCACAAAACAAGTGCACTAGTTCAGTACTTGTACATTGCTCTAAGCTTTAAACAAATATATTGCTTTTTACAAATAAATCATATCTTATAAGTACATTGCATTTTACAAATGCATTGCATTTAATAATAATTACAACGTGCGCAATGCAAGTACATGTTAACATTATACTGAAGCAGATAAGCACAATATCAAGGGCTGAATGGCCCCATAAATAAAAAGCATAAAAAGAACTCAATCTTCTTTTTTTATTTTATATATAGGGAGAACTCATAATGCTAGCTTATAGGAATTTGTCACCAATATTTGTAACTACCATATTCATAAACTGTGTAATAAAGAAATAAAACAATTATAAAAAAATAAATAAAAAGCATACCGTAATAATAGATCATTTGTCTTTTCATGTTTTTCAAGAGACATGTAAACATTGCTCTATTAAAATTAAATTTATCATGATAATCAAACTGAAATTGTTTAAAATGCATAACTATATGACAGTCAATTTGTTTAATGTGTCATTCATCTCAATTTTACAAAAATGTTGATTCAGACATTTTTAAATTGTAACTGCATTGCACTATTCCGACAAGTTTTATCTTTTACCTTATTGTTATACTTTACCTCCTTTTTGTTTCACCTCATTTTAATTTTTTCCCTCATTATTTTTGATTCATTATGTTTTACTAGACATAAATTGCAAATCATGCATTTCCTAAATTATTATGTATTACCTCATTATATTTTACCTCGATATGCACTAGTTAATATGCATAACCTCATTATTTACAAATACTAAATTTGTAATTTCTAACAAAATACAAAAGTTTTATTGGTGCTTACAAAAGGAGGAAGTAATGAACGTTTTCTAAAAAACAAACTCTTCTAAATCAATAATGGAAAGTCTCTATAAATGGAATGTCTTTCTGAAAAACATCCTTCTGAAGATCTTATTGTGAATTCTTCTCTTGTTTCTTAATTCCCATTTTAAATAAAATACCTCCAAATGAACATCAGCCAATGAAATCATCTCCACATTATATATATTCAGATTAGATTGGTTTTATTTGACAGTATACCATATCATTTTTATCACAATAATAAATGAGAAGTGATACTGATTAATTTTTTACCATAGAAATATGCCATTTTACATTCTTCTTAAATATTTAATTAATTTACCAAGAAATGAACTGGAAACAAATAAATATGTCTAGGTGTGTATTACAATTTTTATTACCATAGTTTGATGCTATACAATAATCTGAGGTTACACAATAACTTGAGGCTATACAATAATCTTATGCTATACAATAAGTTGACACTATACATAACATTTACAGCAGCTGTTATCAAGTTATTTTAATAAAGTATGATTGGCAAAAAAAGATCGCTTATGATAACTGCACTATATACAAGTACACTAGGCAAGTACATTGCACAAAACAAGTCCACTAGCTCAGTACTTGTATATTGCTCTAAGCTATAATCAGTACATTGCATTTAGTAAATTGTATCTTATAAGTACATTGCATTTTATAAAAATACATTGCATTTTACAAATGCATTGCATTTTACAAATGCTTTGCATTTTACAAATGCATTGTAATTTACAAATGCATTGTATTTTACAAATGCATTGCATTTAATAATAATTACAGCATGCACAATGCAAGTACATGTTAACATTATACCAAAGCGGATAAGCACAATATCAAGGGCTGAATTGCCCCATAAATAAAAAGGCATAAAAAGAACTCGATCTTCTTTTTTATATATAGAATGAACTCATAATGCTAGCTTATAGTGATTTATCACCAATATTTGTAACTAATATCATAAACTGTGTAATAAAGAAAAAAAACAATTATAAAAAAATAAATAAAAAGGGATACCCTAATAACAAGATCATTTGTCTCTTCATGTTTTTCTAGAGACGCGTAATTGCTCCATTAAAATTAAATATATCATGATAATCAAACTGAAATTGTTTAAAATGCATAACTATATTACAGTCAATTTGTTAAATATGCCATTCATCTCAATTTTACAAAAATGTTGATTCAGACATTTATAAATTGTAACTGCATTGCACTATTCCGACAAGTTTTATCTTTTACCTTATTATTATACTTTACTTCCTTTTTGTTTCACCTCATTTTAATTTTTTTCTCATTATTTTTGATTCATTATGTTTTACTAGACATAAATTGCAAATCATGCATTTCCTAAATTATTATGTATTACCTCATTATATTTTACCTCGATATGCACTAATTAATGTGCATAACCTCAAGGATACCCTAATAACGACAATATGGCCCCACACTATGTGGTGGGGACATAAAAATAAATAAAAAAGGATACCCTAATAACAAGATCATTTGTCTCTTAATGCTTTTCTAGAGACACATAACACGCTCTATTAAAATTAAATATATCATGATAATCAAACTGAAATTGTTTAAAATGCATAACTATATGACAGTCAATTTGTTTAATGTGTCATTCATCTCAATTTTACAAAAATGTTGATTCAGACATTTTTAAATTGTAACTGCATTGCACTATTCCGACAAAAGTCTTATCTTTTACCTTATTTACCTTATTATTATACTTTACCTCCTTTTTGTTTCACCTCATTTTAATTTTTTCCCTCATTATTTTTGATTCATTATGTTTTACTAGACATAAATTGCAAATCATGCATTTCCTAAATTATTATGTATTACCTCATTATATTTTACCTCGATATGCACTAGTTAATATGCATAACCTCATTATTTACAAATACTAAATTTGTAATTTCTAACAAAATACAAAAGTTTTATTTGTGCTTACAAAAGGAGGAAGTCTAATACTTAAAATAATGAACGCTTTATAAAAAACAAACTCTTCTAAATCAATAATGGAAAGCCTCTATAAATGGAATACTTATCTTGTTCCTTATTCCCATTTGAAATAAAATACCTCCAAATGAACATCACCCAATGAAATCATTTCCACATAATATATATTCAGATTAGATTGGTTTTATTTGACAGTATACCATATCATTTTTTATCGCAATAATAATATACATGTACGACAAAGCAGTTAACAAAATAATTATGAGCAATTTAAAGTGCTTCACAGTCAAGATTTACAATCTTTTATCTATTAGCATGGCAATTAAATTTTTGGCTTATTGTTAGAATTTCTAACTAATTAAACACCCACATCCATATCTTGCTGGCTGGGAAAGACTTGATCAGCTGTAAAGATAAAATTTAAAAAAAATTGTATTTGGTAGATCTTGATTTTACAAGGTTCTTTTAAGAAAATAATTCAGCGAATTCATGAAAGGTTCAGCCTCAACAAATCTTGTTAAACATCTTGTTAAACAAGACTTCAACAAACAAATAAACGAATATGAATGATTATGATTAGTAGTGTATCACTAAAACAGTTATACTGTACGACAATAATTACTTCTCTATGATAAAGACAGAGTCAGAGATGAGGTAGATGAGGCAATTGCCTCAACAGGAAAATCCATTAGACCACATTTGCCTCACCTATTTAAATTTGCCTCACCAATTCTAAGGCTATGCCCTTGACTGTGTTGCCGTAAGAATACTACAAGTATAATACAGTTAAACAAAAGTGTTTAATTCTAAGATATTTTATATCAAACTATCATAACATTTGAATTCATGAAAATTTGAAATCAGTCTAGCCCACAGACCCATAAAAAGGGCAAACTATCTAACAAAATGGGTCATATAAAGAGATTAGTTGAGTCATTTGTTGGGTCTGTGTGCTGGACTAAAGTGAGTAAACTGTTGTTGCGTAATTTTAGTGGAGGTCATGCTCAAAGTCAATTTATATAATATTTTTACAGAGAAATTTACATACAATATGGTACAAAGAGAATTTAGTGCCACTTTGGTACTTATATTTCATACCAAATAATTAATAAAAGATTAGTAAGATAAATATTTCAAGGACTTACTTGAAATAATTTCTTCACCATGATTGCATACACTAAACTTCAAACTTATAGTTCAAAACAAAAAACATTTTCATAATAATAAATATGTATGTTTGCCACAGATGACAAACATATTATGATGTCCTAGCTCACACATACAGTGTATATATCAGTTTTTAGTATTTGGCAATATTTAAAGCAAAGCTGTTTTTGAACACCATTGGTATCATTTATGTTTCAAGGTTTAATAGGTCAGACACTCCTATTTGAGAAATATAGACCGAAGAGCAGGGGTAATATTGACGAATACACCCCGCAGGGCTAGGCCAAACGACCAAAGGGAGTGAGGGGTTAGAAAGCTTTGGTGCCTCGCCCTTAGGGATGTATTCGACAATATTATCCCTGCTCTGAAGTCTATATTACGATTCGAACATGAAAACTCACCAAAATGTTTCAAACATTCATTATGGTCCGCCATTACTTCAACCCGCCATTATTATGTCACACATTACCAGGGGTATTCTTCGCGAATATACCCCGGGTGAAATGTTGACAGTTTATATAAGGTGTGAATACAGTCATGTTCGAATCATATTCATTCCATTTTTCTCCTTCTTTGATAAAATTACAACACTGCTTGCATTTCTATACACTTTAGAATATATACTAGATGCCTATTGTATTCTATTCCATGGTAATTCCACTCTTTTAGACTTACATTATACTGTATTTCAAATATGACCTGTGCCACATACTATCTATCCATGTAATATACACTGTAATGTGCCCTTATATATTGAGGTATACATATAATAATAAAAAACAGTATTACACTCCCCACTATTAGTTTGGGAACTGGAAGTATTTATTTGATTGCCTGTTAACGTCTCAATCTTTTTCTCCTTATATTACAATAGTTCAGAACCTTACAACAAATTTTGTGATTTTTTTAAATAGCAATACAAACAGGCCTCAACACTGATGCCAGGGACTTCCAGATGACAAACTTATAAAAGGGACGTATATTTGCACAGAATTGTCCTTAAAGTACAATGATAGAACCTACTTTTAAGGTGATCCCTGGGTATATTGCGTGCATCTATGATATTATCTAATTACTATATTTAACTCAAAACGGATACACACATTTGCTAATCTCTGCTCCCAGGTGAAAAGAACAGTTCATGAACTACTCCTGAACTATTCAAGAATAGTTCATGAACAGATTCTTGAACTGGCAATCATCTGTTCATTTAAGTTTTTGAATAGTGTTAACATGAAAAGTGTTCTCCTGGTGATGTCCTGTCTCAGCCTTGTCACATCTACTTAGCTAATTTCTCTCTTAAATTAGAAAGAACTACCTAGATTTTCTGGCATTTCTTTACACTTAAGAGTGTTGCTTACATATTTGTTTACTTTATTTCAGTATATTTCACTCGTTTCCTCTCTACTTTTCATCTCAAAACATAACCACTAAGGTATTCTAACCTTGGAAATAGACTTACCACATTTCCTGGATTTTTATGGGATAGTTTCCTTGATTAATGGATATGTTGGACTATTAATGGATATGATTGTTGGACTATCAAAACAGGAGAATAAATACCCACTTCGAATTTTCAGGCTTACAATCCATTCTTTTCATACTCAGAATTCAGACTGAAAAGCCAGGGTTTTCTAGTTAAGGTCACGACCCTCATCAAACGACGTACTTTCTACTTTGACAAAAGTTTTCAGCAAATTCTGAACTTCCTCCAAAATTGGTTCGCATAATTTTTGATATCCTTGCGCAGTAAAATGGAGATAATCATACATGTCTCTATGGCTTATTTCACCGTCAGAATTTACAAAAAGTCCTGCGTCCACATTGACGAACACTGCTCGTGGCTCATTGGATAGTTTACTGGCTAGTGATTGGTTGATTTTGGTGATTTTTTCACGTAATTTATTCGGGTTTTGACCTCTAGGTGGAATTCCCTGAAAGTAGAAAATAGAAATATCTTCACTTTTCTTATATATAGGACACTAGTATTATGTGAAAAGTAACTTTTGAACTATTAAGGTTAATGAAGATGTGTTCACTCATATTGACTTGGATAATGTAGCCTTATAACTGAAGAATTTATTGTAAAAATTGTTTTGACACCTGACAGGAAAGAAATCATAAAAGGTCCCTCAAAACATACGAGGTGAAACATGATTAAAATTGCATTTAGTAACGACTGATTACTCTAACAAGGCAAAAGTAAGACCTAAGTTATAAATTAGTAGTATGAGCGCCATCAAATGGACAGGAACGCAAAAGATTGAGGACAAGCAAATTTCATTCATCTGAAAATGGTTGATGGATAGATGTACAGACAGATGGATGTTCAAACAGAAGGACAATTGAGTGATTAAAATTCTCAGTCATTATCAGCTAATTCGGTTGCTTATTGTTTACACTGAGCTTTTTGACTCAAATGGAGCAGGCTCAAATCCGCCAGGGCAAATGTTTTATATTTCATCTTCATTTTTGAATCACAATACATTATCTTGATCATTGTCATATTTATATATGATATGAATTTGAACCACCAAAACAGATGACTATTAAGTTAAAGGGAACTTTCTACATGCTATCTGACCCGAAGGAGCCACCTGGCTGTAAAACTGGTAACTACCTACTCATATCTGAGTCATTCCTTCGTGAGCATTTTACTATGTACTCGTATGTCTACTTACTACAACAACAGTTTGGGCCTCTGGTTGTTTTTCCTCAATTGTGTTAACTATTGCCAATATTCCTTCAACTACCTGATCTGCACTGTGATCGTGATTGTTTGTACCGACTAGCAACACCACTACCTAAAATGCAAGAATATTCTAGAAAAGGGTAACATTAAAGTGCTATGGGATTTAGTTTCGGTTTTGCCTCTTGGGAGGTTTTTCTCTTTAAAATTTGAATAAAGTGTTTGATGTCCTGATGTTTCTATACAATTTAAAGCATTGACTATAAGTCTGTTTATTCTTTTACTAACAAATTCTACTGTTTTTCACTTTATTTTCATTTTACAAAATTGGAAACATCAACAAATCTTACAAAAACATTCAGTATAAAAAAATTAATTCTAAAAGATTTTCAATTAGGTTAAACCAAAGACATAAAATAATGTTATTATATATGTCTCTGGTTAAACACAAATCTTGTGGCATATTGTAAATGCATAAACACAATACCGCAGTAAAATCTTCTTATTTATACAAAATCGAAACTGTTGAAAATTCCCAATTTTACATAGTCCACTGACTCCCATGTCCACCTCTATATATATAAACACCTCTCAATGTCAACACCACCTAATGTGAGCACCACTTAATGTGAGCACCACCTAATGTGAGCACCACTTAATGTGAACCACCTAATGTGAGCACCACTTAATGTGAACCACCTAATGTGAGCACCACTTAATGTGAACATCTCTTAATGCAAAAGCTTGCTCACTTTGAACACATTATTCTGTACATAGTATTTAGAAGCAGAAGCAGTACCTTAGGAGACAAACTATCAAGCTCTCCGTTTTGTAACCTCCATAAAACGTGTTGGGTTTCATCTTTCCCGATCCCAAAATTTAAACAGTGTAGAGGAACAAACATTTTCTCCCAGACCTAAAGGATGCAGTGTGTAGGTGAAAGGGTTAATTTAAAGGTCAAGGTCAGAGGTAAGAGGGTTAACCAATCAGATAGCAGAATGAGGTTCTTAGGACGCCACCTATATCTAAACTAGATAAAAAAACTAAGGGTGTAGCCAGGATTTAAAAGATGAGGCAAATAGGTGAGGCTAATATGAACTAAAGTAATAGTTATACTTGTACTTTCAGTCATAAGACTTTATTTTCAGAGGTTCAATTGCAAAAATGTCCAATTTCTTACTTTCCTTTACCATTTTGTTGAGGTAGTTGCTTCACCTTCCTGTTACCTGGCTACCCCCATATAGACTAAATACATAGGTTCAGTGTTCTCCCGAGGATTTTTTCTCAAGTGGGTGCAAAATTCTCATTTTCAAAATTCAGACCAAAATTGGTCAAAATATACCCATTTTTCATGATTCTCTCATTTTCAAGTGGGTGCAAATGGATTTTCAGGTGGGTGAAAGATTGTTTTTAAAATCTCAGGTGGGTGCTGCATCCACTTGCTTTAATGCTGGGGAGACCACTGGGGTTACTATCTTAGTTTCTATCAAAAACATGAAAATACCACCTGAAACCAGCATTTTGACTAAAGCTTCTAATATGAAACTAAGGTAAATAAAAATGCAGCATTTATTTTCTGAATATAATTGGCGTATTAAAGAAGTTACATCATAACTGGCTTCAGACAGTACTGTGCATGTATACTGTGAAAAAACCGAATCCCAAAAACAATCATTCTTTGTACTTCACTCTTTCACTGAACTATATATGCAAAACCACTGACAGCAATGTTATGGAAATTTAGAGACTGCTTAGAATGCAATTGTTGTGCATACTGAGTGAACAAAAACATACTCAAACTTCAAGATTTTTTACAGTATACATGTATCAATGTTTTTGAATTCTTGCTAAGTATATTTTGGAAGCACCTTTGGACACACATTAGAAACTATTACTGAACAGACAGTGCGTTTGAAAATAGTTTGTGTTCCCTTTAAACCATGTATCATAATGTTAAATCAACTAGAGTGGTAAAAGTAGAAAACATTGTTACTTCTGTTAAAGCCTTTGCCCTGATGAATGTTACATATTCTTATTCAGGGAATAGCAGGGGAGGATTCAGAGATAAGGTGTAAAACTATTAAATGTAAATCAATCAATCAATCGATTGAATAATCAATCAACCAATCAACTAATGAATCAATCAATCATCAAGGTATCTAAATGTGGATGAAGATGCTTCCGTTTGACCATTCCAATAAAGCATACCATCTTTTGCCAAAAAGATCTAATCAGGGAAATGTTATAGTTTTAAGTCAAATTTTGTGAAAATAATCCCATGATTGTTTCAAAATTACAAAATACTGGCATGATTTAACAGAATGATCTTTTGTGCAAAGAAATGAAGAAGATAGTGAGTCGCAGAAACCACCCAAGGATTACACCACTTCCTGTCACCTTTCCAAAAGAACAGATTACTCCAACTTACTTACAATATGTCATTGTGCTCATGTTTATATTTTCCATGGTTGAATGTCCGTCTGTTCATGCTTATTTCATGTGATTTTTCAGCTTTATTTCATGCTAATTCCTCTGTTTTACAATCGATTTGTCATTTTAAAACATGAGCACAATGACATTTCTACGGGTCAATCCTTGTCTCTATACCTTGCATGTTATATGATCTAGTTCACCATTCTGTATACGCCATAATACGTGATGAGTTGCGTCACCTCCGACTCCAAAATTGATTGAATGAAGGGGAACAAACAATTTTTCCCATACCTAGGAGAGTGTAGAAGTTATATATTATTTATGTGCAGGTTTTCTTATATGTTTTCCATTTGTTTGGATAACACCTAAGTAACATGCAAGAAAATTGTAATTTAATAGTGTTGAGTCAAAAAGGATTATAAGCCGCGATCTTCAATTGCCTGGCAATATATTGAAAACTAACAGAGCAAAAAAGTTTGAATATTATCATATTACTTGTACTCTAGGTATAAATGTAAAGTAGATACTCAAGATGAAGAAGATACTCGGGATGAACAAGAAACTTGGGATGAACAAGATACTCAAGGTGAACAAGATACTCACTATGAACAAGATACTCCAGAAGTACAAGATACTCAAGATGAACAAGACAGAAATAGTATGACTTAATTGTTCTATGCCAGGCAATGGTAAATCAAGTTTGAATAATGGCTGCCAATCCTTTGGTGTAGAGCTAAAAAAGCATGAATGAGATTTGACAGTAGTCAAAAGTCACACTTTGCTAATAATCTAATTTTTATGGCTAGCACTTTGGCCAACAACATATAGGCCATAATACAGACATTCACCCTAAATTTTATTTTATTTTATTAGTTAGCTAAAATCAGTTTGGTCAATAAAATAAAGATGGAGTTTATATATTGAAGTGACACTAAAATTTAACAAATAAAGATAATAATTTATTTAATTTGCCTTTTACATCATGAACTCTAAACAATATGTCTACAAATCTTCGCGGGTCTGTGTAAACTGCAACCAGACTCCTAATTGTTGATATAATTAATTGGCTATATAATAACAAATTGCAACCAATAAGAGCCAGAGTTACCCAGAGCCTGGTTGCATTTTGCACACTTCAGTTTTGACATAAACTTATAAACATTAATCTATCAAAATGCTTTTAAACAACAGATCTTTATTAAAAGCTTATTTCATACAGTTTATATGACATTAATCTAATTTTTCTTACTGGAGAGAACTGTAATTGTTGAACGAGAGAGTCTCCAATGAACAACACCTCTACTTCACGACGCTTCCCCTGTGCCACAAACCGATTGTGCTGAAACAGAAAAAGTAAAGATTTGCTCTGAGAAAGGTCTGCTTGTGTTAAACATTTGATACTAGGCCTACTGCAAATGCCCACTTCCTGTAGGTGTAGGTACAGTTCAAATGTGTTGTTTTTTCTGATACTAGAATAGCATCATATATACTGTATTCTCCGTAATAAGCGCCCATTCTCTAAAAAGTGCCCAGAGCATATGGGTGAGTTTTCAAAGGATTATTAATATTACATTGTAAATAGAACATGTGAACATTTAAATGAGCGTACCTATTTGAAAAATATACTTATAAATCTGAGATGTTACTGAACATTCAATACTGAACATATCATGATATATTAAACTTGACAATGATACATGAACAATAATGAAAACTAGTCATCAGCTACATCGAAATCAATTTGGCAACCTACATCTGTCTGTCGAAAATATCATTATCAATGTTAAAAAGTGTGATGCTGTTTTGAACGGGTAAAGTATAAATAAGCCACTCAAAGCATATCTATCAGACATAAGATGATGACAGTACAAAAAACAGACATAAAATGATCCGCGCTCCGCCTTATGACCAATCACATTGCGGGAAGCATGTGCAGTATCCGTATGGAAATGAAATTCTACATGGATCTTTCCTAACCTGATATTTTTACTTATTGTATTGAACTTCCAACAACCATGTGGTGATGTGAAAAATCAACCCCACATTTATAGGGATAAATAAGCCTAATAATACATCATATGTTAGTTCAACGTCGTTAAACTCAATAACGGCGTTATTTATTATTAAGAATTTTCTTGGGGCCATTATTGAGTTTAACCTCCTTACTATTCTTTCCATTGATGCAAGTTTTGGATCCACCGAAACCATTTTTCCACGATAACATGCAACTGATACTTGACAACAATATAAAAACACATAACATCAAGCGATTAAACACAATATTATTGTATTAAATGGTCATTTATACAAGTAAAATGAGGTTAAACTTACCAATCTCTAAAATGACATTTCCGCATGTCCGCCATTGTGTCTGTTCGTCCCGGGTTAAAATGTAAACTATTGAAACGAAATTGTTGTCAAATAGATTGATAATTATCACGCGATTACTCGGGATAAAATAACTATTTTTGAGGATAGCAGGTATCTTTGATTGATTTATATAGCGCTTGTATACACACAAAATAGTTATTAATTGCAAACCTACTGTTCGTTGATGCAGTGTCGCAATGACGGTTAATTCCTGATACGATTTGCAATTTCGATGTTACCGGAGTTGACCGATATTTTCGTAAAATTCCAAACCTGTCTCCAATATTTTCGTAATTATGCATCAATATGGTCTAAGGGGGGTACGGGATGGTGTGTATGTATTTATAAGGTATGTATGCATGCTTGAATCACATTCTTTATGTAATATTACCATGTTTTCGGAGTTTAATTAGTTCCGCATGTCGGAACCTGCTGAACGACTAAATTAACACATCAAGGGCAAAATGGTCATGGAGGTTAGACCTAGCAGGGGCCATAAGACATGTCAGATAAGAAACGAAGCCCAGGCTAGGTCTAATGTTGTTGGACTAATCATATGTATGATCGGCATAAGAAAAATGTCCTGGTTGATTAGTTGAAAAACATATTTTTGAAGTGTTCCTACCATGCTCATCCACCTGTTATCCCCTTGGACATCTTGGACAGGTGTTGGTACAGTTGCAGTATTCATTTTGGCAGCTTTCCTGCTCTAAATATGAATAAAATTATGATTTTATGCAAAAATTATTAGAATTGCAATATTCCGGAAGTGAATGCGCGCCCATCTACTTTAATATTGTAATCATCCACGACTTATAATTATTCATAGTAGTTCATATATTTATGATATAAGTTATTTAATCATTAAACTATATGACACTTTAATCACTACCAATTGATAAATGATATTTTATTTGTATTTACTTAAGTAAACAGTCTACTTGAAAAATATACACTATTAATTAAATTCAAAATTTGTATACATATAAAGAAAAATTAAAGGTAAGAAATGTGGGACTTTTTCAAAAGAAATGTATTTGAACTGAAATGTGATGATACGAGAGGTCTGAGTTGTCTATGAACAAACTTTTTTCAGTCTAAATGATATTTGTGACATCACATTTTATTTTATCCAGGAAATGTGTTTGCTTATGTACTGTATCTGAATTTTATTAGTCTATCTGGCAACAACAAATACTACTTTTTTCAAGGCCTGACTGCGTCGCTAACATGCTAAATATAAGAGTTAGCTGACGTTTGGGAGTCTGACTTACCTTCTAAAGGTTAGAACCCGAATCTTAATGAAACCATATCACTTTTGTTCCGTCAACCATGGAGCATTTGCCACAACATCCAAGAGGTAAATCATTGACCGAGAAAATGAATGATTTCTTGTAAGATCCGGAAGTTTCAACACGAAAAATTACCGAACATATGTGAAAATCGAATATTTGTTCGTTGTTTTCACGATTTACAGGTTCGTTTGTTCTTCAATGTTTTGGTCTAAATTATAAAGCATCACCAACAGGTCTTACTCTATTAATCGACTAATACAGCAGACGGCTCATATTTCTACGTAGCATTTCATTCAGACCAATAGTGGGAGTGTAGATCACGCAGTTTCGTTCGTTGCGTACTTCACTTGAAATTGGTAATTTAAATATTGACTACTTCACGTAGCTTGGCGGATGTAGAACATTGCTTAATATTCTTTTAATTTTCACACCAGACATGCTTGGTTGACACGTCAACAAAGCAAAGTTCAAGGGTCAATGCGTTATTTCATGATAACTACAACGCCTTCCCGGAGGTCAACATTGACGAAAAATGAAAAAGTCGGAAAAGCATTTACGCTAATTTCTATCAAATGCTATGTTTATGCATCATCATCGACGCAACAAAGGTGATATGGTTTCATTAAGATTCGGGTTCTAACCTTTAGAAGGTAAGTCAGACTCCCAAACGTCAGCTAACTCTTATATTTTGCATGTTAGCGACGCAGTCAGGCCTTGAAAAAAGTAGTAGTCTACTCTCTAGAGCCCTCTAGTCTATAAGCTCTAGGGCAAAGGGGTGTAATGTCGACGTGTGGGGTAATGTCGACATAATAGACGGGGTAACTTCGACAATTACGTATTAGAAGTAGAATTTCCATTTTCCGCCATGTTTGATTTCTGGAAAAATTAAAATCTAGCGAGGTCTCGATCCATGCGAGAAAAAAAACATGGCTTCCCCCTAGATCGGAAATTAGAGCAAATAAACAACAAGGTGTCGAAGTTACCCCACATGTCGAAGTTACCCCAAAATGGTGTCGACGTTACACCCCTTCGCCCTATAAGTTATTGAATGATTTGAAGTGCAATACAGGATATATTCTGCTTGAGAAATTCCGTATTGGAATGAGACAAAGTCGAGTGCCAATACAGAATATCGAGAGCAGAATACTAGTATATCCCGTATTGCACTTCAAATCATTCAATAACATTTTTATCGTGTGATCCTCTGTATTGCTACTGAGATTCTCCCCTCTGTACCAATATTTTCTGTATTGCGATGGAGATGATCAACGGAGACAATCTCAGTAGCAATACAGATTAGTACAGCACAAGAACTGACCAATCAGAGGGCGTCATTTTACAGATCATACAATAAATTGTGGTACTGTACCTGTAGGGCAAAGGGGTGTAACACTGTAACGTAGACGGGTGTGGTAATGTCAACATGAGAAACGGGGTAATTTCGACAATTACTTATACTTATAATAATTTAGAATTTCCATTTTCCGCCATGTTTGATTTCTGGAAAAATAAAATTTTGCGAGATCTTGATCCATGTATGGGGTTTCAAGAGAAAGCCCACTATCCATGCGAGAAAAAAAACATGGCTTCCCCTAGATTAGAACAATTAGAACAACAAGGTGTCGAAGTTACCCCAAAATGGTGTCAATGTTATACCCCTTTTTCCAACTTACAGTAAAATTTTAAATGTTAGGAACTACTTTGAATTTAAAAAATAAGCAATCAAAGGACCATATTGAAACAGTTTATGTAAAAATAGAAACATTTATACATGTCCTAACTTTTGTATATTTTAGTTTGTTTTGTAGTTTAGCTATCATATCTGTGGCCACTTATATTTTGATGCTTGACTCTACCTTGTTATTTTTGAAAAAATTAATCTAAATTAAAAAAGGCCGCAGCTTTGCTACACATTATACATAACTATCTGAAATACACAAAAGTTAGGACAAGTACATATAATATGTTCCTCATTTTTTTCCAGTTGTTCCAAACATTTAAAATTTTACTGTATACAGTATTTCTAAGGCAGATTGATTTTGATAGATCAGCCTTTGGCTGCCAACAATAACAGTGATCTCCCCAGGATTTTTTCTCAAGTGGGTGCAAAATTCTCAAAATTAGTCAAAATTTGCCAATTTTTATGATTTTTCACATTTTCAAGTGGGTGCAAATGGATTTTCAGTTGGGTGCAAACTTGTTTTAAAAATGTCAGGTTGGTGCTGCGCCCACTTGCTTTAATGCTGGGGAGATCACTGAATAAGGAACTTGATAATCCTAACGCCTGAAACTGAAATACTGAATTCAGCTCCAAATGTTTTCTACATCTCTATCCTCTGTTTGTATGAGTCTGTAAGTTATCAACAGCTTCTCTGTCGGTCAGGACTTGTCTTTTTCCCTGAGTTGACATTTTCTAGTGAGAAATCAAAATGGTACTTTTGACGTAAATTTACGAAGTAGCATTTGAAATCTCCGGTGATTTCCACATGAAAGCTCCCATAAGTTCCACCACTTTTAAAGTTCATTCGGAAATCTCAGGACACTGCTTCGTGAATTTACATCAAAACCGCCATTTTGATTTCTCACTTAGAAATTGTCAACTCTGGGAAATGTTGGTTTTAACTCCATAAGTATTCTATCAATTTGCTTGAAATTGTGCCAGGGAAATTGTACAAGGAATTTATAGGTTATCAATAATACATAGAGGTTTCGGCAAAATATGTTGCAAAGATTCAAAATGGCTGCCACTTTTATCTTGGAAAAATCAGGTTTCCATAGTTACCATTGATCAATAACCAAGCTCATTTTCAAATATTTTTTAAACTTCGGAATTATAGGCTACCTGGAAAAGTGCAACACCAACACCACTTACAAGTCTTACCTGATGGCCAAATCTTGATTTGACATCCAAATACTTCTCTAGTAATAATACAGTCATCAACGAAAGGATAACTAATAGGGTAAACATTATCAAAATCCTTTTGTTCTTTGTTTTAAAAAGGACTGACATAGAACAATTCCTTTCTGATGGCATTTCTTTATAAAATGGTTGAGAGTTCATTAATAGCAGCCTAGCAGGTGGGCCAAGCAGTATCTACTTTTGTCTAGGTAAAAACTTAGCTAAGCTCTAGCTTAGGTCTAAAGGGACTCTGTCCCCTCAAGGGCGAATCTTATGCCTCCTCAACTGAGAACCAGTTTTTGCCTCCTCAAATCAGAACCAGTCTTTGCCTCCTCAGATAATAACCAGTCTTTACCTCTTCTCAAATAAGAACCAGTCCTTGCCTCCTCTTCAAGTAAGAACCAGTCTTTGTCTCCTCAGATAATTACCAGTCTTTACCTCTTCACAAATAAGAACCAGTCTTTGCCTCCTCAAATAAGAACCAGTCTTTGCCTCCTCAAATAAGAACCAGTCTTTGCCTCCTCAGATAATTACCAGTCTTTACCTCTTCACAAATAAGAACCAGTCTTTGCCTCCTCAAATAAGAACCAGTCTTTGCCTCCTCAAATAAGAACCAGTCTTTGCCTCCTCAAATAAGAACCTGTCTTTGCCTCTTCAAATAAGAACCAGTCTTTGCCTCCTCAAATAAGAACCAGTCTTTGCCTCCTCAATAAAGACATCTCTCTACAAACCCCCAGTGGGTAAAATTCTCTTCAAGGGAGAAACTGTTCTGTCACTTCAAAGGAGAAACCTGTCTCTATCGTTAATATCTGTAATAAAACTGCAGCTCTAAACTTTCATTCTTTTAAAACCACATATGTTTCCATGTACTATTTTGAAATGTGATTAAAAACTCCTCTAAACATCTGTCATTATCATCTTGTCAAGAGGAGATTAGTTTTGTGACACATAATTCTATTATGTCAATACAAAAATCAATTCTTAAAAAATCATTTCTAACACACCTTGCATTAAATGCTTGTAAATGTGCTATACCAACGACTGCATGTACATGTATTTCGCTGAAAGAATACATGGTTACCTCTACCAAAATTACAGAGATTTATTTCATGCATAATTACAGCAATGTGCATAGTTTTTGTGCAGTGTTTTTTCATTCAATAATAAACGCTTCTTTGTTTGTACATTTGGATAAATAACATAAGGCTTTTTTTTAGAAAAATGGAATAGGCTACAAACTTTGAAATATTGACCCAATTTATTTTAAAATTGATCCAATTTTCTAAAGATGCTACCTGAAAAAGCCCCAAAATCGGAATTCTCTAACTAAGTATACAGGGTGGTCCAAGAAATAGGACACAAAAAGGGGATTGATTTTCTTGATGAAAACATGTCATATAAATGACGTCATTTTCATTTCAAAACGGGTTTTCCAAAACTTGCAAAAACCAAGTTTATTGTCAACTTTATTTATATAAAAAATAGACGTTTAATGTGTCCACCATTTTGATCAATTATAGCCCTCAACTTTGGCTTAAATTGGTCACAAGCATCATTTGAAATGAAAATGATGTCATTTATTTATATTATGGACACTGGTTGACAGACATTGTTATAACTTTAAACTTATGATATACCAAATTAAAGATGAGTAAATTCCCTATCCACTGGTATATAATATGACGTGTTTTCATCAAGAAAATCAATATTCATTTTTGAAATACGAGTGTCCCATTTTTTTGGACCACCTGTATGCAGCATAACCTATAATAAATGGAACATAGGTAACTGGATTTTGAAGTGTTCCATCTATGGTGGTGTTCAGCTTGGAGAGGTATTCCACTTAACAGGTTTTATCGTTCTTACCTTTCTTAATGATGTTTGATCTAGAATCAAACACCTAATAGTTTCCATGCATTATGCAAGACTTTTGGCGCAACTAACAGTGTTGGACGTTCTCTATAAGTGAGTAAAAATAAACTGTGCTCAGTATCTCAATCTCTTCAATTTAATATTCTTTCAATAAGGAATGATTCTATGATCTGTTCTCTGTCCAATCAGAGCCTCATATTAAAAGCCTTATAGTTAAACCTGTCTAAATAGTCAAATACTTTCGCTACCTTTAAAAAGTAGTCCACTTGGGATATTTTCCACTTATGGAGATCCATTTAACATTAAATCTGTCTGTCTTGGAACTCTGAAAAGTGTTCCACTTACAGAGGTGTTCAAATTTTAGAGGTGTTCCACTATAGGTTTCCCTTGCATACATGGACATGTTAGAGGGAGCAACTTTGCAAAATCGTTAAGGTCCAGTCTGAAGTGTAAATGTCATTTAGTATGTTTTGAGAAAATATCAACATTTTGACATGGTCCCTCAAAGTACATTAGATGCATAGAGATTGCTTTTACCAAAGAACATTAGCTCCATAAGGGTTGCTTTTACCAAAGAACATTAGCTCCATAAAGGTTGATTTTACCAAAGAACATTAGCTCCATAAGGGTTGCTTTTACCAAAGTACATTAGCTCCATAAAGGTTGCTTTTACCAAAGTACATTAGCTCCATAAAGGTTGCTTTTACCAAAGTACATTAGCTCCATAAGGGTTGCTTTTACCAAAGAACATTAGCTCCATAAGGGTTGCTTTTACCAAAGTACATTAGCTCCATAAAGGTTGCTTTTACCAAAGTATATTAGATGCATAAAAGTTGCTTTTACCAAAGTACATTAGCTCCATAAGGGTTTCTTTAACAAAGAACATTAGCTCCATAAGGGTTGCTTTTATCAAAGTACATTAGCTCCATAAAGGTTGCTTTTACCAAAGTACATTAGATGCATAAAGGTTGCTTTTACCAAAGAACATTAGCTCCATAAGGGTTGTTTTTATCAAAGTACATTAGCTCCTTAAAGGTTGCTTTGACCAAAGTACATTAGATGCATAAGGGTTGCTTTTACCAAAGTACATAAGTTGCATAAAGGTTGCTTATAGCATGAAAATTTCGTTTTCTAAGTCCAAAGAATTTCAAAACAAGAATTCATAAATCTGCATAATTGGTGCATTGTGAAGTCACTTATACAGTTACACTTCTGTCATGTTATGTTTGAAATGTCAATCTGCTCATTTCATTTCTCTTGTATCTCTTTAAAATTTGAATGAAGTGTCCGATTTTTTGCAGTTCTATATAATTTAGAGTGTTGACTTTATGGCTGAGTACTTTATTCCTTGCTAATTTCACACCTTTGCACTCTATTTCCCATTTTAAAATATAACTATTTTGACACTTTACTTTCAGGCTTGTTATTCATGAAGGCACTTGGATTAACATGTTTTGTCCTTGGATTCAAGAACATTTGTTAAAATAACTGACAAGAAAGTAAACACTATATAAACAGTCAAAAGCGATTAAGAAGACTACCAAGGTGAAAGAAGTAAAGTCTAAGGACAATGATATAACCGATTATAGTGCAGAAATCCATATAACTAAATATCACCAAAGCAGGGAGGAAATCAGTAACTTGTGTCATATTGCACAATAGACTGATTTAAAAGGTTTATTTTGGACCTGGTTAGACACATGGTGAAACTTTGACATCTTGATGCTGGATGTTTAAGTGTGCAAAAATATTCTAAGCTGGAATATATGGCACTATAGGAATAGTAAAAGGATCGAATTCATTGTGATTTACAAGCAAAAAACCTAGTGTTTGAGTGTATTTATAAACTGAAGGCTTAATACAATAAGTTGATACACTGGATTTTATGTTTTTGGATGTTTCCTGGGAAGATTGAGATCAAACTCAATTAATGGACATATATAAATGAAATAATTACAATGAGACAATGGGAAGCTGAGTATCATCCGCTCTGTTATATATTGAAAGTAAGAGACACAAAATGGCTATTAATGTACCAGCACTTGTCATTCTCGTAATACTATATTTGGTAATACTCATTGTTGGCGTTGTTGCTGCGAAGAAGTTCAAGTCAGAATCAGCGAAAAACAAAACAGAACTAAATGTCGTTGCAGGACGTGATCTTGGAGGAATTGTGGGAATATTCACAATGACAGGTTTGCTTTTAATTTTCTCCCCAAGAAATCGTGACATATTGTTAAATAGTCATCATTTTTTTATGATGGGCCTTCAGCTTCAGTGTCAGTTTTAGGGTGTCAGCATCTGTAACAAATGGTCACACTTTTGTTGTAAAACCTTGAATGTGTTTGTCATGTTGTACATCAAATTTTTAGTATATGCAGTGATAACTTGTTGAAATGATGAATAAAGTGTTATCCTTCAGAGGTGTCACTTTCAAGGAATACAAGCTACTATCCTGAATTATTTGCCTCGAGATCCAATGATACTGCTCATTTTTAAGCCTAGTTTTAGTATATGAAAAGTAATTTCAAGTGAAATGAAACACTTATCTCTAAAAATTGTTATTAATACATAGTTTATTTAAGTAATATAGACAGAAAAGCAGGGGTTATATCGTCGAATACACCCCGCAGGGCTAGGCACAAACGTTTTCTGTACCCCGAACGACCGAAGGAAGTGAGGGGTTCGAAAGCTTTTGTGCCTAGCCCCAAGGGGTGTATTCAACGATATTACCCCTGCTCTGAGGTCTATATTACGATTCGAACATGAAAACTCACCAAATTGTTTCGAATATTCATCATGGTCCGCCATTACTACGACCAACCGTTATGACGTCAAACATTACACGTATTAACTGGGTTATTGATCTCGAATATAACCCAGCTGAAGCATTGACTTTGTTTACAGTTTATAGAAGGCGTGAATACAGTCATGTTCGAATTGATTTTCAGCTACAACAGTGGGAGGAGGCTACATTAATGGCACAGCTGAATCCGTGTACAAAGATGGCCTTATATGGACTCTTGCTCCTTTCGGCATTTTTATTGGCCTCATAATTGGTAATAACAATTTACTTGCTTGTTGGCTTTTATAATTTCATAATAAAAATGCATTTTTGTAATTAAAGATAAAATAGTTTAAGATAAGAGTCTGTAAAGATTTTGTCACATTTAATTTTACCTATATTAATCACATGTCTGATTTTTAGCTGGTTTATTCTATGCCAAGAAGATGAGAGATGAAAAATATCTGACAATGTTAGATCCATTTCAACATCGCTATGGCAACACAATGGTTGGATTGTTGTACTTAGCTGCAATATGTGGCGACCTCTTTTGGTCAGCTTCCATTCTTTCTGCATTAGGTAAGGATTATAAAATCTCAATAACTAAAGCTGCATTATCTTAAAAATGAAAAGAAACTTTAATTTGAGAAAATTATCGTTATTAAATTATATTGATTATTTAAGATTATGATTATTAAGTCATTTAGGCCATTCAAAATTAATGCTTGATCCCCCTTCCTCCTAAGATTTAGGCACATTTTCAGGAAACAAACACATTTTCATGTATTTATAAAAGTAAATGTACATATATGTGTATGTACAGATTTAACAAACCAAATATCGATTGAAACTATACTATTCTAGTATAAATAGTATAAATACAATGAATAAAATCATTTACATGTTTAATTTTTCTTCTCTCTTCTAAGATAATGCCTTTCATCATGATGTTCAAAATGACCTTAAAACAAATTTTTGGCTTTATTTTTAGGAACATCATTAAGCGTCATAGTGAAATTAAACCAAACCATATCTATCGTCATATCAGCCTGCATCGCTGTTCTGTATACCATATTTGGGCAGATGGTTGCAGTCGCATACACTGATGTAGCACAAATGATGTTCATTGGCTTTGGTTTGGTAAGAGGTCTTTAATTCTAAAATTTAAGTTAGTATGTTGTGAATTAATATCAGCAGTTTGAAGTCTGTTACATTACAGTGGCAAAAATTGAAATATTTGAAGGTGTCAGTTCAGAATGTTATTGAAGTGTCGTGCCAAGTGTTTTTTTAGTTATACTTTTGTTCATAATGAAGGGTCACATTAAAGTGATTTATTATGGTTATAACACATGTTTGTGTTTGTTCAAGTCATTGAAACAATAGAACATGCCTACTATAGCCTGGGTGTAATGTATACTGTAAAACGGGTATTGTTAGCGAGGGGTAATTGTTAGCAATTGTTAGCGATCGCTATAGTTTCGCTAAAAATTCAATTCGCTAAAATAAACCGGGGTTAAAATAAACCGGGCGCTAAAATTTGCAAATTCCCGGGAAACTACATGAATACTAGTATTTAAGGAGCTTTTCGTTCAGTGCTCGACTTCCGGTTTGTAATTTGAAAAAAATGAGATTTGTTTGGACCCGTTTTACAGTATTCAAATTTAAATATTAATCATTCAATTTAAAGATGGCCTTATGGAATGGGGAATCATGGATAAAAGCATATACGACATGTATATTCCAAATAAGGAACATAGAAACTCTACCAATTTGATTTAAAGGCGCACAATACTTAATTTAGAAGAAAAAATAATCATTGAAACATGTTACTCACACACTCAACTATGGCAAAAAGTTTGATTTGCCTTAATATTGAACCAAGAAAAAATAACATGCATAGAAAAAAAGCATTTGAAGTTCAGAGATCATATGATATGCATGCACATGTTATAACAAAGTGCATGTTTTAAATTACTATTGATTTAAAAGATGGTGACACTTCTATAAAAATGAATGTATCATGTAATACAAACAACTTTGCCATCTTTCAATGACATTGATAAAAACTTGATATATAAAGCTTGACAGATCAAAAATATTTTTTGATAATTTATTGTAAGCTTTGATGTGGTCCATTTGAGCTGTTGTTGGTGTCAAATGAAAGATAAGGTTCTTATCAATACATTAGACATACTATGAAATTTAAGTGTAAGTCTTTATTTTGCCCAAAAATGTTGAAAATTCCCAAAGTGGGCCTTTAAACTTCCAAAGTATGCTTGTGTCTGTTTTTTATTGAGCTGTTAAGTATGATGTATGCAGCCCTGCCATCTTTCAATAGAAGATTTATTAAATGGTGATAAATGTCAAATCTGTCATAAAATACATTCTGGAGAGGAATATCTTAGAAACATCCTAAAAGCATAAACCCTCATCAAAGTGATTATTTGTTTGCGAATCAGCTGCACTACAGGTCAAACCTTATGTTAATAACTGAATAAAAAAACAAATAAATGATACCAACCTTTTTGTTTCAGATTTTGTGTGTGCCATTCGCTTTAACAAATGAGCTTGTGGAGCCCATCACGAGTACAACTGAGCGTTGGTATGGGACCTGGTATCCCCCGACAACAGCTGTTTGGATTGATCTTGCTATCACTATGGTGAGTAAAGTTGTGCTTTATAATAATGGCCATGTTGATTTTTTTATTATGTCACCTTGTAGAAGTGGTGACATACTGTTGTATTTTTATGGATGGCATTTATGCAACGCTTGGTGTTCCGCAGTTGGTGTTCGGCTGTCAGCATTCAGCAGTTCTGTAATAAATAACAGGTGGTGACATTTTGCATGTTAATGTTTCAAATTATGCTTGCTGCTTTTTCTATTGGATGGGTATCAGTCAGGTGTGGGTCAAATCAATAAGGGCTTGATGGCCTGTGGATTATTCATGATTGTATTCTAGTATGTATGGTGGTATGATTGTCTGGCCAGCAGAAAACCTGGCCGAAGATATCTTTTTATGTGGGTATAAAACCAAGCTAGAGTTAGACATTCTATAATTACTGTTAATAAATTCAACAAAAGTTGTTATTTGAATTGATAAATACAGGAATATTCACAACCATTGTCACTTATTCATGTTCTATTTTTCGCTATTTCACGTTCATTGTCGTGTGTTAAATGAGAATGAATAACTAAAAAAATGTCATAATTGTTACATTGCAGACATTTGGAACAATACCGTGGCAGACTTATTTTCAACGTGTTCTGTCAGTGAAATCTTCCCAGCATGCTCAGCGGCTGACATTTATCGCAGCGTGTGGCGCATCATTAATGGCGATTCCTCCGATTCTTATCGGGGCTGTAGGAACCAGTGCTAGTGAGAATAAATTCATTTTATATGCTTTTAGAAACGAAGATGCTTATTCACCATGGCATTATCATATTTATTACACAAAAAATCTATAGTGGCTCGTGCGAGTTTATATTTTTGGTCTGTCATTGAGTTGTCTTTATACTCAATAGTTTCTGTATATTTTGTTCAACTAAACACCAGTTGCACAAATATTGAACAAAGTTTAATGATTATAGCTCTCAACCAATTTTGTATATCTTACCATTTTATCGTTTTAAACTTTTTCGTGCATTTATTTCATCTTCATTTTTTTCTATGTATTACATACAGTATAAGACAAGTGACTGTGCAGTCACTATTGAGTACAATCTGTAGTTACATGTAATGAATGTGCATTTTTCAGATTGGACAATGACAGAGTTAGGAGAATCCCCAATGTCTCTGAATCAGTCCAGTCTTGTGCTACCCCTTGTCCTGCAACATTTCACACCTACCGTAATATCAGCAATAGGTATGTTGTGGTCTCAATGGGTTTATTTTATGAAGTTGTTCTATTGTAAATTCTTGAATTTTCTCCATAAGTTTATTTTTGAAACAATCCTATTGTATACTGTAAATTGTAATTTTTGAATATTAGTTATTTGTGATGTAACAATAGAAATGTTGCAAACCAAAGAAAACTAAAAGTGTTTTTCATGCACATTTTCCTTCATACACTCATGAGCTTTTAAGAGAAAGCCCATCGGACACTATACTATATACTAATTAAATTTAAATCTCTCAAATGGAAATGACCTACTGCACATTTCTTCTCCAAAATTTGGAATAGTGTCTGAGATTTCTTGGAGAAAGTTCTCAATTAAAAAAAGGTTTTCAAGCAATGTTAACCCACCATCAAATAAAGAGGAAAATATGAAATTCCATATCTGAATTTCATTGAGATAATAATATTTTTTTCAATTTCAATTCAATTCAATTTATTACTGTCTTATTTCAGGTCTCGGTGCCGTGGCAGCAGCTGTGATGTCATCAACAGACAGCGCCATCTTATCATCAAGTTCTATGTTCACATATAATATTTATAACAAGTTGGCTCGAGAAAAGGTAACAGCAAATTATTTTGTTCATTGGCACCTATTGATCAACAGAACACCATATTTCATCTTCTTTGCCTCATATATATAAAACATATACAATAAAAAGCATGAGCAGACAAGGTTGTAAACAACAAAACAACAATTAATTTATTCTGTTTCCAGGCCAGTGACAAGGAGCTGGAATGGGTACAAAGAATTGCAGTGTTTTTTGTGGGCGCCATAGCAACGGTGATGTCACTATTCATCCCCTCAATTTATGGAATGTTTATACTTGCTGCTGATATTGTCTTCGTGGTGATGTTTCCCCAGTTAACCACGATCTTATATTTCAAATTCACAAACACATATGGTGCAATATCTGGTTACGTCATAGGATTATTACTCCGATTGGGTGGCGGGGAAAGTTTCATTGGACTACCACCTTTCATTTATTATCCATACTACAGTGAAACAGATGGACAGTTGTTCCCATTCCGAACGTTTTCCATGTTGGTTTCTATGGCAACGATTCTATTGGTGTCATATTTTACTCAAGTGCTATTTATTAGAGGTGTTTTACCTGCCAAATTGGATATTTTTAGAAGCTATAGTACAAAACAAATGAACGGTGATTATTTTATCACTTGTTGCGATCCTAAGGAGAATAAGCAGGAAAAAGATAGGATTATTCATGATGTTACGTCACTTTGAATATATATTGTGATGTAACTTTGAAATATTATAGTGATGTCATTGTCATATTGAAAATATATTGAAATGCCAGTTCTGCATTTTGGAGAATGCTCATTGGATATGAAGATTTGCTATTGACTTAAAACACCCGTTGGATTACGTTTTACGGATTCTAGTTTTTTTTATTATGTCGCCAACACGAGTGGTGACATATTGTTATAGTCTCCAACTTTTTTGTGGACTGCATTCAACAGTTCGTGTTTGGTGGCGACATTCAGTGTGTGTAACAAATGGCAGGTGTTGACATTTTGCACATTACTGCCTTGTTTATTCCATATCATTGTTTTATAGTGTATGACAAGCACCTTCTGCTATGTGACATCATTCATCAGTAATGTTAAAGGTGCAACAATTAGTGCAGGGGGACCATTCAAGGATCATCGACCAGTGTCAAAATATATTTAAGTTTGAATATTTCATCAAGACTAACACATATTTTTATTATCTACAAAGAAACCCCTTGGATGAACATTATTTCAGCTGATATTCATCTTGAAACGTGGTGAATCTTAAAAATCTATAAGTGGGACTCCTCTTATAGAAGCTTTGAACTGAATTTACACTTCTTAATGCTGAAATTGAGCGTTTATCCATACATTTAAGAAAATAGGTATGTCAAAGAAGATGTTAAGCCAAATATTGACCTGATAGCTCAGAAAAAATAAAAAATTCGAATTTTCTCTCTACAGTCCTTGTTGCCCCTTAAAATTGAAGAAAATGAAAGAAACTGAGAAACTCAAATGTGAATTGCACTACTTGTTTACATTCCATAAGATTTTGATTTAAATCATTTAAAATGAGAAAGAGTTATCAAATGTAGTATTTTTATTTGATAAGAAATTGTGTACATGACATGTGTATAACAATCATCCTCAATCTAACCTGCTCATTTTCTATTAGTCAAAGTGTGAAAAACCTGTCATCCAAAAATGTAAAAATTCAATGTCATTGTCACATTGTGGGATATTTCAGTGTATTTGAGGTTGTATTGTTTTCAATTTGAATTCCCCATTTTCCTCAACTTCATCGACATGGATCATCGAGTCCAATTCTTGAGTTCTCTTTTGTCTTTTCTTTTTCTTCTTTCTCTTTGGTGGTTTCTTCTGAGCGTCTAAAGGCACCAAAGGAGCTAATGCATTGGCCCTCCTTGCAGGGGTATCTAAATTAGGAATGTTAAATTCATTGTTGTGTCTCACGGGTCTGACCATCATCACAGGGTTGAAATTCTCCTCATGTGGTTTGTTTCTTGGTAAAGCCTCACTAGTGGTGTCAACATCATCTTGGTTCGCCTTTCTCTTTTCAATCATCCCAGCTCTTGGGGTAACCTCATGAGATTTTATCTGTTTGTAGTTTTTGAAAAGTGGCCCCTCTGGTTTTTTATGATTATTTCTTGGGGGGTAGTTTTGTAGGTCGCTGTGTGAGTCCAATTGATTTGTTTGTTTAAGGCTCATTTCTGATCCCGTTTGTAAGTTTGGTTGGATATAGGCTGTTGAATTGTTGTTCGAAGATTCAATCTTTTCCTTTTTCTTCTTTCTACATGAAAACATCAACACATTTCATTAATGCTGTACACGAGAGTTATAATACTCTGAAATCATGTGACTTAAAAATAAAATCATTTCATTAGAGTAAACTTCTCACCAACCTTTTAACTACAGGACCATAGTCTAACATGTAAAAACCTAGCCCACAATTATCTGTTGCAATGTAGAAAGTCCACTCAGATCTAAATTGACAAGAACGAGCTCCGATCTTCAATAAAACTGAACAAAAATTCATTCAAATAAAAAGGAAAGAACAAAATTTCCTTCCATGTTTATAATCATCACTTACTTGATGACATATATGCAGAGTATGACAAGAAGGATGAGCATCAAGACTCCAACAGTTATCCCTACTATCATTGCAGTGTTCAAAGTCTCTCCTGAAAACACAACAGGTGATTTTTTATGGACAGCCAAATCTTAAAAAAGGACTTTTTGGAGCACTTGGATAAATGCACTTGAATTTGCTTCCTCATACTGGTCAGAAATAGCTGATATGATTTAAAATTTTCATATATGGTTTCAGTTTTTAGCAGTTTCAAGCGCATCAAATAAAAATGATTCTCCAACAAACCTTCATGTCCAAGAGTTGGGCCAACTTCCTCTTGTGTTGTAGCTTCAGGTCTTCCACTCACAAGGATATCTGTTGATCCTGCGTCAGTCCAACCTGTTATTTCCACTGTGGCGTGAGTGACTGCCGTATCTGTTCTTTTAGTTGGAGGTTCAGTGTGAAGAGTGGTTTGCCATGCATCTGTTGATTCAGACGTTTCTTGTATCGTTATATACTCAGTGGTTGTCTCAGCTTGTGTAAAATTAGAATACTCCAAAAGAGTTTTACCACTGTGTTCAATAGGCAAAGCACACCTATACCCATTAGGCCAGTTTTGGACCACACTAACACCTTTAGGTGATATCGCAAAGTGGATAAAGTACCAAAGTTCTTCAGTACATTCAAACGGATTCTCACTTCCATCAAAGCGAGCCAACCTGATGAAAATTCTACTATCTGATTGGGTGAACTTCGTGATTGAATTCTTTGAAACGTTAATATTCCGAATTGATGTTGCTGTAAGAAATGCGTCAGGTAATAAGGAGAGTTCATTTCCAAATAGATTCACTTCATTCAGCTCTATATTGCCTTCAAATGCTGTTGCAATAATGTAGGTGATTTTATTGTTGACCAAATGAATTTTCTTTACAGTGTCTATTGTTTTAAATTCATCTTTTACTATGGTGAGGTCACATTGGTCAATGATGATATTTTCAAGACCATTTATGTACTTGAATGTTCCACTTTCTATATGGTGTAAAGGGTTGCCAGAAAAATCTATAGTTCCAATTCGACTGGTGGTCCAAAATATTTCTTTATTCAGTTGTGAGATATTACAGAATCTTATTGACAGTGATTGCATTTGTGAAGTGAATGTGTTCATTTCCATTTCACTCAAGGCTTTATTTTCATCGATTATCAAATTTTGTATTGGAAGAGTAAACCAGTAAGTTCCTAACTTTCTAAAACTATTTCCTGATAAGTTTAGAGTTTCAAGATTCATTAATCCTTTCCATGCGGGTTGTATGAGCTTATCGATGCTATTATTCATCATGTAAAGGTTCTTCAAAAGAGGTAAATGTCTGAATGATCCATTGTTAATTTTAGTCATTATATTGTTCTCCAAATGAAGCGTTCTGGTGGTGTTTGGTAGATTTGATGGCACTGCTGTAAGGTTCTTCCCATCACACCATGCTGTTGCATCCTCTACATTGTATGTACATGGATCATTTTGTCCAAAGTAACATGGTAAAACATTCGCATAGATGAATATGAGCAGAATAAATACTTTGTTTGACATTATGTTAAGAATTACTGTCAGCTCTTTTAAATCTTTATCTTTGTACCTTCTGTCCTTTTATGATTCTCAAGAAATTAACTTCAGTATTCTTTTATATAATGTGATACTTGTCAATTATTAACTGTTGTACAAGTGTCATTATGATACAATTGTTGTCACAAATTAAACAATAGGCAATGTGATCTGCCTAAAAATCTCACTAAAAAGTTTTTCAAGGGAAATTGTCTAATATTGTATCAACCTTCAGACCTTACAGTACATGTATACAAGGAAAAGTTTGGAACTTTTGCTTGTGAACTTTTTCTTAGATTTCTGAAAGATTAGCTGTAAAGTGTGAGGTACTGGCAAAAAGGTCTTTATATTGTCATGTAGTTTATGTTATCAGTTAAGTGGGCAGACAAGTGTAAGCATCTTGACCATTACTGTATCTCTTTGTTTGTCGTTTAGAAAGCCCATCTACAATGTGAGGTTGCCATGCTGCTCATCACCTTTTCAAGCTCCCCCACTGAGTTGAACCTCCTTAAGGTCAGGGTGCACTTTGATGAAATTTCATGACCATGTGCTATTTTCAGATAAACATAACTCATTCCGCACATCATCTACATCTTTCATTCTTGCACAAAAGATGCATTAGTGTACCTAGACTATTAATTGAGGGTTGATAATTCTTCAGAATGTTTGAATAACTAGAATATTCAGTGGTTTAAAATCGCAAAAATTCCAACATGCACCTTGGCCTTAACCATTAAATGGCACTCATGTCTCATGATATTATACTGGTGAGTTGTAAGAATGGTACAGCATACTTACATGTACAGTAAAACCTGTCTTAATGAACACGTCTCTCTAGTGAACACTTGTCTCTCGTGAACACCTTTCCTCCACAAATACTTTACTGACTTGTGTATAGAATACCCCTCTGTAGTGAATAGCTACCTACAGTGAACATATTTTTGAGTATTGTATTCTTGAGTTATAAACTTTATTATGTTTACTCTGTACATGTATTACTGTACTGTATTCTTGAGACTACAGGTCACGCTACAGTTAACATTGGCTGCCATGTTTAGTTTTGTTTTGTTTCTACCATGTTTACCAAACTAATTGATTAATTATTAGATCCAATAATATATACAGGGTGGTCCAAAAAATGGGACACTCATATTCCAAAAATAAATATTGATTTTCGTCATGAAAACAGAATTGGTTTACCATGAACCCCTTACATCTACTCAGTCCCTTATTAAGGATAGACTTTTTGAAAAGTGGAATCCATTGTCTCAACAGAATATCAATGATGTTTTTGACCAGTTAAGGCCAAAATTGAGGGCTATAATTGATCAAAATGATGGACATATTGAACATCTCTGTATGTAGATAAAGTTGACAAAAAACTTGGTTTTTGCAAGTTCTGGAAAACCTGTTTTGAAACTAAAATGACGTCATTTATATTATGGACGCTGGTTGGCAGATATTATAATATTATGATATACCAAATTAAAGATAAGTAAATTCCCTATCCACTGGTATATAATATGACATGTTTTCATCAAGAAAATCAATATTTATTTTTGAAATGCGAGTGTCCCATTTTTTGGACCACCCTGTATATATAGCTTTATACATAGAGAACACTAGATGTCATTCCATACGTTCATTCGTCCTGTCAGTCCGTTCGTCTATCTGTCTATAGGGATGATAACTCAAGTGCCGTTAGCTCAATGTTACTATGTGAAGGAACTCGACAAACTTGAAAGGAAAATGGGCAATTATTCCATATTAAACTCTGCATTAAATGTCATAAAAGTTTCTTTTGGGGTTCAGTATCTTTATTTTATAAGTATCAAACCGGGGATTGGCCATGTAGGAGTATTGCAAGTGATTTTGGACAGTCATCTTTTACCATGAGTACCTTCTGCGGGCCATAGATGCAGTGATTTTCATTGAAACAATATGTTTTCTTTTGTTACCATTTTTTTTTTGAAGAAGTTTTAGACATCTTGTTGAATAATCTGTTCATGCAATAAAAATCAAAAAAGAAGATCCTCTTTTGAGTAAATAGGTTTAACATTTTGATAAAAATGTTGACATGGGATCCCCTATTCATATTTTTTCGAAATTTTTTATTGTCATTTTTTATTATTTTTATTAGGGAGCATTTCAAAAGATTGATGACGGAAAATTAACTGTATTTGAACAGTTAATCTGTGACCCCCTCCCCCCTCATAACTGTTCTTGAGAAATGTTGATATGAATCAGTGCGCTTAAGGCACACTGTATCTTTAACATTTACGTTATACAGTCATTTTTTATAAGAATTCCAATCTTGTTGTTCAATATCAGCATGAGATTATCTTTTACATTGTATCTCAATGTAGAATCCTGATTTATATCTAGCAAAGTTTGCTCAACTAAAATTCCAGGGAACTGGAATAAGTGTTCAAATACTATTAATTGTCCGTCATCGAACTTTTGAAATGCTCCCTTATACTTGGGAGTTTACTTGAAAGATAACATATTGTGTTAATGGGAACGATCATTTTTTGTATTCAGGCTTAACCAATACTAATCAGGGGGCGATCATGGACACAACAATTTTTAGGATATGAGACGAACACTGTGAAATCCTTACCCTCATCCTTCTTAGAAAACAAAATATGGCTAAACGTCAGAGTAAATTGGCCTGGCCTAAATCTAACTAATATTAAAAGGTATCTCGTGGGCTCGCCTAACAATAATGTCTAGACTGTTGCATATATTAGTAATAGCAGGAAATGAAGAACTAACGTGAACATCGACATTCCCTTTATCAAATAATTAAAAAATGCATTTATTCAGGGTTGACTCGCCCAAGAGAAGTTTTATAAGTGCAATCTATTGGTTTGAAAATGGGCCGGTTTGAGTTTTTGTTTTATAAGCTGTGTTAATGGGCATATCTACATGTTTAAAAGTATAAAAAAACTTTTTAAGACCAACGTTTATTGCCAAGGGTTTGTTTTTAACGATGAGCAATGGTAAGTGAATGTGTGACATACAGTGTGTGTGCTTTATAAATAAATTGGTCCATTCATGAACACAGTGTCCTCATTCATTCATTCATTTAGGTCCACACATTTTATTTTAGGCGAGCTTTAGGCAACACGTTTTATTTAACTTGAAGAAAAAACTCTGGTTTGAAATCCGCATACTGGAGTAGGTCATTCTCTGAACAAGATATCATTTGTGTGATTTTTTGGTAAGTTAACTTTTCATTGTTTATTTGTTTTAAGTTAGATGGCGGACGGTAATAAATATTTAACTTAAAGGAAAGGTGGAGTATATTTTGGACTTCAATTTGATTTGATGGTATCATTTTTAAGATGCATAAACGCTATTCTAAAACGATAACACAAACGCTAAAATAATTTATGTCAAGGATGAAGAAATATTTTCTTCATCCTAGTTCATATCAACAAGCTTAACATGTTAAATTTCAATTAAAATTTAAACCTAAAAACAAACAATTAACAAGGGGCCTTTAACTCATTTTAATTTCTATCACATGCCCCTGGCATGAACATACCACATACATATTCCAATTCAGTAAACAAACCTGTTTGAACTGAAAATTCGAAAAGTACTTACCACTGGCATAATTATATATTGAAAAGTTCGTTCACCGTTTCAGATTCGTAAACAGCTAGTTCTCACGCAAGCATGTCATACGAGGAATTCTTTAACGAGGCAGATACTGACGGCACAGGCTCACTAACATTCAAAGAACTAAAAGATGTCTTGGTGAAAAAAGGCTACAAAGGGGACACAGAATCATTGAGGGTATGTTTGGAGTTGATCACATAAAATTGTTTTTACATTATCATTTTTTATGCTCTTGATTTAATCCTGATTTAGCCTTCTGAACTGCTAGACCGTGTTCTTCAAAATAGCGCTCTCACCTATAATACAGTAAAACCTGTATATAGTGAACACCACTGGCCTTACTGTACTAGTTGTATTTATTATCGATAACATACATCTAGATGTTACATGTCACCTTTTATACCACCACCTTAAGTACATTTCTTTTTTATAATGTTTACAAAGCTCTGGTATATGGGAAATTGTAACCTGGTCTATTGGCCCCGTTACTGACAGTTTAAATACACGAATGAATTTTATAATTGATATTTTTGAATGTTATACCAGGACAGGTCGATCAATAAATTCTGAGAAGAAGTATCTTAAATTAAGAATTTTATACTTTCTACTTGAAATGTTCACTGGATATGCAAAATAATGGCACAAACTAGCATTTACATGATTCATATCGGTTTCAGTGAGTATCCACCTCAATTTTGAGAAAAATATGTTTACCATGGTAACTCGTGTTTTAGGTAGGCGACAATTACTCAGAACTTATTGATCGATCTCGTATATTTGATTTGCTAGAACTTGGTTTCTTCAGTTCTTTTTGTTTAACTTGTTTCCTCGGGGAGACTTTTTGTCAATTTTCATTGTTTTTATTGCAGAATATATTTGACGCTGCCGATTCCTCTGATGATAACACAATAACGCTTGATGAATTCATGGAGGCAATGAGTCAAACACCCCCAGCAGAACATACGTAAGTCTCGTTACAATTAGAGAATAGGTATACCCCTGTTAGTCTAGGTCTTATGAAATATTTGTCAACATCTGTATAATCGAAAAAAGCGTCTCGAGCAGCGTGACACAGAAACAAACACCATTAAAATATTTTTTGGCGGGATTCTATGGGTTAGCTCATTTAATTCTTAGAAGTCTAAATCTGGAAAGTGAATTATAACAAATTAATCAATTTTTGTGCTCAAGAGCTCATCTCCATCGCGTTTTATTATCTCGTTTGTTTATTTGTTTTTTCTACAATTAGGGTACATGTTTCCCTAGGAAATAAACGGGGAATACAATTGATATTCGAAAATGTCGTATCAGATCCCATAGCGTATCCCGTGTCTGCCTAAACATCTAAATCCCATGCCAGATCCTGTAACAACTATTCCCGGGGAATTCTCTCGATTTTTACGTTTTTGTTCTATCCTAAATTATTAAACATGTTAAAAGTTAGAAATGTTGCATATGATCAATCAAATTGTATCATTTTGTATTACCATCATTTGATCTTGAGTGATAACAGACAACACTATAAAATAAATGAAGGTTTTAGAAAAAACATTATGTTATGACCTAGGTTATTGATGGTCGTGATTAAATGTGATTTTTTCCTTGAGAAAATTGACACTCAGGCTACGATATCGCCCTCGGTCAATATGATATATTCTTGGCAAATATCATATTTTCCCTCGGAATAAAATTCATATCCTATCCTTTTCATTAAATAGCCTATTTACTTTGACTTGATTATGGTATAAATTTATGTATTATATTTTTATAGATGTGTCTGGAAAACCTTTGAGGACTTGGCATATACATGTGTTTTATGAAATTTTGCATCAATTTGTAAATACTGAAGAATGTGAAGGAGCGAACTTGTCGAACGGTCGTTCCGCCATGTAGATAATATCCTATGTTAAGTTGAGAGAGTACAAGTGGCGACTTCTGGATAAAACTTATCAAAAATAATCTTTGGGTATCATTTCAGGAAGGCAAGGTACCGGGAACTGTTCAAGGGATTTGACCACGATGGAAGTGGCCAGATTACTAGAGAAGAATTGAGCCAGGTCAGTAAAACAATTAGTCAAACTCAGCAGTGTGGCAAATACCCAGATGCGAGTAGGTAGTTACCATTTTCAACACCAGGTGGCTGATTCGGGGTAATTAACAGAAAATAATAGAAAATTCCCTTTAACTTGAATATATCTTACTTACACAAGTTAATTACAGTACAGATTAATCCGGACGCTACTGGGACCGGCCAAAAGTGGAATGGCAGTTGTTCACAGAGGGGGTGAGAGAGGGCGGGGTTGCATAAAGCAAAGCTATAGAGTCAATTCGAAAATGAGCAAAACATGAAACCGTTTCTATTTCTATAATTTTTCAAGGACGCACACACTAATATCTAAGTATCTTTCTAGGTGTTTGACGAAATGGGACGAGATCTCTCGGAGGAAGAGGTTGCCAGAATTATACAGTTAGCAGACGAGGATGGAAGTGGGACTCTCAACTATGACGAACTCATTGAACATTGTTTTGGGGAGCAGTAAAAAGCCACCCTGACATATTGTAACATTTTCACGCAGACTCGGCAGCTTATGAATAGCGGAGCAAAATGATTATTCCACTTCGTGGTTTCTTACATAGCATCATATTGTATGGACTATCATTCATGAATTATTCACTTGAGTCTAGACATATTTAGGAATATATCATTTTGAACACTGGCTCTTTTGTATACCAAAATCTAAGAATATCCTTCATTGAATTTCCTATAAAACATTAGTTTTGAGATTGTATAGTTATAATTGTAAACCGGTAGAAGTAACGAAAGTCCTCCTTTGGATCACTTATCACAGCGTGTTAATATTTGGTGTACCCTGGGCGCAAAGGTTAGTTTTTAAGTAGATGAAGTTATCTTTTAAGAAACTAAGTCGAAACGAATACGATGGATATGTTTAGTGATTTGAAAAAAACATATTTGTCATATTTCCAAACTATTGTGATTTAGGAACTTTTTATAGGTTTTGTATTCTGTCCAATGAATACTTCCAGTTGCAAAACTTATGGAGGGGAGTGTAAGCTCTACTGAACCTTTATACAAAAACTTAATCGTGGTCAAATGATTTTTAAAAAATAGTTGAAAATGTTTTGAAATAATGTTTTTGTTATAACAGTTCGACTTCTCTAGCTGCAAGTAATTGAGCTTCCTGCAACGCAACACATCACGTAATGATTCTTAATGTGTCAATGTAAGTTACATATTATACTTTGAAATATATGCTTTTGAATAAAATAATTAAGAGCCATTTTCAACAGTCCTTTTTACTGTTAAAATTGATTGATAACTTCTTCGAATTTGAAGAAGTTTGAAGAATGTGTCATTGTGTAAGTAGCAAGGATTAAATCATGGTTTTCAAACTGTTTCAGTATTCGATATGTCATTTCAGTTTCTACGATTTCGTAACTAGCACAAATAATTATGTTTGGCAGGCGATATATAGTAAGTCCTTGTTATTTCAAGAGATAATGGTAGAGTTGTGAACAGTACCGAACGAATTTTAGGATGAAAGGTCCAATTTTCCACATTTACGGCCTGTATTAGATCAAATATAATTCCTTTCTAGTTTTTCCTACCATGAAACATCTCTGAAAATGTCGCATATACTCTTAAAACGGTTTCGCTTGAAACGCGTAGACAATGTTTCGGAACACCAATTCGCCCGCCAAAGCGCTCAGCAAACTGATCACAATTTAATAAAGCGCAGATTGTAGATGGCTGGCGAAAATTTAACCCTATAGCACTACATGTATGAATAATTTTATTGAAGGTGAATAATTAATCCCTCTAAGCACCCGAAAAAGACTGATAAGCCGTCTTTTGTATTCTACGTATATTAAAACTTTTGCTTCAAAGTTGATGAACAACTTTCGAAACCATATTTCTAGATGTACTAGATGTTTCATGGTTGAAACTTCCACCTAGGTTATAGCTTCGCAAAGTGGTAGGAAATTCTTTTCTGAGGGGTTAGCCCCCCACCCCCCAAAAACACCCTAGGCTGGGGAAAAATATACGATATACTAATCCTAAAACACCATTACAGGAACGGTTATGCAAAATGTGCAATTCTTAAGTTGTTGAGTCAGAGGTTCATTTTTTGACAGAATGTCCCGTATATACAGATTTAAGAAACGAGATTTTGGAGTATATGTTACCAATTGACAAAGAGTTTTTCAAGTTAATACTTTAGCTCAATATTGTAATATAATGACTTCTTGTAACAGTTTTATCTTATGCAAATATATTTTTAAAAAATGGCCTAGAAGCATTTATCTATCGTCACTCATAAGTCACTTATCTTATGTATGTGTGTGACTTTGATAAACTATTTTAACTAACTAACTTTAACTAACTATACAAACATCTAGAAATTAGATCAGATCTTTCTGAAACGATGAAAACATCAGTTTGCTCAAATGTCAACACCCTCTGTTGTACCTACAATGCGTGCTCCCCCGTCACGCTTAATTTGGTACACACCCTGTGATAATAGGACCCGGTCCATTCACTTTCAAAATTAAACTAATTGAAAGACTTAACAAATATAACTAAACATGTCGAAAGGAATATATTACATTAAAATACCCTAAAGTATATAAAAGAGTGAAAATGAATATTGTATTGTATCTTTTATTACCACAAGTGTAAATTGTGAGTATATTTACAATTTTTGTTGTGCATTAACACATTTACATAAAATTACATTTGCATAATCATAAACGAAAATATCCCAGGTATGGATTGTCTTTTAACAATGACCAGAATAAAACTTTGGGTCATATATCACGACATAAATCATAAAATCTCAGTCTTTATTCCTTAAATCACGTACAGTAAAACTTGTGTATAGTGAACATTTTTTCGCCAAGAAAAAACGTTCACTGTAGGTAGGTGATCACTAGAGAGAGGGAAATGTATACAGAAGTCAGTGGACTATGTGCGTAGGAAGGGTGTCCACTAGGGACAGGTGTTCACTAGAGAGAGGTGTTCATTAAGACAGGTTTTACTGTACATGTACAATGTTTATATTGTCTCCGTGTACGTATGACAAGGGTCTCATGTCTTAGTGTTGCCCAGATGTGTTTGAAAGCGATGCAGCCAACTGGGTCAATCAGTCACACTTCTTGAAAATGTTTTGGGTCACAGTCGCTGAATTTTCATTGATTTTCATGTAACTATGACAACTATCATACAATAGTCTAAATGAATTAATTTCACAAATCCTGAACCCATAACTCCATTAAGCCATTCTCATCAAGCAATTAAGTGGTTTACTCCATGGGCTTTCAAGACCTCTTGAGAGCCCATGTTCCACAAAGCAATTTAGTGGTTCACACCAAAAAATTCAACTGCTCATTAAGATGATCTGCACAGAAGAATATTTTCTTCAACAGTGCAGTACAATCATTGGCCAGGAATTTCTTGATAGGTCGTATCTTGGACTCTTGAAAGACTCTTTTTGTACCACGCAAATGTGACATAGCTAGGCTGTAACTGAAAAATAAAGTATGATGGGATTTTAAAATCATCACGGGACATTAAGATGGGAGCCTTTTGATTCTGTCAAACTGATAAGATACCAGGGCCAACTCAATTCCAAACTAAATTGTATAATTTGAAAGAGGAACTAAACAAAGATTTCTTTAACCCTTAATACTTAAGAGAACCAATGCCCAGCATTTGCCCAAAAAGTACCAATAATTACAATGTATTTACTTACTCAGTGTCGAAGATGGCTTCGTTAATCTCTGCCAGACAACGCTGGAAATGCTGCACACTATCTGGATCCAACCCTGGATAAAATGAGAAATAGAGTACAGTTGTCATCATAGGTTCTTGGCCGATATAAAGATAGCAGCACCAAAAAGAATCCAGTATTAAAGAGAAACATAGATAAACACAGATCAATTACCATGCCATCTTATTTAAAAATTATTTCTATAGACCTTAGCCTATGAGGTCTATGGTTGTCATATTTCACTATTAACAGATTTCTGGCTTTTGATTATATTTTTATAGTTATCAGGATGATATAATGATTGAAATGCAGTTCAAATGTAAATATCCTCTCAGTACGTTTTCACTTTTATGATGTCATTAAGCTATTTTATCGATTTTAAATAAAGGTTAATCAAAAATTAAGCCTAATTAAAAGTTAGCCTCACATATTGACCAAAATAAACGGCATTATTAGGAGAGAAATTGTCTTGTGAGGATTATCCCTCTGAATTGAATGTGACTGAACACAATCATGGACATATCATTACTAAGATGAATTCAGTTACCTCCACTCTCTATTGAGCTCCCGGGCACAAGACCTTCTGCTTCAATGACCATAAAGACACCCATCGCATTTTCCCACATCTCCAGTAGCATCTCATTCGTCTCATTGGTTGGATTTGAAACCTCCATTAAATCTATATCATTAGCATACCAATCTTCTCCTCCTGAAATTATAAAGCAAAATAGTTTTTTCGACAATTGACAAAATTAGTGTTATAATTTTGTGTCACCCTGTAAGTGAACACTACAATATATGCCAAAGGGTGTCTCATGTGAGATAATTGTAACTCAAGTGAAAATAAATATAAAATATCTGATATGGATGCCAAATGTGAATACCAATCACAAAACATGATGACTATAACAATATGTCACAAAATGTGTACACTGTTTTCAGATGCCACTCGGCAACAGTGTTAAAGTAGAGTGTAAAGTAAAAAAAAATATTCGTATTCAGTCACTGGCTGGGACATATGATATACAAGCTTGTATATGGTGTGTCCTTATGGAAAATAAAGATATCTTCCCATTGACAATGTTATCTCTTTGAAATCAATATTTTGTCTCAGTCAAGATAAACCCTATATCTAGTCCCTACAGGTGTAGAACCCATACATACATACCAGAGGTACTTGATTTAGGTAAGGGTTGCCCCCAGTGAGAAGCACATCTATCCAGTGAATCAGCTTTCACACTAACTGCATTTCTTGCTGGCTTTCCTAAGAATTCTTCCAAAAACTCTTTAGAATCTACAATGGAGTTTATACAGGGGTATGATAAGCTATATTTACACATAATTATGGAATAGAAGTTATTCTACCAGTTTATATCAAGGCTGTGAATGGATACATTATTCGAACTACATGTTCTTTACGCCTTACATATAAATGTACATTATGTATCTAAACTAATCTAAACTTTGATAAAAGTTATTCAAAGCAGTGAGTGACACATAAGAATTTCTGTACTAGATTTTAACTCTCAGTCTCAAGGGAAATTCAAACTTTTCCCTATGGACACCTACTGTATGTTAGAAGATGCCTCTTAAAGCGAAAAATTAATTGCGCAATTAATCAATGACATCGGTAACACTCAGCCTTGTTTGAACACAGAAAAGGCACATACTTGTAAACATTGATTTTTCATGGGGGGTGATGGTTTTGAAACTGCGCCTCCAAGAATATAGGCCCTTAAAATAGAAAAATTCTCAGATTAAAATAGTGTTCATCAAAGGCATTCTTCATCTTAATTATTATTCCAAAAAAATCGTTGTATAAAGTTGTAAAGCTGGAACATTTAAAGTTTTCAAGCAAGTTTTTGCCAAAATTAGTTAAATTCATATCTGATAATAAAGTTTGGGCAGCTTACTCCATGCCTTTTTACTTTAATCCTTGCTGATTCTACTCTTTATCACTCAATAAATACGCACAAAAACATGTCTCTCCTTAGAAATTTTCTAATTACCTCTGATAAGGATTCTTCACCAACTGGTTTCAATGCTACGTGTTGCTGCCCTGAAGGCTCAATTATTCTGATATCGATAGTGTTATCCAACAATGTGATGGCTGCTGCGGTACATTCAGTACCATAATTATGCTTATAAAAAAAGATGTTATCCAACAATGTGATGGCTGCTGCGGTACATTCAGTACCATAATTATGCTTATAAAAAAAGATGACATAGAATGGTCTGTCATTCGGCACTTCTGATCCATTGGTATTATAAATACATAACTTTTGCATATCCAGTATGCAAAGTGCTTGGTTTAGTTCGGAATGGGGAAACTGCACATTTAACAAGCCTTCTTTAATTGGCCTCATGACGTTGATCAATCCAGGTGGTAGAGGACAATCAGCAAGCTCCATTGTTGTATTAATTTTTGTCGCAAGCGTTATACAGGCTTCAAAATCCTCAACATCATTTGCTGGATAAAGATCAATCGTAAGATAATCTTTTGGTTGTCCTCGAGTATACTTTGTCCCAAAATGTGAGCTTAAACCTTCAACTCGAACACTGACTAAAGGAGGTACAGATCTTTTAACAATGACAGAACAAATAGTATTGCCAGCGATATCCATGACCTCTCTAGGTTCGTCTGTATCTTTGTGAATCCTGACGTTTTTAAGGCACAAACTTTTCTGGCCTTCTCTACCGCTAAATGATACTGCATACTTTCCTAAAAATATAAAATGTAAAGTTCCTGAAAAAAGTTAGAGAATAGAATAAGAATGGAGATGGTGGTGTGCCACATGAACAGACAACAATGGACAGAGAGAAGGACGACCAATGGACATGATAGATGGATATACACCTACATGTACCTTATTAATTCCCCCAAAATATGCATTCACTGCATTTTGTTAATCGCAAACAAAAATTTGGAGATAAAAAGGGAATGGGAATAGAATGTGTCAAAATAAAGAATTTGAAAAAAAATGTCCAAATTCATTTGAAGGGGATGTCCCATTTTTTAAATTTCTTTCTCAGTTCTTTCCACCTATCTTTATCCCTTGAAATCCCTTTAATAATCATAAATGATCATAAAACAAACTTGAGTGCCAGATTCTGTTATTTGCAGGTTAAGGGGTATGAAGAACTACAGGCAATGAGGCAGTGTGGCAATGAGGCGATGTGGCAATGAGGCAGTTTGGCAATGAGGCAGGGTGGCAATGAGGCAGTGTGGCAATGAGGCAGTTTGGCAATGAGGCAGGGTGGCAATGAGGCAGTGTGGCAATGAGGCAGTGTGGCAATGAGGCAGTGTGGCAATGAGGTAGTGTGGAAATGAGCCAGTGTGGCAATGAGGTAGTGTGGCAATGAGGCAGTGTGGCAATGAGGCAGTGTGGCAATGAGACAGTGTGGCAATGAAGCAGTGTGGCAGTGAGGTAGTGTGGCAATGAGGCAGTGTGGCAATGAGGCAGTGTGGCAATGAGACAGTGTGGCAATGATGCAGTGTGGCAATGAGGCAGTGTGGCAATGAGACAGTGTGGCAATGAGGTAGTGTGGCAATGAGGCGGTGTGGCAATGATGCAGTGTGGCAATGAGGCAGTGTGGCAATGAGGCAGTGTGGCAATGAGGCATACAAATACACTATGACCATGCCTTCAAATACATTACCTTTTTCCTGGCCATTAAAAACAACAGTCATTTCTGGATTAAGGTCTCTTGTTGAGCCTTCTCTTACTTTGTCCTTATAAAGCATGAGCTCCTGTTTGAACTGAAAAATTAAACCAAATCAAGTTAACTCTGGAAGAGAACACATCTGGATAAAATCAACATTGAAAGTAAAGTCATATACTTTTCATACAGAATATTTAAAAAGTTGATGGAACAAACATCTCCAAATTAGAATACAAAATCAATCAATAAATAAATAAATACAGTAAAACCTGTCTAAAATAAACATCTCTGGGACCAGCTAAAAGTGTTCAGATTAGCAGGTGTTCACATTTCAAGGTTTAATACACATGTATATCAATGGGAGAGAACGAAGTCAACGAAGGGACACCCCCTGGAATTTTTTGAAAAGTGAACCCCCTCTCTTGCCAAAAGCTGGCTACGGGGCTGACTTACCTTCTTGTCATCCCATGCCGAGGCTTTGTAAATAAACCCATCATTGAAATCCAAATTATATTTGTAATTTTCTTCATTGGGATTATTTTCGTAAGAGTTGAACTCTCGCACTGGTTCCTTCTCTTGATTGGACGGGCTGCAATCCTGGCAGATGAACACTTTCATCGCTGGCAGGTAGAAAATTGGGGTTGCTAAGCAATTAACACACGTCACCTTTGATTCAACATAGCTGAGTTGATCTCCCTTATCATTTTCAGCTCCAACTGTTTCACCACTGCCTGTTGCAGTTGCCATGTCTGAAATAATGTATCATATGACTGATTGATGCATGATTGATGACACATTGCCTAAGGGGAGAGGGGGGGTGACAGGGGGAGGGGTGTACATGGGGTGTGAAGCTGCCCAGAAATCTTTCAACTAGTTATAGTTTTTAAAAATGTTCAGATTGCACCATGGCCCTTCGACCTGAGACATATAAAACATTAAAACATTTTGACAAAGTGTCTCTGCTTCGACCAAGCAATCAATATTTTCTGGATAACGCATCCCCGTTTTATATGATAAATCCAGTGGTTCAATTATTTCTTTATAAACAGCTGGATATCCTAAGCTAAGAATGATTAGGGATACATTATAATGTCTATATCCACAAATGGATATTTGCATATATAATTGTTATGAGGTCCTCCCCCATGGATGTGCCCAGAAATTGTTTTGGGCCTCAATCAATGGGTCTTTTTGGACATTGCTGGGACTTTTTGGGCCTTACAGGTGTGCCCCTCCCTTGTTGGTTTTCAGGTTCGCCCCTGAATAAAGTGATGCGTTAGTTTGCGGGTGTTCTTTGCCAAAGGAGAAAGGACGCAGACTTGAAGTCCATGGAAAAGTGAGAAACATGCCAATGATACAATAAACAATTATATTATTGGAATTGGATAAGATAATATATCCCCTAGCTAAGTGTGGGGGGGGGGGAATTCGCCTGCTAGTGAGGAGGGGAGGGGGACCTATGGCGGATCCAGGGGGGGGGGCCCATGGGGTCTGGTCCCCCCCCCCTAAGGTTGGCCCAGAAAAAAATAAGTTGGGTCCAAAAAAATTTTAGGCCAAAAAAGGCCTCAAAGCCCCAAAAAGTGGGCCTTTTGGTCATTATTGGGCCTTCTAAGGCCTTATTTTTTTAATTTTAGGCCAAATTTTGAAGAAAATGGGCCTCAAATTTCCAAAAAAATTTTCAGCGCAAGCGCAGAGGTTTTTTCTCAGATCTCACATTTGGGCCCCTCCCTGTTGGTTCCTGGATCCGGCACTGGGGACATAATCATTGGTCTTCCATTGAAGAGTGAGTGACAATCAAATAATCGGATGAAAAAAACCCATTCAAGTTGTATATATGTATGCAACTTTCAGATGAAAAACCAGGAAGTAAATTACAGATAGTCTAGGCTAACAACAGAGCTAGAGTCCATGAAATTTGGATCATAATAGACCCAGGGATAGACTATCCTTACTAGAGTCTCTAGCTTACAGCTAGACGAAACTTCATTGATTTCGTATGTACTGTGCTACACGCACCTACACGCACCTAGAACTCATTTTTAATAAATTTTATAAATATTTTTAAGAATATTAATCATATTTAGGATGAAGCGTTGCTTGTCTGGATTTAGACATTTCAAAATTTCATTTCGGAGTTTGACACATGGTGAAATTTTCTCGCTGTAGCTAAAAATGGCTTCCGGTTCTGGACGTGAAAAACATTTGAAATTATTCTCGCTTAAAGAAATCAAATATAACAATAGATTGAGACGGGGATGTGAGCTGATGTTCTTCAAATCTATACATAAAGGTATATTTCATATTATTATGCCATATTTACTGTGCGTGTGACACAATGATTTACAATATTTATAATACTAAGGCAGCTCAATCTTCCTCCTCAAAGCCGGAATATAGAGAAGGCTTTGGACCGAAGTAAGACTATCCTACATCTATGACATTCATAATTTGAAATGTAAAATGTAAGTAAATATACTCAGCCTTATCACACCCTTATCCGCTTTCCACTTCAAAGTTTTGATTCAGAAGTTCTTCTTTCTTCTTCTTCCTTCATGAAGTTTCTGTTCTGGGAACTGGGGGGAGGTAGTATGTATCCAACAGACCGAATATAATATTCGGTCTGTTATGATTGATATATTTCCTGTGGAAATCTCGGTGATATTTTTTGCACATAAATTTCTCGTTTATTACAAGAATGTTCACCTTGAAAATTGGTGAATATGTTGAAGAGATGTTCATCTTAAACTAGAAGCAAAAATATTTGTATATTTGTATAAGGCGGGTACAAGTTGATATAAAATAATGAAATGTTCAGACTCACCAAAACTTCAGGATGTGTTTATAAGTACATCGCGAAATCAATGTCAAGGACGTTTGAGTTCACGAGATCCAAACGAGATATGCAAATTTTGAACTTTGACAACACATGACCACTTGATTACCTCGGCCTTCTTCATGAATATTTCCGCTCTATTTACTATAAATGAAGAAAATTAATCGGGATAATGATAATAAATGACTAGATCTAATAAATTCCCGCACAAATGGAATTTATCAACACGCTTCCGTCCGCTCCACGTGTTATTTGTTTACAAATAGACTGACGTCACTGGCTAAATCTCGTTTATCGTGAGAATTGGCATTGCCAAAATGGCTTGACCTAATCAATGGCTTCGCTACAAGAAGCGTCTGTACATTTTATGAATATCTTCAGTAAGAGGACAATATACGAAAAAATAATATTGTAAGTACTTTATAAGGTAATCATTTTATCATTTAACAAACTTATTTGTAACATTTATACAACACCACATTTTACAATAGGTGACTTACAGTCTGAATATTTATTCAGACGAAGGATACAGTCTAGGGGGGAGGTTCAAAACAAACTTCAAACATTGGTAATTCCAACTTATCATGACTGAAAATATAATTTAAACTGTACTAATTTTTATAAAAATATTTGAACACAAAATTGTTTATAAAAAGGTAGAAAAATAAAATGATTATATCGATGATCAAAGTAAACTTTCTTGTCGGAAAAAACCAAGAATGATAAATATTTATGTTCAAAATTAGCACATTATATACTTGTCACATTTTCAAGATGGAAGACGACGAACATTTTTCTCGACAAAAGTGAGTGTTTTTCCTCCAATTCTTGACAGTTAAATCTATATTTGTTTCAGCAACAACATAGATAACATTATGAATCTATATTATTGTGACATGTACAATTAGGATGATTTTCACTAAATGAAAGAAGATTTTTTCAAATTTTATTTTTATTTTTTCAATTTTTTTTGTTTGATCCGGATGATACAAATATTTTATCAGATAAATATCAATCAGAGTTTAGTGGATGCCGGAGCATCGATCGGATAACCTGAGCTGAGAAGATTTCAACAATAAACGTTGAAACTTACCTTCTTTTAAGGCCACTGTATCGTGGCCTTCCTGGAAAGATAATTTCCTGCATGAACAATTGGTCATGTCGTAATCATAAAATTTGAAATCATATGTCCGCCATTTTTCCACATCACAATTTGAATTGCGAGTTTTGGTCTTATTACCTCACCAAAAATTCCAAAACACACAGGAAGTGATCAGTGTGTTAGTTCACATCTTCTGGATCGCTAACTTAGAATTTACTGCCAGTTACTAATGTCAGACGTTAACGACATTTCGTCCAGTTTTCGAATATCGCCATTTTTCTTGGAACCATTTTGTTTTAATTTTAGACGAAATCCTGACTAAATCATGTCATATCTCATCAAGGAGTTGAGTCGGTTCCGATTTAATTCATGATTTATTTAACTGGCGATTTTTAAAATATTCAATAAATTTATGACACTGCGGCCAGCTCTTTTCAAATGGAGTTCACAGTATTCCAGATGAAATCACCTCTAGCCAAGTATATGGCTAGAGACTCGAGTAAGTTGAAACGATCGCTGAATTCAAATGATCGAACATCACGGATAGTGGGAAGTCCTCCATCTAGGAGGTATATACACCAGGTTATGCGGCTAAAAATTAAAAAAATATGAAAAAATATGGTCACCTGTCCTCTAGATTCAATTTTTGAATGAATCGTAGCATAATGTACAGATTATTTGATATCATGCTATTCTTGAAACATTTGTACGCAAAAATAACTGGGTCGCTCACCTCTTATGCCTATATGTGTTCAGTAATCATCAATTCTCGTGAGTAAAATTTCTCCAGGGCATTGAAAGGTCCGCGCAGTAAATTGACAATTTCTACTGCGCATGTGTCATGGGTTGTGAAACACTGGATGAAATGGTTTGGTAAATTTCAAGCTATTTGATTGGTCGAAAAAATCACGCGCCTTTGCGTGATTTGCTTTATTCTCGCGAGATAAGGCGCTCCATCCCCTTAAATTTTTATTTTGAACAACCATTATGATTTGGTGCATTATCTGACCAATAAAGCAGATTTGGAGGTATGAATATTTTTTTTATTATTTTCTGTAAAGTGTTTTCTACAGGCCCTATGTGTCTCAGGATATTTGTTTAACGAAAACTAGCCAAATAATTTATTTTAAAAATACATATTTTTTATTTTGGATGGAAACTGCGTAACCTGACAAATAATATAAGTAATATATGGAGGACTTCCCATAACTGTGTATAGGCCCAGGATGTAGGCTGAGATTCAATCACTGAATCAGATCGACGACTACATGGCTGCTACATGGACTAGGTCTTCGTGTATTTACATCGCAAAATCAGTTTTAAATCAACACTGAATCGCACAATTTAATTTATATTAATGACTCTTACATTCCAATGTACATTTAATTACATAATATATTGTAACTCTAAAGAAACACTTGATCAGATCACCTATGGGATCGACCAGGCGTCCGTCCGTTGGTCCGTCCGTCCGTCCGTTGGTCCGTCCGTCCGTCCGTCCGTCAACATTGGCCGCACAAATTAAAACTGCTATTCGGATTGAGTCATAGCCACATTCATTTTATGCATATCCATAATGCCTATTTGACCTATCATCGCCATTTCCCAAGTTCGGCCGGTTTCCGAGAAATTGCGGATTTTGACGTCAAAAAGTCAAATTTTCTGTAAATACTAGACACTTTGTTGAAGTAGAACTTTCAAATAACTTTTAGTAGTTGCTGTATATGCAACTTATGTCCTCTGAAAATTTCAAAGCTCTTGAAATTACAGTTTTTGGTGTTTACTCTATAAAGTTTGACAAAAAGTAGGACTTAGTCATTTTCAGGAAACTTTCTCATGTATAAAGTCAATGGCAGGTTTTGTGATTGACAAGTTTCTCAAAGTTTGCCTTATACTTGATCATTTCTTGCAATGAATTACATCATTACTAGATTAAAGCATTCCCTACATATTGCTCAATATTATGTCAGCATCAAATTTTTACCGTTTTTGAGATATTTGACGTCAAAAAACTGTAAAAATAAGTTATTTTTCAACTTGCTTCAATTTGACCAAATTTTTTTCGGAAAATCATCTACAAGTTGCCAGGAGTTCAAATCTGACATTAGTTTTAGGATTTGACCTTTAGTTGACCTTCAGTTACCTTCGAAAGGTCAAAAAAGTTGATTTTTCAAATTGATTTTTGGATGTAAATTTTGGCCAGCTTAATCACAAAAGACCTTACTGAGCTCTGACTAAGTAAAATTTTCAAGGTCATCAAACTAGGTCACACAATTGTGCTATCTAAGTTTCTCAAAGTTCGAGACTACAAATCCAAATCAATATTTTTGTTTGAAAGTCAGGATATACATTTCTCTGAAGGTTCCAAACTGTGTGAGCACAGGACCGTGGGTCCTTCATTCAAGTCGTAGACGGGAAGTTTGCTTTGTTTATGTAGATCAACCTGATAACGTTTTGATTGGTCAATCAGCCTGAAGTCACAGGTCGTGTCCATGCGATCTTGTCAATCAATAAGGTTTCGCGATACCCCTGATAGCGTAGGTATTATGGAAATCTTGAAACGGCTGAATAACTCAGCATAATACCAGCGGAGATGTATTGGATTGTACAAGGTGGTAATAATTCAAGATCACATAATTAAAAAAATACCGACTTGGGCAAGGCTAACCATATTAATGTGGGTGCCAAAATCATATACATGTATGTATTTTTCCTCATAGAAATTCACATAAGATTGCAAAGTTTCAGAATCCAAGGGTCTTCTTGAAAAATGATACAACATATCAAAGTACAGTGGATGTGGGTGTGGGGTCATTTAGGGACAATTTCTGGTCATTTTGAGGGCAATTTAAAGTCAATATTTAACTTCCGTATTGCACATTTCTAGCAGTTGTCATTATGACAGAATTAAGTCCACATGTCTGTGACAGTTAATCATAATGATATATTCATGCAGGTAGGGTTCAGGCAGTGGCTTTTATGGAGGCCAGGGACCATGGTACCACCTCTATCACTAAAAATGGGTAACGAACAAAGTGAACAGTTTACTGGACTGGGTCCAAAAATGCTTACAAAAATGCTTACAAATTACCTCATACCCGCATACGTTGATACATTGTATCTTTTTTCTAGGACACACACGCCTTAATTTTGAAACTTTGATTTCTTATGTAACTGTCCATAAGGAATAAAATGATATATAACATGATACGGTGGCAATGCTACATGTATGAGTTTAGAGGGGGTGCATACATATGAAACACCCATACTGTCATCTCTTATTTTCACGCCCCAAGTGCATCTTCCTGTATCAGAAACAATAGCTTGATGGACAATGGTACCAAAGTTATCATATCTGTTTGATTACAGCACAAGTCCAGTGACAATGCCGACATACAACTGGAAAGATATCACCAACGAATTCTTGGAGGCTTCATCCTCTCTTAACCTGGGCGAACTGCTACATGATAACAGGTATGTAACTTGTCAATAGGTTTGACATATGATAACAGTACATGATAAAACAGTACATGATAAAAGGTGCATGAAGCTTTTAAGTAGATTTAAGTTTTTAACTGTGATCGGAAGTACGAGTTTCATTTATTATAGTATTAAGCTAACTTATTTCATTCACACAACCAACTTTAAAAGATCTTCCAAGACACAAATCATTAATATTTGAGTTATTGTATTCTAAAACATGGCTTCACTAATGACCCACATCCTTCACTTGAGTCTTATTCATACGAGATAATGATGTCTCGTAGATATCTGCTTGTATAAAATATTAAGATTTTTTGAGCAAACTGTGCAGAACTTTTGGATCAACCCTCGTATTATATTGTAAATATGATTTTCAGTTTTGGACTGTTTGAGGCAATGTCTGCCATTGAAATGATGGACCCAAAGATGGATGCTGGGATGGTGTGCAATCAAAACAAATGTAAACTCCACACTTTGGAGCAAGGTGTAGAGGTATGTATGATGTATTCCTCTATCAATATCTCTGTCAACTCAAAATCACACAATTATGCTAATAAACTTTTTTTCATGGGCATCATTTTATGATACGCTTTGTTTAATGGGCACAACAATTTTTGATGTGCACTGTTCTTGTGCAAACCATTTTTAAAAGTCACCATTTCTTGATGCACAACCGTTTTTGACAGAGATACCCACATTGTCATATCTCGTGACTTGAAATTCTTATGTGGTATGTTGTAGCTGTTGCTCTATTAAAGTCCCCGTCTAAAGTTTGAAAATATTTTTTTATCATTCATTTACTATTTGTCAGGACTTAAAAAGTGATTTTAGAGATTTTTGAACAAAAAATTTTTTTTGAGAAAAAAGATGTGAGCATTTCATTTCTCAAATATTCAAATTTCCCGCCATTTTTCAAAAAAAGTTGAAATTTCTTAATCATCAAATTTGGGACCTAAATAGAGTGTGGTGCTGCGCCACAGTCTAAAAGCCTGGCAAGAGCACTGACTAATGAATTTCTATGTTATGTATGTTACAGAATGGAAGTGTTAAGATAGACAACTTCACAATGGAAGAGCAGATAGGCATCATAGACACAACCTTTGCTTGCCTAGTAAGTGTACCCTGGCGATCTGTTCTGTTGTTCATGAACAATTCAAGAATAATTGACATTTGTACAGGGGTAACTTTATATATTCAGTTAATCAAGGTTTTGTTTCACAATATTCACATAAATTCTAAGCTTCTCCTTAATACGCAAGTTTAGAAAATTCTATAGTAAGTATTTGTATCTCATTGAATGAAGTCCATCTATTCGCCTGTCTTTACCATCTGTCTAGGTGTTAACTTAAAAATATCGGTTGACAGATTTGGTTAAAATTTATGTGCTGATCCCATTTAATGGTGATATGAAGAATATACATGTAGAACAAACAAACATATTGCACAGTATTAAACATATGAATTGATTATATGTTCCAGGTGACATGGCTAGAAGGTCATTCATTGGCTCAGACAGTGTTCACTAATGTCTTCCTTCACAACCCCTATATCGTTGAGGATCGCTGTATCAAAGTGTTCAGTATCTGTATGTTGAAGCTCGTTGATATCATCAAAGACAGGATTAATAGAGCTGGAGTCTTTGAGGAGGTATGAAACTTGGGATTTGTGATTTGTTCTCCATGTCCATGTTATTCCAAATGTCCCCCTTTCTCTATATTTTGATAAAGGAAACTGTTTTTATGCATTTCTATGAAATTTTATGTTTTCAGTATACATGCTTATTTGAAAATATATATTTTCATATATGGTCATCCTGATCTATTTTTTTTAAATTTGGAAAAAATGTTGGAATCGATAGATTGTAAATTCCAATACCAATCAATGATGAATATTTTTTAAATGTCAAATTGATTTGCGTAATAACTGACCGATAAGTTTCACTCCACTGTACAGTTAAACATGTATATACATGTATATTTTTGGGAGACTATATCATCTATATTTAAAATTTGCCCTAAATGTCAACAAGTTTGCTCAAATTTTGCCAAAATGCTTCTTGTAAAATGTACACATTATAACCATATAAATGCACACATTAATTTTCCAGGAGGACTTTCAACCCATGACATATGGATTCAAGATGGCTGCTGATATAACAGATATGAGAATGTGCGGCATGGTCAAAGAGGTTGAGGAAGAGTACTTAAAGTTGATAAAGGTCAGTAGATACACTGGGTCATTCAATAACTTCTATGAATTTTTTATCACTTGTTGCTCTTAAAAGGATATGAAGCAACCAAGTTTTAATGTTATTTTAACATATCCCATAATTTAAAAATAATTAATTTTACTTTGGAAATGTACATTGGTAATCTTTTAAAAGCAAGAGGTTGGGTCAGGATTATTTCCTTTGATTTTACTGGATAACATCAATGCCAAGGCACAGCAAATCCCATCGAACAGCCATGGCTACCATTTTTACAAAATCCCTCCTCTACTTAAAATAACACACATAAAACCAACATTTTCAAAATGGCCACTCACTTACCAAATTGTCATAATAAAGTGTGAAATGCAGATGGATACACTTTGCATAAAATGTTTTCTCACCGACCCAATGACTAGATTGTTGGATCCTATCAAAGGAACATTTATTGCGTGTGATAATTGCAAAAATTATATACCAGAAGCTTAAATGACTATTAACAAGTTTGTGAATGTTGAATCACAAATATGAATTTGGAATATTATAATAAAACAAAACAATAATCATCCCTATATTGTATTTTCTATAATCCGATCAACATACTGCATTTTCTATAATCTTGCAAAACTGTATTTTCTATAATTTTGCACATACTGTATTTTCTATGGTCTTCCACATAGTGTATTTTATATAATCTTCCACATACTGTATTTCCTAGACCACAAGGAGCAAGGCCTCAGATGAAAAAGACACAAGCAGAGAAAATGATCATCGATTAGCACAAGGGGTCCATGCACGACTGAAGTTTTGTCGTCTTCTCTTTTCAAGCCTTGTAGCCTTTTCAAAAGAAAAAGTAAGTTTTTAAGACAATATTTTTAAAATCAATATTTGCATGTTTTGCTAAAGTATGCTGGCTAGCTTTGAAATATTTCTTTATTATCTAATTTATTATCCAAGAGAGAAATTGTGAACTTCGTATTGCATTTTAGCTCTACATTTTACTTTATGGTGTTGGACAATCATATAGTAACCTAGAATATGTAACTGCATTTGCGTTTAAATTTGTTACACTACTTTTTACTAGGAGAGATTGATTACACAAATTTGACATCAATAAACAGTCGTTGTTATAGTTACAGGTCCTTAGTGATCAAATCATATATCATATTCATGGATTTGTAATAATTATTACACTTTTTTAATTGCAACCTCAGTGTTAACATTTTTCATGTTAAGTAATGCCTTTATAGACATTGAGAGTCAGTTATACATAAATGTTATGTTTCATTTATCTTTATTTTAGTGTCAGGGACTACCCGAGGCACAGAAATGTTTGCAACAAATGGGTGAACTGATGTCGTGTATGAAAGATACAATTCAATTAGGGGAGAAATCTTCACAAGTTGAAGGGAAGGATGAAGGTACATATTGATAATTGAAAATATGATGATTTGAGTAAAACAGCAGGGGTGCTAAACCTGATGCATAAGAAAATGATAAAAAAACAAAAAATGAAATAATAAAAAATGATGACACTATTAAGACTAAAAACAATGATGATGAATATCATATTCAAAGTTACAATGATGAAAATTTTATTTATCACCTTTTCTTTGTCAATCTCTCATGCCAATAGAAATCTTCTAGATTATCCGACACTAATGGGTTTTGATCCTTTGATCAATCAACGCCTGCTTCCACCAACCTTTCCACGATATACCAAGATTAAAACACGTAACGAGGCTGTTGAGTACCTGGGTGAGTTAACGGAAATGTTGAAGCTCGTCTGCACAGTGACCAATTATAAGAGTCTACATGAGAGCATGGTAGGTGACATCTTTTTTTCAGTTATTAGCAATTATTATGGTCAAGAATTATATAATTATATTTAACATTTTATTAATGCCGAGCTTTTATGATTTATGGCGCAATATGACCGAAATTTTTATCCTGTTCCTTGTTAAAAGACCGAAATTGCGTAGTATTTGACATGATTCTCCAGAAGTAATAACTTTTTTTATCAGGAGTTCCTAGCTGAAACAAGCAAGTTGTCTCCCTGTGTCCTGTCCAGATCAATTTTACAGGTAATATAAAGAATCATTCTTCCACGTAATATGAAATTTCAATCTTCCAGGAAATATTAAATATTGAAACATGATGCATAATTATGAATATTATCAAGCCATCGAAAAAGTACAACGCACCATTTTGATCCCATGTTTGAAAGAAAACCAATCTTAAAGGTAATTTCTATTTTAAAGAAAATATAGATTCTATAGGAAGTAGTGAATATCAATATTACAGGAAATATATTGAGTAGTAAAGGGCTCCATCATTTCACTAGTTGGCAAATAATGAAATAGGTCCATACTTTTAAAATGATATTAATTTCATAAAAATGTTAGAAAGAATTACTTCAAAGATGGAAACACTTGCTTCATTTAAGTGATACAGATGTTGATACAGATATCAATGAGTTTGCATTTTTTTTGTTTCCAGTTGACATATGTACCGCAGAATAGACGTTTGTTTGGTACTCAAGGTATGGTAGATGTCATAAGGGAACAAATACGAGCCTTCATCAATCCTCCAATACTCAATCCAAAGTGAGTGACTTTCTTTCCATAAATATTTCATGAATGAATCATGTTTTCAAATGTTAACTTATTGATTTATTGTATCATCTTTGATAGGCTATATGCTCTTATAGGATTTAACTGAGAGTCAGTATCCACTCAGCAAATTGTACTTAACAATCATTTTTTGTGCATGATCGAATAACTTTATTTTGAATGTTGATTGGTTCATAGCTGGTTTTGGATTTCTTTCATTAATTGATACACTTTCATGTTTTCGAAATAAATCTTGACTAGCGAGTGTTACGTATATGCTGTAAAATTTAACTACATAATATGTTTTTTGTTTGTTTTCTAGGTGTGCAATTTACAATCATCCCCAGGCCAAAGACTGCATGGATGCCTTTTTAAGAGACGCCGTTCGGCCCATTGTTGAAATCATACAAAGCTGTGGCCATAATAGGGCACGTCAGAGAGATAGGTGGGCTCATTTAATGGAAGAGCTGGCGAGATTACAGGATGAGGTTCGTAAAATATCGGGTGTGTCTTATTCAGTCCAACCTATTGATAATTGACCTACTGACTGAACCTGATACAATTTTCTTTAATAACGGTCATGTTTTACTAGCAATCTGTTTGGCGCCTCCTGAAATACAGAGCCTCTTTACTGCTATATTTCTGAATCATAGTTTGATTCATTGGATATTATCATGGAAAGGGAATGAAATCAAGAATAAGTGCAGTATAATTCATTGGATATTATCATGGAAAGGGAATGAAATCAAGAATAAGTACAGTATAATTCATTGGATATTATCATGGAAAGGGAATGAAATCAAGAATAAGTGCAGTATAATTCATTGGATATTATCATGGAAAGGGAATGAAATCAAGAATAAGTGCAGTATACTTCATTGGATATTATCATGGAAAGGGAATGAAATCAAGAATAAGTGCAGTATAATTCATTGGATATTATCATGGAAAGGGAATGAAATAAAGAATAAGTACAGTATGATTCATTCTGACTGAACCGTTACATTGAAAATATTTTCATCAAACCTACAAATATTGTACCTTATACAAATGCATGTGTCACAGACCTGTCTGAATTAATGTTGCCCATGACAATATCAGTACCATAGGCTGAGTATTAAAATAGGTGAGGCAAGTTTTGATAAGGGAGGCAAATCTTATAAGGAGAGGCAAATTAAAGATGGAGAGGACATAATGCTACTACTATAGCCATTATTTCAAAGTTTCAGCAAAAAAAAGAACTTTGAATATTATTTTTTTGTCACTCCCAGTCCCCGAGTGGTGACATATTGTTATAAGTCTTCAACTTTTTTCTGGATGGCGTTCAGTGTTTTGCAATTGGTGTTCAGTGTCTGCAACAAATGGCAGGTGGTGACATTTTGCATATTATTGCCTTGTTTCAGTAATATTTTGGTCTCATGCTTGGCTATTATATGCTTGGGGATACAGTATAACATGTATATAATTTACCTCCACATATCTTTTCATTTTTAGGCAGAGAAAGTAGATGCATTTCTACATTCTATCATGACTAAACAGGAGCCGAATCGTCAACATTTGCTGTGTATAGGAACATGGGTGCTATTTCATACATTACAAGTTATGATCCGTTTTGCTCAGAGTGGATTCGAACTTGAGTTGTATGCTGTACATGAATACCACTATGTCTTCTGGTGAGGAGCATTATAACATAGTTAATGTTTTAATTTTTGTATCCATGTAAATATCTAGATCATTTTGATGGAAAATTCCCCGATCAAAGTTGAAACTTCCCCTTTTTTAATTCTAATGATTTTGGACATATCTGCATCTGAAATGTTCAATATGACCTCAATATTTGATCTGAAATCTCAATTCTTTTTTCTCAGAAGATAGAATTAGATTTGTAAGGGAAACATTTGTGTACGTTTGAAAATGAACTAAGCCTAACCGAAATGAACTGTCTTAGCCCTATTGAGTACCTTTTAACACCCTTCATATGATAAGAAAGTGTACAATGTATAAAGTGAACACCCTGTATATATTGAACAGTGAATGCGCTGCACATACTGTATATTCACTAAAATACACCCTGTATGTGTTTCCAGGTATCTATTTGAGTGTCTCTACAACTGGTTACTCTCAACTTTGACAAGAGCAGAAAACAATTTATTGGAAATGGATACAATTATAGGTATGTATATATATATATATATGTATATGTATATATAAATAGTTTCTAACTTAACATGGGGGCAGAAACAAATTTTTTTTTAAAAGTTGCGGTCAACAGTACATATTGTTGACCGCTAATCAACCAATCAGAATTGAGTATTTCAACTGAGGTACTTACAATATAATCTGTTGAATGGAACACCTCCAAAGTGGAGTACTTTCTTGTTCCCCTTCAGCTTGATGTAAAAAGTAACTCTTTAAATGGAACCCCTAAGTGGTGCAACTTCTGATGCTGTTTTGTGTCCTTTTCTTTCTTCAATATTACCCGAAAGAGGCTTTGTATATTATTAACTTGTTTGTATGAGTAGCACGGCTTTATCATTTTTATCCCTTTCCTTCTTTGATAAACAATACTTGTTAATTTTCTCAGGTTGTCTGAACACAATTAGAAAAACGGAAATATCAGGTCAATATTTGGCTTAACACCTTCTTTGACATACCTATTTTCTTAAAATGTATGTATAAACTATCAACTTCAGCATTAAGAAGTTTAAATTCAGTTCAAAGTTTCTATAAAGGGAGTCCCACTTATAGATTTTTAAGATCCATTACGTTTCAAGAGGAGTACCAACTGAAATAATGTTCATTCAGGGGGTTTCTTTGTAGATAATGAAAATATATGTTAGTCTTGATGATACATCGAAACTAAAATATATTTTGACACTGGTCGATGATCATTTAATGGCCGCCCTGCACTAATTGTTGCACCTTTAATATAATAGTCATAAAATATTATCATATTTAGAAAATTCATTAGCTTAAATCAACTGTACATATAATGGTGTCAGTATATTATAAGTGGTCCAAAGAATCGATTGTGTGTATCCTCATCTGTACTCATAAGGTAATCTCTATAGGCTATATTGAACTCTTCATTTGTTAACTTGCCATCTTGATTGGTGTTCATGTAGTCAAACTGCATCCGTGCGAATCTCTTGTCCAATTCAAATGAATCCCAATACGCCATGTACTGCTCAAATGTGAGAAAACCAGCTGATTTTGTATCAAAAATCTGGAAATGTAAAATTTGGTGCTATATGTCTGGATTTCATATTTCTGATCCCTCATACCCTTTAAAATATCATACTGTACATAAAAAAATTCAATGGATATTTTCCATAATGAAATTTAAAAGTTGAGTTGTTATTTGAAATAAAAGGCCAAAATTTGCCCAGTAATAGGTTGATTGACAGCACTAAGGTTGATTGATAGTTGAAATTATTTTCCAAGTTTGGGATTTTTTAATCTCAACTAACATCTTTTTATGGTTTATATCTATATTGATTAACCATTCCTACAAAGGAGGACAATGCATCCCATCATCCTAGAGAGTCACATGACTGCACCTGACCAATCAAATAAATGTACTTGCAATAACCAGGTTTTCAATACCTTAAAAACATCAGAGTATAGGTTACACCATCTGTCCATAGCAGCTGAATCATCCCTGGATTCCCAAAGGCCTGTTAATTGCTCATACAAAGATGTACCAGCAACAAATCCTAAGTTAGGGTTATCACTGGTTCGTCTCTGTGTATCTCTGAATAGCTCTATTAAGTCATCACAGGCTTTACTGGGAAGACATCCTAAAAATGGAAAATGATTGTCCAGCTGATATGCCTTTAAAAGTCTACACACATCAATATAATATGACAAAACATAGGAATGGAGATAGTTTTGGCCCAGAATATGTTATTTTCTACCTTTCAATTCAAAGTTAAATACATATCCAAATAACTGTTCAACAGACATTTTCCCTAAAATACCAAAGTGTAAAAAGTGACTCATTTAGTTTAGTTAAAAAGTTTGAAATTAATGAGGTGATATCTCATAGAAGTTTAAAAAGGTGATAGTAAACAATTTTTTGTCAAGCTTTGGTTGTCACAAAAAGAAGGTTTAGATCAAAGTACCAAGTTTATGTATTGTGTAAGTTATTTATGGATCATTTTACTTTTTTATTTATTTTTATTATTGAGCATTTTAGGGTCAGCCTATATAAGGTTCACATGGTAAATAACCTTAGCAGCCAAGTAAACATTTGTCATCAATTCCCTGTAATAAAATATTATCCATTTTTTTACTATATCAGTAATACTGTTAAATCTACCTACCAATTTGGATTATTTTGTCCGCTCTGCTCATGAAATCATCATATCCGACAACGCCATCTTTGTCCAAATCCCATGAAAGAAAGATTGTCGCCATTTTCCTGAGCCATATTAGTGGAATTTGTCTGATCTGAAAATTTGTAGTTGGATAATCGCAGTCAGATTTGCAAATGTTCTTGAAATAGTCAGGTATTTAAATAACATTAATCAATTATCTATTGATTTCCAGATAATCAATATTAATTCCATGAAACTTCTCTCTCCTGATTTCTTTTTTTTCTATCATTTAAATATTGAGTCATGTTATAACCATTATATATACCTGAGAACAGGGTTATGTTGGCGAATATAGACCCACTGATTGTATCACATAGCTGATGGAAGCCCTCCTTTCCTCCACTCATTAAGGACTTATAGCCCAGTCTATGACAAAGGCTTTATTCACCAACATATACCTTGTTCATAGGGCTCTTAACCTACCTGAGGAACATGTTGATTAACTGATGAGTTTTCCGCTTTGTCTGTCATGTTGATTCAAAATATTTTTAGAATTATTTTTAAAACTAGAATTATTGTTGTCACCTAATCTTTTTGATTTCCTTAATTGAAAGGTTTCTCCATGTACAAGTGATATAAAATTTTACACGATTTGTACCCTGTCTAGTCACATACTATAATGTACAGCTTTTGAGGGACTGATATATTTTTAATGTCTGTGTCTGTAGTTAGCAAATAAAATGTGACCTTATTATAGATACACTTACCTCTTAAATTTTATTCACAAATATATTTTTCTCATGGCACGTTTTTATGTCATCGAGAGTGTATTTATATTAGTCTAGGGGTCATTAACAGAAATTTTGTTAATTTTCAAAGTAAAGCAATTGTTGTAACCATGGATATAATGATGTCACAGTTAGAGAACAATGGACTTTACAGATTCTTAACTTTACGAAGTCCCCTATTTATTATTTTACCCCCAAAGAGTGGCTGCATATTGTAATATATATTTTTGGGACTGTTTTAGTATTTGTAATAAATTGTTACGCTTTGACAACAAAAATAACATATTGTGATTTGCCTGTTATTGAAATGAGGTGTTTCCTTAATCAATTTCACGCAATTGAAACAAAATTACAATAAGAAAGCTTATTATTTGAATATATTCTTTGAAATGTTAGTATAGTAAAAGTAGTTAAGTTAAGTATTAAAGTTAATCAAAACCATCATGTCAGAGTCAATATCCAAAGTATATTGACCAAGTTCAATATTTAATGAGTGGTCCAAAGAATCGATTGGGCGTATCATCTTCTGTGTTCACAAAGTAATCATGGAAAGCATTCACAAACTCTTCTTCACTTATCTTTCCATCATGGTCAGTATCCATGTAGTCAAACTGCATCTTTGCAAATCTCCTATCAAGGTTAAATGTGTTCCAAAACACCAGGTACTGGTCAAATGTAAGAAAACCAGTGGCGTTGAAATCAATAACCTGCAATAGGAATAAAAAATATTATAAAGCTATGATATAAAGTTATAGTCTGTCCAAGAATATATCTGTATAAGAATATATAATTTCATTTTTACTATTTTAACTTATTTCAGTTATTTAATCATTGATGTCTTTCATGTCATACAAAATTATAAACTCAATTTTTCACTTTTTGTTTTACCTTAAACATGTCAGAATATACTTTGCACCACAGCTTTACAGTGTCTGGATTATCCTTGACTCTCCAAGCTGCCACAAGCTGCTCTGACAAAGATGTTGCTTTGACCACCTCTGAACTAGGGTTATCACTTGTATGCTTTATTATATCTCTGTAGAAGTTGATTATATTATCACCAGATTTCCCATTAAAGTTGCCTAGAATGAAAACTGTTCGCTTGATTGAATGAAATCAGTTATCCTATTAAAACTGCCTTAAGTCGAAATTGACTAATTGTGCAAATGACATTATGAAGCTTTTTGCAATCTTCAAAGAATAAATACATAAATATATTGGTGAACTAAAATACTTTGTGCACATTGTATGAATTATTATATCACCACCAAGAAATGGTGTAATATTGTTATGACCACAGTTTTTGTGACTGGTATCAGGGACAAAAATGTAACTTGAAAATGATGGATTAATTATTGTTCAGTTTTAGCACAGTTGGTAGTTGGGAGGACCTATCTGCAGTCAAGTAATTTTTCTCCAGTTATCTTGTCGTAATTCTGTTCTGTATTCATTCACATATTCCTGCTTCATTCTGTTCAACACTAGTTCTATATTCTTCCTTTTTGGCCTTCATATAAGCTTTATATTATGCAATTACTTACCAACTTGAATAATCTTGTCTGCTATATTCATCATGTCATCATTCCCAGCATACCCATCATTATCCAAATCCCAGACAAATAGGATTGTAGCTAACTTCCTTAGCCATAAATTAGGCATTTGCCTGATCTGAAAAATATATATCTGTTCAAATATGAATCAATACTTCCATGATGAAAGTTAATTGGTAACAATAAAAAACATCCTTGACCATGTTCAAACTTAACCAGAAAACCATTGGCACAATACAAAATAATATTTACCTCTGACACTTGCTTATCATCACAAGAGTTTTCTGTTTTTTCAGCCATTTTGATGTAGTTTTTTCTTTTAAGTTAAAAACAGCTGAATGTTTGTAAAGGTTTTAGCACATTAAAATGTCAACTAGGTTCATATAATGTTTGAATATCTTAATGAAATGAAGCAATATAAATCATAGTCTTTGTATTTACTTCTTGAGCCATGAGTTAATGACTGACTTTCCTAGTTATCTGTTCAATCTGACTTTATTTTGCTCTGTGTTTAGTTTTTTTTTAAATACAAATCTGAGCCAAATATCAAAGCAATAAATTCACCATAATAAATTCAAAACATGTTCTTGACAGTCCTTATCCAATTTCACTAATAAAAACTATAAAATAATTATATTTATAACATACCTATGATGATGTATAGTGCAAAGTGTACACAAGACAGCGGGCCAATATAAGTTTTGAAAGCCCGCGCCCGCTAACTTTCTGATTGGTCAAGGCACTGACGTCATAACCAATCAATCGAAGATAAAACTGCGCGAGCAATTTTCTAAACTCATTTCAATCATTTTCAAACCATTTGTTTGTCAATTCTATAAGAAAATGGTGCTCTCTGACCAGTCTACATCATCATTGATATGTTATAAATCGTTTATGTCACTATCGTGGCACATATGCCCTCGGTTCTCAGAGATCAATGTCCCTCCCAAGGTCGGGCCATATATCACTGAGACCTCGGGCATATATGCCACGATAGTGACATAACCTCTAAATAAATAACATGATTGAAAAGGAGAGATTATTTTGTATACAGACTTTGTGTGTACAGAAAATGATTGGTGTAGAGATCATGCATACATGCTAATATTTACTGCTACAAGTACATTAAGGATTCTTTATTAATTATCAAAAGACAACATGTTCAAATGTTAAAATTCAGACATTTATTTTTATCAATTGAATTTTTCAGACCAGCAAAAAGGAGGCAAGAAACGCAGCAAGAAGAAACGTAAAACGAGACCATACCAACGTGAGGTGCTGACAAACCAAGGACATCAGAGCATGTGTGGAGGCTATTATAAGGTAAAACATGTAATTGCAAGGAATAGAGAGGAGAATAGTGGATTCAGCAAGGAATATAAATGGTTTGGCTATGGCCAATTACTTTACTCACTTAGTAATGACATTATATTTGTCTGAAGCAGTGCTCATATTCATTTTATGTAGGCTAATGCATGTAATACAAATCTGAAGCAGTGCTCATATTCATTTTACGTAGGCTAATGCATGTAATACAAATCTGAAGCAGTGCTCATATTCATTTTATGTAGGCTAATGCATGTAATATAAATCTGAAGCAGTGCTCATATTCATTTTTATGTAGGCTAATGCATGTAATATAAATCTGAAGCAGTGCTCATATTCATTTTTATGTAGGCTAATGCATGTAATACAAATCTGAAGAACAATTGTCATATATCCATTTTTAGAAAATAAGCACTGTGAGGGATTCTGTAAGAAATTTTTTTTTTAAGATTGAAGAAAATATTGACTCTATAGTAATTTACAGGCTCCAGTCCACAAGTGGTATGCTATGGAGCAGATGTTAAATAGGACTAACAATGGACATTTTTCTTTGAAATAGTTATATTTTTAACAAAGCTGCAAAACAAACTCTTATTGGCTTATTTCTAATTGTTACTCAGCTGTTGTATACTCTTAATGTACCATAGGGTACCATATAAATGGTACCATACAGTGCCCTATACGGTACCGTAAAGTAACGTGATTTCAGAGTGCAGATTGGGGATGTATAATCTTTTTCCAGGCATTAGTAGGACTGAAGCTGGATGACAAATACAAAAAGCCAGAGTTTGAATTTGGGGATGAGGAAATTCGCTACAATCACAGGTTTGCACCATTTGGAAACCTAGCAACACCACCTGCCATACAGTATTCTCAGTTTAAGGTATGTAATATGTTTATAATGTTGTTTCAGATTTACGAAAACATATTACACGTAAGTGGCAGTATTTAAAATCTCAATTAAACAGAGTTAAAACCTATTTTTAGTACATACTAACAATGGATAAAGAGGTTTTCTGGGATACTGGGGTTTATGCCTATATCTGCCTCAAAGCATCTCCTGTTATCTTGCCCCTTCTATAGGATTTCATTGTTATATCATAGTGAGTATCTTATAGGAAATGCCAGATATCACCGACTGCTAGTGCCATCAACTGTTATGTTCACTATGTATATGCCTGTAATTTTTTCCCTGTTCTTCTGCAACCTCTATAGGATATCATTGTTATATCATAGTAATTGTCTTATAGGATATGACAGATATCACCCACTGTCAGGTGAAACCAACTATATCTGATGTTTATTCATCTGCCTCCAAGTGTTTTCAACAGGCAAAGACATGCTATGAAAGCCTAACCAATCCAAATAAGGAGGTATGTATTAGACATGCTATGAAAGCCTAACCAATCCAAATAAGGAGGTGTGTATTAGACATGCTATGAAAGCCTAACCAATCCAAATAAGGAGGTGTGTATTAGACATGCTATGAAAGCCTAACCAATCCAAATAAGGAGGTATGTATTAACATAATCACAATTTATCATACTAAGGTATTCAAAATGCGAGTCTCTATATTAATGGAAATGTCTGTAACATAATCCATCATCAATACACTTGTGTCTCCCTAAATCATTTTATATTGGGTTTCCCTAAGATTATCAAATTCAAAAAATATCATATTTTGAAAATTATATGATCTATGAGAAGATAAACCTGACTTATTCTTATCTTCAAAAGAACTAAAAGAACTAATTTAAACTTATACTAAACATGTTAAGTAAATGTAGTCTCGCATTTTCAGATTCAGAATCTAGTGAAAATTGCCAAGAACAACTTTGTAGTGTTGAAGCTGCTAGCAGGAGGCCACAAGAAGGACTCAAAGGTACTTAATATATAGATGGTATCCCTCCATCTCATGTGAATGAATAGACCATTTGTAAAGATCGATGCCTTTTACCCATCCACCTAAAATGAAATTGGCTGGAAGTACATGTACAGAGATTAAGGAATGAATAATGAATAATGATTAAGAACTTCCTCATTAAATTTTGACAAGTAAACTTTTTAAGATATTTGATCCTTGGTGTACTGGGAGAGGGATAATTTTGATATCTTGATACTTGAACAAATACATAGAGGATATCCTATGATTTATGAGTGATATGATTTTTATCCACGAATGGATATGATATCTGCACGAGCGAGCGTAGCGAGAGAGTGCAGATATCAATATCCATGAGTGGATTAAAATCATATCACGAGTAAATCATAGGATGTTCTTTTTATTCCATAGTTAAAGTCACCATCAGAATCGTCGGAAATTAAGTTATTTAATTCGAATTTCCAAACGATCCGGCGATGTTGACACTTAGCCTCGTTTTGAGTCTGAAGTAGCAAAAATCCATAAACCATCGCATACGACGTCGTATGTCATGGCTAAAAAACCGTATGTTATGGTAAAGTCAAAATTTGTCAAAAATATCATATTTTACCACTGATTACAAAAATACCGTTTTTATTTTCACATGTTATCCTATGAATATCATGCTAACTATGGAATAAATATAGATATATTCACCTCCAAGATTGAACATCTGTTTGAAGTACAGAAATACAGTGTTTAGAAAATGAAGTACATGATGGAAACTTTTGAAATGGATAACCGTTGATTGATTTTTAATTTGGCATTTTTTAATTCTTTCAGGAGCCTCCAGACTTTGACTTCTCATTACATAAGACATTTCCTCTGATTAAGCTATGATGTCATGTCCTATGATGTCATGTCCTATGATATCATGACATGACATGACATCAGAATGAGAGGACAACAAGATGACATTTTAGTTTGCTCCATTCTCACCAAGGATACTGCAGTATTCTACAATGTCACGTCAAATGAATACATTATTGTGATATCCCACAATGCAACATTTCACTTCAGTATCCTGACACTTGCAGTTGATGAAAAATGCCAAAACGTCAGACACTTCAAATATTGAGAGATGATGTGAAATTGGCCCAAGAGCAGTTTGGTTTGTCACATCACTTGATATGTCACATTCTTATTAGATTGAATTAGTTTGAATATAGTTCATAAGGGAATAAATTGTCAAACTCAAAACAGTCCATGTCAGTTTATGTCATTATTCTTCTCTTAATATTAACACATTGATAGTTATATGCATCTCTAAGAAGTGTTGATATATTGTTATATCCACTGTAACTGGAGTTTAGCATTGGCATCCATAACAATTGTTACCCTTTTGTAACCATTTGCAACCAAACTCACCAGGTAGTGAGATTTTGTAATGTTAGTGTATTTTCTATAACACAGTGAACTCTTCTCAACTTGGGCTTAAAGTCTTTTTGTGGACGGTGCTCTGCATGTGGAGGTCGGCGTCTGTAACAAATGGGAGAATGTGACATTTTGCATGTTAATGCCTTGTTCATTAGTTACTGACATCCTGAAATAACATAGCTCCAGATCCAGAATATCCATTTTAGGTTTTAGGCATCAGCGGTAGAATTTTATTATATTCTATCTTACAGAGAAGATATCTAAAACAGGTTGATTGGGCTTAAGCTAAGTTCACACCAATGGCTCTTTTATGGCGCCATCAAAGCGCCGTTGGTGTGAACTTAGCTTTACTATCCTCATTTGAATTTTTATTGGCTTTTACAATAGCCTTTGAGAATACCCACAGTGGGTTATGTACACTTTGTTGTTCACAATGTACTATATCTAGTAATCAGTAAAGATTTGGGAAATCATAATGCCATTTTATCATAATGTTCTATCAATAAACTATCAAATACCATTTTTCCAATAAATTTTCAATTTTTTATGTCACCGTCAGAAATTTTTTTATGGATGGTGTTTGGCAGTTGCTGTTTGTTGTCTGCAAAAATGGCAGGTGGGAGATGTTAATGCTTTGTCTATGATACAAAAAGTATGATTTCCATTGGAAATTAATGAAGTAAGGGACAAAAGGAATTAATACTTCCGTATTCCTAAACTGGGAAATTGAATTGTCCTGTTCGAATATGTTATAATTGTCAATTTTGAAATACAGTAAAACCTGGCTAACCTGAACACCACGTGTACAAGCAAAAAGCGTTAAAAGTAGCAGATGTTCGATTTCAAGGTTTCACTAACAAGGTATCGTTCTGATTACAGAGGTGTTGAGATATACAGGATTTACTGCTATACATGGAATTGTACTGTATTTTTCACTTTACACTAGCAGGGGTGGAAACCTATAGAGTATGTTCATGGAGTACACAGAAAATGCATTATGAAAATCACCATCTTTATTTAAGAATTAGGTAGGTGTAGTTTTGTTGTCGGTGAATTTACTTTTCATATATAGGCTCATCACATTTCAAAAATTGGGGAAACATTCGATTTTCACTAACTGACACTCAAAATTTCAATAATGTGGGGTTAACTACAGATCTTTGTTCAAAATCAAAATATTTTTTTGTTTGACCCCACATTTTAGGAAACTAGATGGGTGGCTGTCAATTCATAACAGTGAATTGTTTTTCCGAGTCCTGCGAATTTGATGAGTGCATTTGTAGTGTTTGGCAGTTGGTGTTCGGCTGTCAGAATCTGTAACAAATGGCAGGTGGTGACACTTTGCGTGTCAGTGCCGTGTTGCTCTTTATATTATGTATCATGTACTAGATAGTAACTCATGAGAATTTTCACTTTGTACAGCATTTTATTGTGATAGTCTATGTTTCTCAAAACAGTACAATAAAACTACATAAAATAATGAACTATTTTCTCTCGTAACTTTTGTGTTTTGATACTTTCTAAGGAACATATTCGTTGTTTGCAAAACCCTTTAAAAGTGTTGAATATTCCTTAATGAATAAATAGAATATCAGATACTTATTTAAGTTTTTTATTTCTACAGTTGACATTGGCAAATATTTACATACAGTATGGCACCAGTGAACTGTGCATATTACAAGTCAATACAGAATTAGCTAACATTTATAGGGTGACCCAGGGAATTACAACAGTGTCTTAGCAATATTACATCACACTGACACCCTGTATGAAATCTACTACATTGGAAGTGCATTGACTACATTTTACTTTTTCATGAGATTTTTCTCATATATAAGTAATTTTCTTTCAAGAGTGCAGTTTGACTAGATTTTTCACTCAGAGTTTGGCCATAAAAGACTCGTATAAAACTAGATTTTTATTACAACATTATTGGAGTCCATGTTTTGCACCTTTGCTACATTTTTTAATAATTGTATTAATTAATCAATTAATTAAATCAATTATTTAATTAATTAGTCAATCAATTGTTAAATTTAATTTAATCAACAATAACAACATTTAATAATGAAATTATAAAAATGAGCTAGTGTTTATAAACAGTGTTTATATTAAATAGAAGTAAGAAGTGTTTATAAATCATCTTCAGAGTCGAGTTCATCATTCTTCAGATCATATTTCTTCTCAATACCAACAATGCCACAATCGACAATTTTGACCTTCTTCTTGGGGACAGCGGTGTTGGGGTCAGCTGGGACTTCTCCAAGTGTACGAATCACATCCTGAAAGTACAAAATTAGAAAATAAGATTACGGCATTAGTAGTCCACAATTACAAGTAAAAAAAGACTGTGTAGTGTACCAAAATACAAACACCAACGTCACTAGTTCAGCCCGTAGCCAGGATTTGCAAAGGGGGTTCACTTTTGGCCCAAAAATGGCCAAAATCACTTAAAAAGTGCTCAGAATGGTGAGAAACTGCATGATTTTGAAAGAATTTTTGGCCAGGTGGGGGGGGGGCTCGCTCAAACCCATCGAACCCCCCCTGGCTACGGGCCTGCTAGTTGGTATTCACCATATTCATCAAAGAAAAACTATTAATATATGCACTGATATACATGTTCCCACTTATGGGTACCTAGTGTCGACTACCACCCATTATTTTAATGATCAGACAATTATAGTTATAGTAATAAAAAATATCAATAAATAAAAAATATGATGCATGTTCAATCCTCACAAAATAAGATATATCAAAGTGAGATAATGATACATTAGCAGTATAGACTCTTTTCTTGCCATTTCCAAATATGAATTAAGAAGCAAGAAGTCCAACTTTAGTACAGTAAAAATCATAGCTAGAATCTGTTCATTTTAGAAATTGTTGTCACACGGTGGGAATCGGTGTTTCTATAAGAAGATTTTGAAAGTACAGATTTATTGCAGTTCAAAAAATCTTCACAACAGATATTTTTGAAATTCAAATGCTAAAGTTGTTGAAATTATGTACATTAACGCCATATGTGAGAATTTATTGGAAATGTGCGCATGGATTTTGATCAGAATTATGATTAAACTAATAACTGCAAAAATCAATAAAAATCGTCTCACTAATGTTGAATCTATTCCACTAATTCTGTCTAAAATTTGAATTAAAGGCTTGATTTTTTCATCCCTGTATACTTTTAAGAGTTACCTACGCATGTTTATTGGTGTTTTTTGCATATCCCAGACTATCCATTTTTTAAATTTAGATTTATATCGACTGAATTAATGACTACTGACATTTTAAACTGGACACGGTGACTGTCATTCCACCGAGATATGTCAGCATGGGCACAACAGATTTTATCACACACATATGTTTCACACACATGTTTCAGGCACACACACTGGTCATTGTGTTCTGGTCCAGCAGGTGTACAACACACAACTGAGTTGATTTCCTTTTGATTAATTACAAAACAATTTATGATATAGGATACTTTTAATCTACATAAACCTGATCAAAATGTGAAAATCCATGAAATGTAATTAAACCAATTTATGAGAACAATACACGAGAACAATTAAGGACAAACAAGGAATGAGCTGAATTATATTGAAATAATTTTGAAATTTTTGAATTCTCCAAAGTAGCCTAGTACAACTAAATTATTTAAAAGTGTTTGAAAAATAATGTTGATATTTTAATTCAATATTAAACATTCGAACCCTGGAGACCAGAAGCTATAAGTACTAGTATTTTAATTCTGCCCTCTGCTCTGAGTGAAGACATGTAAAAACTCCATGAATGGAATTCTGGTTGGGTAGTTGGATATATTCTGAATGTGTTAGGTGGGATCAGTGGATCGTCTCTAATTTGCTGTGCAAAATAACCTCTTTTAACATCAAAAGTCTCTCACAAGCCGGAGCCAGCTGAGCTGTTGTTTTGATTAATTGTTTTGAAATGTATTTTAATTTGTACAGCGTAAGACTCTAATAAATACTTTACTTACAAACTTACTTTAAAATCAAAACCAGATTGAAAAGAGTAAAACCTACTTTATACTATAGTTTACAACTTACCATGCCACGGACAACCTTGCCGAAGACGACGTGTTTGCCATCCAACCAACGAGCCTTGTTGAGAAGAATGTAGAACTGTGAAGCGTTGGTGTCTTTGCCGTGATTGGCCATAGCCAACCATCCTGGTGCTCTGTGGCTCAAAACGAAATCCTCGTCATTGAATTTCTCTCCGAATATACTTCTACCTATAACAACAAATTGTCAAATTCGAATCTCCTCTGGATATTCATGAAAACTGACCCCCCCTGGCAAATAAAACTAAGGTGAAGTGACAAATCTAGAGATGCATGCTGACATCATGTGTATGGGTAAAGTGTTCTGAGAGGTGTAGTGGTGCTCCGTTTAACAAGTTTTACTGTATATCCCTTTAGTAAGTATGTTGCAAAAAATCCTCATAATCATCCCACAATTAATGAGCCATACCCCTCCCCCTCATTAGTGAGTTGCGATAGCATAGCTTAACACATTAACCTATTGTTTGAGTAGTGAACATGGAAATCCTGACTTAATATTTAATATGATATGATATGATATGATATAATATAATATAATGTAAAATAATATGGTATAATATAATATTTAAAAGTTGTAATAAACACTATATCTAGTTAAGTTATAGTTAAGTACTTAAAAGTTGTAATAAGTTGTAGTACTCTATCCTCAATGATCAAGGTTCCTCAGTTAGTAATTTGTTGTTTATTTATAACATCCTCCGATCACAGGGCTTCAAAATCCAGAATATCTTCTTTATTTTTTGGAAGAAGGAGGTACGGATTCTGGACACCTGCTTAGGAGGATGATTTATAATGCCCCATCACATATACATTTAATAAGTTGTAATAATATATTACTAGTATATATAGTTCTTTACCTCCTGTTCCATCTCCGACTGTGATATCTCCCATCTGGATCACAAAGTCAGGCACGATTCTGTGAATGTTGGTTCCCTTGTACCATAAAGTTTCCTGGGGGACAAAGAACACTGGTTAAATATCTATTTAGGTAGGACTTGTACAATCAATTATCTGACTAATGAAGTAGAGGGTTTTTACATGCATACGATCAAAAGTCCTCTAGGTCTGGGAGACGTATTTTTGTCATGCGTCAACAGCTTTTTTAGACAGCTAATTCTGCAGCTAACTAATACAACAATTTTTAAGTGTAAGCATTGTCATTCTGATACTTATCGCATCTTCTGTTTCATCCGAAACATCTCATTGCTGGGAAGAAATGAGATGTCATGGTTTATCATGATGAAGCTGTGGTCAAATAAAAAGGGGACAGCTTCTGGCGGTCTTTATCTGCTACAAGTGTCATCATTTACTGTGCTCCAGAAAAAACACATATTGATGAAACAAAATATTCATTCAAGAATTGCTTTTATGTTATAACGATAGGATTTTGTTTCATTTTAATATCGATGTGTTCTATTTAAGGTCCCCTTTGTACTATGTTTCAAAGAGGCCAACTATTCTCGATTTATTTGGAACACAATAATCAAACACAATTTATGAAATTCAAAAAATAAATAATTCCAATTTAAAAGAAATAATTCAACATATTAATCCATGCTAAATTCTAAAAATATTTTTTTTAGAATTATATATTTATTTATTGTAAAAGTTAATAATTTGTGTTAAGTATAGATTACAAGTATAACATATTATCTACCGATGTGTAACACGTTAGAAACGTGCACATTTATACAACGTGGCATCATATTTAAAGCACCACGTTCAATAAAAAATTAATTCAATAACATCTGTGGCTGTTACAACTAGCCTATAAAGCAACTGTTTGAATCCATGAAACGCATATAGTCTACACTATTTAATTAATCAGTGCACAGCTTTAGCAGAGTTTCACAATCGTAGATTATTGGAAAAATCACGGCAGTCTGGTTATAGTAAAAAAATATAATGCCATGTGGCATAGATAATCGATGATTAGCCACCCAAAAGGACTCGTCATTTATTGAACAATTTGAAACTTTATTAGAAGTTATTTATTTTGAGCAGGAATTAGATCTTAATATCACAACACGCTAACTATTTTGCTTTTATCCGGATTATGATTTTTGGGAGTTCGATTAATAAAAGCAATCCTTGAAATATTATAAATCAGAAGCTATGACCATACTTAACTGTTTTATAGTAGTAATGAACCTACATACTTTCTTTTGTTCGGTACTGCATAAATAGCCCATTGGCCACGTTTTCACTTATTTCCAAATAATTTTAAGCTTTTAAAAATTTTATAAAAACATATATTTTAGACAAGGGATTGCAAGACCTGTTTAAAAAAGTAAACTTATTTATCATTTGCTTTGCATCGCATTTCACACCCTTTCTCTCTCTAGTTCATTACGATCAAGTCTACAAATACTATTTATTGATTGGGAGTGCATTGTCAAAACTATTTTAAAACCGTTCGAATTCTTTATCCAATCAAAATCGACTATTCGAAAAAAGTACTTCAATATGAACTAGAAACAATTAGCATTGAAAAACCAATACTCAAAACATTAAAAACCATCCAAGAGACGTATTAAAAATAAACCAAATAGACGTTTGATGAAACAAAAAAGCCCATAAAAATTAAGATATATTTACGTTTCCTCTTTTGTAACATTGAAGCACCAATAATGCTCAAAACATTAAAAACCATTCAAGAGACAAATAGTAGACGTATAATCAAACAAAAAAGGCCCATCAAAATTAAGCTATATTTACCTTTCCTCTTTTGTATCCTTCGACGATTGATTTGAAGTTCAATGTTGTCATAGGGGCTGTATCACCGAACAGTGCAACGACGAATCGACCGTTGTAATCCTCCCCGGGGCCATCCATATCTTGTACTTCGACGTCAAAGTATGCCTCTTCCGTTACGGTGTATTTTCCGCAATAGGCGAGTCCCACTAGGGACAGGAGCGTTGCTACGTACATGGTTGCCATGGTAATGAATCTATGAGCGCTGAAAAGTAACCTAGTGACTTAAAACAACGCACCACATTTCACCTATCCTTGCAGATTATAAATTCTTAACTTACAATTGCAAATGAGATGCTAATAAAGTTGTTAAAATAACTATCAATAATGTCCTCAGATTTTATCTCACACTTCACTAATTTTAATATCTAAATCTTTAAAATGAAACATTAGAAGTTCCTTACCTTTAATGTTAAGTTGGAAAGTTGATCTGATGAATATGTGATGATGATTGTAAAAGGAAGACCCCAAGATGCGCCAAGAATAAATACATAAAACATTGCCACGATTTCAGATTTCTTCCTCCAATCAAATTCTTATCAGCTGATAAAAATCAAAAAGACAATTAAAAGAATATTGATTAAACTCGTGTTCGGCCACGAAGTGTAAAGTTGTAAGATTAACCCATTGATTTAAGAGGATGATTTTATAGCCATACTAAAATTCAATGTTCTGAATTACAATTGATTGAATAACTAAAGGGTTAATGTTTGAAATTTCGTATTATAGATTCGTGGCAAAGAATCTTTCTGGAAAAACATCATTTAGAGATAATGACATATTGATTGAATATGATTTTTTAATTACATAGAGAAATCAAGAACGTGGAATAATGATGCAAGTAATAGAAGTAAAACACGTGTGAAAACATACTAATCGATGCCAGAGTGCACGTTGATTTACATGTCAGAAGTAATGATGCAAGTAATGGGGAGGTTAAGTTACACGTTTTTTAGGAGAAACTGTACGTGAGCGTGTAATATTTCGACCCCGGGGATGACTCTCCCGCTTCCCAGGGACCTAATTACAATTATTTTCGTTATACGCTTATACTCAATCGACCATGTGAACACTACAAATGGAAGAACTAATCCACAGAGAACCATAATTTCCCCCATACCCTTATACTCAAATTGGCCAAGTGAACAATACAAAAATGGGAGAACTAATCCATAGAGGACCATAATTAAGCACTTGAAAATTTTAGATTAATAATTTTAAATGTGGTCAATTATATACCTATGTAGGTGTCACGACCACGAATATGTAAAAATGTTATAATGTTTTAATGAAATAAATAAATAATAAAAAAAGAAAAAAAAATTCCCCTGTACCCTTATACTCAAATTAGCCAAGTGAACAATACAAATGGGAGACTTATCCATAGAGGACCATAATTCTGCACGTTCACGTATAAGTTTAAAACGTGTAACTTAACCTCCCTATTAATCGAATCAAGCGCGTATACGTACATAAAATTTATTTTGGAATGCGTTCTCGTACAAAATGACTTCTTCCAAAGCTGTGTATTTTTAAGGAACTACGACGTTGCTCATGTAAAAAACAAAAGTTACATCACCAGAAATCGCAGAAACCAGAGATAAGTGAAACCATGGAGATTTTCAAATACTCTATTCCATGACATGCATGAGGATTCGAAATATTTTATTGGACATATCTCAGGTGATAAACCCTGACGACCTGAAGCTTGTATTAATTCTTTTAGATGTGATATCCAACTCTTGAAAGGGTAAAGAAAATATGTCAAATTATGAGAATGACCCGTGTATGTAGTGGCAACGGAAAATGGGCAATGGGGCAGCGGAGCAACATGGGGCAACATACACGACATTATATCGGACCTCGTGGGGCTTGGTTGGACAACTAGGGCACATGAGATATGCCCTTTTATGATTTGTAAATATTGGGTTTGAATAAATTAGATCATCACAATAACCATTTTGACATGATATTAGAATATCATATCCCTGCATTGCCTTCCTCAAAACTGAATTGATGTAGAAAAGGGATCAGTGTAACGTTTAACAGCCAAGATGGAAACTGCTATTGTAGTAAGGAGTAAGTAAGGAGTTCCAAAAAATCAAAATGACAATTTTGTTTCTCATCTGAAAAGTGTACCCTTTGCATTCGTTCGACTTTGCTTCTCAAAAGCGAGCTTCGTCTTCGTACTTTATAACTAGACTCTGAGCGCAGGGTAGAAAAAATGATTCGTCATCAATTACACTCATATCCGCCGACAAGAACGTGTGACCACCTACAAATGGTAAAGGACTTGAGTGGAGGGGGGGGGGCTAATTTGCTGGGGAAGGGAATGTGCAAGGGCACTAGTTATACAGTTGTCATGGTGATGAATGGACATTTCACATTGGATTTGATGACTTGCCAAATCGACCCTTGTTCTTTTAGTGATTTCGTTCCTTTTAGATGATTTTATAGAAAAAATAATTCGCAACGTGTGAAAAGAATTTAAGCCCAAGAATCAATGCATTGTAGCTGCTTTATTCCACTCAGGCATTGTTTCCTAAACTTTGCATTCCCGCTGCGTGGTCATGCAAAGGTTTGGAAACAACACCTTCATGGTATGATTCAGGAAACAATGCATTGAGTCTTGGGCTTAAATCCTTTACCCACCATCCATCCAACGAACTAAATACTTCATGTCGAAGAGCTTGAAGGTCATTTGTTGATATTATTATATACCTCAAATGTATTCTAGATGCTCATTGGCTTATTCATGGTCACATGACATGGAATAGATGAATTAATTCCCTGGAAATTCTCTAAATCCCTGCTTTCAGGGAAGATGAATTGTACTAATCACCAGTTAGGGCATGTGACCAGTCAATAGTACATTTTATCTCCCCCCAAATCTGAGATTATAGGAGTTGAAAGGTAAAATGCCTTTAAATGCCAATAAGAACCTGTGAACATTTGATATTGAAATGAAAATACTTCTCATTTTTTTTTGTTTACAGAGTACTTATCAGGTATATAATAAAACAAATAGTGACTGCCACATTTTCGGGAAATAGTGTAAAAATTTTCCTCTCGGGAATATCCTGTCCACTGACTTGTTCCTTCGGCCTGCAGCCTCGGGAACATGTCAGTGGACAGGATATTCCCTTGAGGAAAATATTTTCCACTATTTCCCTCAATGGCAGTCACTATTTGTACACTAAAGTCCCCATTTTAACCACAGTGAGCAGTAATCACCCCCTCCTCCCCCGACCTCCCATGTTCTATATTATTATTTATGGGAGAACTTTATCCGTGATTTTAACACATTTCCTAACCCCCCTATCACACCCAACTAGTTCTTACCCGTTCTTGCCAGTCCTACGAAAACGTCGTAAAACGGGCTCAATCTGGCTGTGGTCGGGAAATATGTCTAAAATAATTAGCTACTTCATTCATAAACAGTCTTCAATACGTCCAACTCATTCGCAGTTCGTTCAGGTCGCACCACGTCGGTGTGCAACGTCGTATAACATGTCCCTTTAGTTATAGTCTAGAAGGTCATAATGACCTGATTACAGAACGGTATGGTCGCCATCGATTCAAAATTCTAAAATCACCTTCCCGTCTGAGAACGTTCATGAAGTTAGTAAATAGTCCTTAGAAAGTTGCAGCTACGTTCATTCCGTTCGCACACAGTTTAAAACCAGTTTTGAAGAACGCAGTGGCAACTTTTTTGGTGTGATAGCTATATTTTTGCTAACTCGTTCATAAGCAGTCTTTAATACGTTCTTAATCAATTTAAACCCGTTTGCAATTAGTTCTACCTCGTTCTCAATACGTCCTCAGACAGTTCAATTCGTTGTTAAAACTCCCTAGTAGGATTGAAGTACGACGGTTCCGTTCGTAGTACGTCCAGCTCGTCGTTAGTAATGTCGTTAGTTGTCATTCGTTCTAATTGTAGAACGTGACGACCACGAGAGCATTTTGAGCATGTTCTAAGTTTTAGAGGACCTACCCGTTCAAGTACGTTCGATGAAGTTTGTAAATAGACCCCAAACGGTTCTAAGTACGTCCAGTCCGTTCGTACACAGTTGAAGCCCGTTTTCGAGAACGTAGTGAGAACTAGTTTGGTGTGATAATAGGGTTATGAAAAGTAACTTCAGGAAATATAACCATTTCTTCCTTATAGGAATAGAAAAACTAGTATTTTAAAGAAATCCCTTTTACAGTTCACGTTATTACAAGCAACTCACCTACTAATTCACTTGTATGACAGGCAACTCACCTACTAATTCACTTGTATGACAGGCAACTCACCTACTAATTCACTTGTATGATAAGACCCTCGCCCACTCACAGATATGATACTCCTTTCTGTCTCACCGAATCTTCATTTCCCATTTCGTCATCTTTTATAGGTGTTTGCTTGCTTTGAGGTATATCACATTCATATGATGATTGGAAGAGAAACCCCGGGAAATAATCGAGATTTTCTCCTCAAATCACCAAAAGTATGCATTTGCGCTTCGCTTCGCTCAAACATATTTGTATAAGATAGAATTATGCGCGTTCAAAGCAGGATCACGATTATCCGTAGAGCAATGTTATTGGCGTAATCTCTGTGTTCCATTCTGGATCTGAGTATTACATGCACTGTTTCAAATTCATAAACTATTAAAATCAAAAACTCCATTCAGATTTAACTAATAGCCTCGTATTTTTTCTAATTGTTGCTAAATTGAAAGTAGCATGCTTCGAAACACTTGTGCATTCTATTATATACCAGAAACTGACAAAGGGATGTTCATTGTACTATCTGATTTAAACTCTCATTACAAACATTTCGTAAAATATCACACGGGCGTGGTTTAACTAAAAAATATTCCAGAGAACAACGGAATTCGCGGACACAAAACAAAATACTTATAAACGCGTTGTCTAAATTGTATAAATATGTGAAACGTCGCTTTTTAACAAGGACAACAATGAAATGATCGTGAAGAGAATGAAAAGATTTGCGGGGGAATTTTGATTTAATTTATGGAAAGCATTGTTGTTAAATACACTTGTTGGCTCTGATAGATGATGCATGGAGATAAATATCTCCACTGAAACATGTTGCGGGGACTTGTCATTTTGCAATTTGCACTAATCTAGTCTCCCTAACCAATACACACATTTCACACAAATGAAATAGATACTGGGACTTTGAGGGGGGGGGGTTACAAAGCCTGACCTAAGGTTAATACTGCATATCTGCAACAACTTCCCGAGTTTTTTCATTCTTGCCGACTAATACATGTTCCCATTCAAGATTATTCGAGCGTGTATGTGTTCCTGAGACGTTCGAGCTACCGGGAATGACAACGTCAACGCCAAAGCTATAGTTATATTGACGTAATTTAAGAATGAATTCGGGAAGACAAAATGGTGTGATATTCTTTCAGAATTACTTATAAAAAATATTTACAAAATCCATTTTGTTGAGGGTTTGTTTTAAAGTCAGACTTTGAGACAATAGGGAGTTTAAGCTTGGACTGTTTTTTACAACCTAAACGCGAACGTAAGTTATTTAGGCGAAGCATTTGTATGGGCGATTGGTAATAACAGGTTGGCGTTTCGATTTAATAGATTTAATATGCAAGCTTAAACTCGCTTATACGAATACCTTTGTGTTCATGAGATTTTTGGGCATCCGGGAATGACAATGTTTGCCCAAAGTTTGCACGGCTATATATAGACATAATCTCTGATTGAAATCAGACAAGTAATTTTCGAAAATACGCTAAGTAGCTAATTACATTTTTTGTTTGGAAGTAGTAATTCTAAATAGTTTAGAAAATAGGATTATTACGTGGGCATGTTTGTTTGTTTGTTTTAACACCAATAACATTTTTGGCAGTTTTGACACTTGAGTAGTGTTACTTCGTGAATCGGGGGTGAAGTAATTGCGGCTCGGAGCTGTGGTCGAACGTACGGAGAGATACTGAGTCCCGAGCCCAAGGTATGGAAATTTCGATCATAGTCATACAATACACTCAAACCGCAGGTTCAACCGGTTGCCGGCCCCGAGTTGCTGGCCCTTGGGTGAGTTCTTTAGGGCATGTTCTTGCCCGGAGACAGATTGTGAGATTGATGGATATGTTGGGTACTCAACAGACTGGTGGACCCGCTGGTGGATATGTTGATTATTCCACAGGCCCATGGGCTATAGGAGACGCCGTGAGTCAAACAGTGCAGCGAGCCCCCACCAAGGGCAGTAATATGGAACGACACGAATCGGCCTCAGTAGGGTTGCATTTTTTGCAACCGAAGAGACTTGAGAAAAGCACACCATTCGGCGATCGCGATGACCCAGAAAGGCTTCTGCGTCTGAATATAAAGTTTCAATTCATGGAAAATAGAATGAATATGTAAATTGTCATACTAGCGCAACGAAGGCATCCGTTTTCATATTGATTGGTCTTAGAATCAAATACGATTTTACGGAATTATTCATATAAACCAGAGACATGTCTCTGTATAAACTTTGTAATTTATATAATGTATCTTTTCATTCTAATTTATCATAGGCCTTCTCTATTATTGTTTTTCTATATGTGTATTCCAAAAAATAGAAAAGGCTCAATGGTATCTTTTTCATAGACATATATTTTTGCGTTTATCATGTTTATGGGAAAACTATTCCCAGTTTTAAATAAACACATTCATACATCGTCGCTTTCCACTGGGTCTAGAGGTAGGAACAATCGAAACCTTGTGAATCAAGATGCATTCATAAGTATGTCTCTAGTCTAGTGAAATCAAACCGACCATACACGTTTAACATGCAAGACTTTTCAACTGGAAATCACCCGTGACCATCGTTCCATCGTTGTAATATGGGGCTCCCAAAGGGAAGGGGTGTCATGCCATTCGGAATTTTTCAGAATTTTCAATGTGACAAATTCGGACGTTTTGATACTCTCGGACGAACGAAGTCGACAAACGAACAAATTACGATAGAATTTTCTTCATTTACGTCGTGGATGTGCAACTAAATACGAACTCATATTCGAAATAAAATACCATATCGACTAGTCTAGCTAAAAGCCCTTGTGACCCTCTTCCTAAACACCTCCCCGTCTAGAAGAGGGGGAGGGCGTCACAGAGTCTAGGAGCTAGACTACAAATTGGCAAATCGCATAGACTGTTGCAAAAATTAAAAAGAGATGACAAAATGAGACAAACATGAGAAAGAGAATTATAAATACAGAAAAACATATTTTATCTTATTTACTAACTACCAAAGCAAAATACATGTAGGGTACATCCCCATCATAAAAAACAAAATCCGTTACATAAATAACAAAATCTTACAAAGTACCTCCATAGTCCTACAATGTTGACAAGTCCATTATCATGCGACATATTTTGAATTTTAAAATCGAGAAATGAAACCGCACTGTCCCCTTTTGGGTCCCCATATAATATGTATGTTCCACTGCCCGCCACTGCCATGTGTATTCGATTTTATCTTTAGAAATTCTTCGCAGTGCGTGTCATGCACACAACGCATTCAGTTCAGATCGTATAAACGGCTAAAGTTGATGGAAAATAGAACCTGATACTGGTAAGTGAATCTTATTTCTATTTCATGTGTCAATATTGATGATGTTATGACGAAGGAATTCTTAAGACTGGAACTGAAGCATATTTATCACCCCTCTAATCTATAGGATGAAGAAAAAGACCGTTTCCCCATACTTGAATGGACTCAATTACCTATATGAAATAAAAGTAACATTATATCTATATCTGTACAATGTACATATTAAAGTAATTTTTATGATCACGAGGTTAATACATGTATATTTATAAGGGGTAGGATGAAAAAAAGATTTCTTCTTCACTTCCAAACTATAAGCAAACCAAAATAGACGAAAATTAGACCATGTAGACTATTTTATTTATTTCCGTATACATTTTAACACAGCCAAATACGTATCAAATTAAGTTGAACGTGCCCGGGTAAGGTACAACACGAGGGTGATGAAATTTGAGCATGATGATTTTATACCCAGGTTGATTCTATACCTGTCTAGCTATACCTGTCTATACCTGTCTAGCTACAAGCCCTTGTAATCCCCCACTGCTCATCCCACTTGAACAACTGTCACGGATCACGGGGCCATGGCCTTCAATGTGAAGACATAGAAAAGGAAAATTTAGTACAGTTGGGATTGGGAACAAAAATAAATGACAGGTCGATATTTCGATCACCATTTCCTAATCATGGTCGTCTGAATGCCCATGATTTCCAATATTGTCTAGATCTATACATATCGCTTAAAATTTGTATATTTTACATTTTGTATAATCTCATCCACTGATGTATGGCCTCTTGAAAATTCTCTTATTTTTAACATGGGAAATCCTCACTTCAGCAAATCCACCTGTCATTTATTTATGTTCCAAACTGTAGGCCTAATGGCAAAATTCGTGTGAAAGGTCTTGGACAAAAGATTTCCTACATCTAAATATTATATAAAACAGTAAAAAATAAATCAGGGCAATGGGAGCTTATATTGACTTGTTGATTTTGATTATCACTCTAGACTACCTCCATTTAGATTTTATCACTTGACCCGGGAAATTTCAAAATACACTGAGCGAAAATTGCTGTGATCGTTTAGTCGCGTGCGCATGTCACTATAGCAGTTATTATACTTCCGGTAAGCACTTTTCTGAATTTTTTCAATTTTTCTGATAAATTACGAACCTTTGCATGCATAGATGCCAGTCAGATCGCTTTTTAGTTGAGTGGTATCAAAAGCTCAATGAATATTCCTCAAGATAAGAACAAATTGCTTGGAGATTGACAAATACAGACCTAAAGTCCATTTCAATTCAATGTTTTATTTTCTTTTCAGTTTTTGTGTTGTTGCCATTCATTGAATTAATTGATTGATTAATTCAATTTCAGTTTTTCTCTGAAATAAACCTTAAAAATTAACGAATCAAAATACCACAGTGCTTGTAATTTATGAAAAAATATGTTCATCTAACACAAATGACATTTTTATCTCAGTTTATTGCTAGTGGTTGGCTAATGAAATCTGTGACCACATGTTTATTGCATATGAAATCTGAAATAGATCCAAACAAATATCATTTGTGTCAATATGAATGTATATGTCCATATATCACAGCATATTGACGAAAATGAAACATTGATATGGACTATATCACATACTGATAAACAGTAGATACATGGTGAATAGGCTCTATCATAATTTTCTTATTCTGAGCATCAAAGTTGTTTACTGAAAAAGAGTTCAGATTGATGATCATCATTTTTTATTCAGCAGTAATATTACATACATTTGTATAATAATTTGTTTCGAAATTCACACTATACCTAACATGTAATATATATAAATATATATGGCCTCATCTTTCATATTTGCCACTCGGATTGGCATAGACAGGCTTCACAAAGTTCATTTTTTACTTTTTTTTAATTTGTTGTGTTCATGTATTTATCGTACCAGAAGTGCACTGGACAAAAATAGCATATACTAATAAAATTACCAGGAACAATGTCGGAACAAGAACTTTTGATGCTAATGCCCCCTCCCTCCCTAACCGTGCAAATACAGTTAATTTTCTGATATCGATCTCTTTTGAAATGCTTCCTTAGTCTTAAGTTTAAATCAACAGTCTGCCACAATTAAAAACTGGTAACATTCCAGGCCCTTGGCCAGGATTTGCCATTTTTTGAAAAATTCTAGGGGGGTCCTATTTTTACACCTAAGGCCCAAAAGTGGCTAAAATCTTTTGAAAAGTGCTCAGAATGGTGAGAAACTGCATGATTTTTAAGAGTTTTTTTTTGGGTGGGGGAATTGTGGGTTTCTAGTTGAAAGCCCATGGTTCGATTGAAGCCCCCCTGGCTACGGGCCTGCATTCTAAGTATGACTGTAAAATGGAGAAAATTGTATTCAATTTTGAACAAAATACTCAATCGGCCAGGCGCCGTCGTGAAAATCGGAGCAAATGTGACCAAGGCATAACAATGAATTACAACCAATATAGGTTGCAATCTGAACTCAAATTCTGTAGACTTACTCTATGGAATCTTATTTGTCTAAAATGAAGAGTGAGAATTAAACAAATTCAAAAGTGGAAGGAAAATTTTTGAAAGGGCATGTAAAATATACACTGTACAATGTACATGTATTAATTAATTAAATTGGCTTAGACCATTGATAAAATGTTGTATAACTAATTTTCTCCCCAAATGTTTTAAAATCAACCTGCAATCAGGCAATAGTTAATCCTAGATTATCCTAGGTGTTTTAATCTAGCTGATTAGCAATTCCATGTTACCTGCCAGGTGTATGTACACTTCACAGTGCATAGCATAGAATGTTAGAAAATGTTTATCTCAACAGAGTACTTTTATTTATTGGTCAATTCAAAAAGGATGTAGTCAAAGGAAATTATTAATTTATGAATTGAATAATAATTCAATTTTTTTTTTTGAATTTCAGGATTAGTTTTGAGACTCTCAATACAGATTGGTAAAGAAAGTGAAAAGTGACAATGGAAACCAAGAACAAAAAAAGTATTACTCAGAGTCTAAACTGAAGTGTAATTTTGTTTGTTAAATAATTCTTCAAATATGGAATTAAGCAATTTAGCAAGTGTGGAACAAACTCAGAATGCTGCATCAACCAATGATATCACACAAAAGACAAATGGTAGTTCGCCTGGATCTTCCGCACGTCCTCTTACAGCCAGCAGCGGTCAGCAAAGTGGATCTGTTACCCCAAGCAATGTTTTGGTCAATCCATTAGCCAAAAATAACCAAAAGAAACTCATGCCGATACGCGGTAGTCCAGGTGGCAATACATCTCTCGAAAGAGTTACAAGGTCATCTGATATCTTGGACCAGGAATCAACACTTGCAATACTAGAGGGTGATAATGTAGATAGTACATCCCACGAAATGTTGATAATACCTGAAAAAGTGCAGGAATTTGGAGCACTTAGGTCAAGCACAATTGATGATTATACCGAAACAAGACATTTACTTCAAGGAGGGAGAAATAGGGTTCGTAAACGGAGGAACATCTCAAATCGTCCCACTGGTCAAGTTTTAGCGGGATCTACGACTGCTAGAAGTACGGAGAGTCCACAAGTAACCCGCAGGTCCTCACGCAATAACTCAAGGTCAAACTCCCTGACTGGCTTGAGCAATGGTAATTTAAACAGTGCTAGATATACAAACGGAGATGTGGAAAAAGGACAGGTAGGTTATTATTATACAGGTATCCACAGTTTACATATTTGTTTTTATATAAGGTGACCCAATTCATGAATAGATACAATCATTGTCAAAGTTATTCAAAAATAAAATGTTACATTTTTTAGGTCACCTTATATAAATGCATTTGAAAATAATAATATTTGATACCTGTATTTTAAATTGTAGAGAATTCATGTTTATTGAAAATATAGTAAAGACGTGTCGCAAAAAGGTGGCGCATTTGTTTTTTAAGGGTATCGCGTGAATGTAACTTTGATTCCCCGGATTATCAGATAATATTCTAATTAAAGTTATATATCATTTTAAAGCTGTTTCGATGAAGAATTTAGATCAATTACACTTCGTTCACATTTTTTGCGCGTTCGTTTATAAAAAAGAGTTTTTTACCAAAACATCTGGCAAATATCCCATGTTGACACGTTACATTTTGAATTATTTTTTTGCTTTAAACGCTCATAACTCAAACAATATATGACTATTATACTTATTTTTCGTCTTGATAAAGGTAGATGGAAGTTTTATTTCAAAGGATGAATTTTAGTAAGCGTCCCATATTGTGACGTCATAGAGTCTGAAAAATAGAATCTGTTGACAGCGACCTTTTTTGCTCATTTTTTGGTACCTTCAACTTTTCAGGTGTACATTAAACAAAAAATACGAGATCAATTTTTAATAAATCATACATGATTATTTTGCTCCTAAACTCTAGTTTATTAATAAATAGTTGATTTTGTTCACAAAAGTATGTGTTTTCTGTTGTATGTGGAAAAGTGGAGGACGAAAGGTTTTCAAAATTCATTAAAATAGGGCTAATTTACGCCATTCGCCTATTTTCAAGCACAGCAACACGTATATTTATTTCCCCTAAAATATCAATTGATTCGTGTTTTATGATGCTCCTAGCCCATTAACAATATATATGATATCAGAGTTATTTGTCTAAAATGTTTAGAGATATAGAGGTAAATGTGGAGGACGAAAGGATTTTCATGTGTGTACATTTTTCTCAAAAACGTCACATTCTATCATGTTAAAAGCGAGGATCCTCTGGATTACGCCACAAAATGTGTAACAATGCGTGCGCGAGCTTTTTGCGACACGTCAAATGTATCCCTATGTTTTTGGACTATATCAATGTTATGTAATATACAGTGTATACAGTAAGTACAAATATTCTATACATACATAATTGTATATTCTACGTATTTCTATTTTAGATACCAAAATCAAGAACTGAAGATGTGAAACTAAGTCAGGCAGAATACATAAAGCAACATTTTCCCTTGAAAAAATGTACACGTTTTGTGAAGAAGTAGGTTTTAATTTTTATTCTACTATTTACTGTACAGGTCCACTGTAATATTTCTTGTTTCAGTTTAATACAGTGACCAGTGGTTATGGTTTTAATTAATACATTTTCATTTGATATCTAATTTGAAAAACAGTTAATTCCTATTATCTATTTATATTTGTCATAAATTTTTTCTAGTAAACTAATGATTGAAAACTGGACACAATTTTTAGTTGTTGCTTAACGGGAGTTAAAATCTTCTGCGCCGTATCACTTCTTACTAGAAACTCTTAAGCCCATTAAGCCCATTAAGCTGGAAAAGACTTGCATAAGCATATGACAGAATTTATCTCCTTATGGTAATAAATGTCATATAGTTTAGGTGGGGTAGAAATACTCATATTAATAAGATTATCATGTGTATTGCTTTATTAAACAGTAGCTCGAATCATGCATTAATGTAATGGTATATGAGATATCAAAACTTATAAAATGCCCACCCCCAACCAATGTTAATTAACTAAATGCATATTAAATTCGATAAAAACAATCATATATAAATAACAACATGACGTAAATAACAAATTGTATATTTTAGGAAAAATGAAGATGATGTTACTATATGTGAATGTGGCTATACCAAAGAACAACATGAATCTGATCCAGATTATAAACTCAACAAAATGTTACATGGCAGTCGACATGCTTTGGATGAAGTGGATGGTGGAGATGCTAGTGCAGAAGTAGAAAACATTCCATGGGAATTTGAGTAAGTTGTAAAAGATGCACTGTCTCTTTAGGTTTCTAACCAGGACAATCAGTGATGTCCAATTATAATTGATTAAAAAATACACGACATGACTGAGATATATCTTTACACCAATATTGCCGATGTATTGAGAACATCAACAGAACACTTAAATGTCAAAATTGAAGACAATTTGAGTTTTCCTCCATCGAAGGAAATTCCTGTCATGTGACATGAGTTTGTCAAAATAACAAAATGATTAGTTTTTGGGCATTATGGGTGAATGTCATGGTGACCATTTTGGATTTCCCTTCCCAAAATCTTGTCTGTAAAGTCTTGTCTGCGTTTCCAGGTGAACCGTTTGATAGATTTTCTTGTATATTCTAGGAAAGACATCAAAAGCTTCCATTGCAATGCCTGTTATGGATCTATAAAGTTTGTTGGAGGACACAAAAATATGAGCAAGGTAAACATCAATGCTTATTAACTTACATCAAATCTTATTATCTTACATCAAAGCTTATTCTTAAAACATCAATGCTTATTAAGTTATACAATTATTAACATACATAACAGATATATAAACATACATAAACAGATGTTAACAGTACATGTACTCACATTTTTAGAGTATATGCTACATTACTTTATAAGCTTTTATTTTGGCTGAGATATGGTTACATGTACATGTATTTTCATATTCAAGCAATTGCCTTGGTATATGGTGTTCCATATTATGATTATATTTGATAAACAAAATATAGAATTCTACCAAAACCTATCCACTGAATTTCAGAGGTTTTGGTAAAATTTTCTAGAATTTTCTTAGAGTACACATAGTGTTCAGTCTAACAAACAGTGTTTCACCTTAATATAAAGATCTTAAGAAATACACCTGTCCAAGTTGAGTTATTTCAAAATTCAATACTAAAAATGCTTTTCATATAATGAACGCCTACTTTATCCTCTTTAAGATGTAGTTTACATTACATTTTTTTCTTGAACACATGTTCTATTTCTTAAGGCTAAGAACAATCACAAAATGTTGTTTTAAGCTCACACAGTGAGCCATAGAGCCCCTAGTAGGATCAGGTCCATCCGTCCATCAACCTTTGTGGTGCAAACTAAAACCTTCCTTGTATTAAGTCATATGCTCATTTATTTCAAGTTTGTTTATGGTAACTACATACCAGAGATTTCCATTTCCCAAGTTCTCTTCTGTTTTAATGTCACCACCAGAAGTGGTGACATTGGTGGTGACATATTGTTATAGTCTTCCATTTATTGTAGACAGTGTCTGGCATCTGTAACAAATGGCAGATGGTGACATTTGTATGTTAATGCCTTGTTAAAAATTGCAATTTTATAAAAAGTGTACTTTGTGATCATAGGTGCAGTTTCAGAAACATAACAAGTCAACATTATATGATCACATTTGCCAAAATCGTTCATCTTATTTTTGTTTCAAAGTTCAGATTTTGATCCCAATTAATTGAGTTATTTTACTGCACAGATATTCCTACAGGATGTGTATTTACATTCAATGCATGAAAACTATTATATTATACTGTGCAACTTTCATAAAAATCTCTCTTTGCATTTCTTTTTCCGATAGACAAGGTCTTACTTAGAATTATTTGAAATAGAACTGATTTTTTACATCAGTTGCTTTTGGTGAAGATTTCCATTTTCATAATTTTCAGTTTATTTACATTAGATAACACCCTTCCTGGTTCTGTTTCTTTTTCTCTAATTCCAACTCCAAGTTCCATACCCTATCCTTTAGTTTTTCTTTGTCAGACTTCAGTTTCTTGATCTTTTCAGACTTTTTTCTTAACTTTTCTTTAAGTTGTTTCACTCCGAATATCATGGATAAACATGTAAATATTCCACCTGCAAGTAGTTCCAACAGATTCTTGCTCATTAGTGTTTCAACAATTTTCCATATGTTAGTCTCTGGTTTCTTTTCTTCTCTGAAAATACAAATAGAATCATGATATACAAATACGTGAAATATGTGATAATACAAATAGTTTCATGATATCTCGCGTTTTTATAGTGACATATTGTTACAGTCTCCAACTTTTTGTTGAAGGTGTCAAGCATTTGTCAGTTGGTGTCAAGCATTTAGCAGTTGCCATTCAGCATCTGTAACAAATTGCAGGAGGTGACATTATGCATGTTAATGCCTTGTCCTTTAATATTGTAAAAATGACTTTAAACTTCTGAGTAATCTATTAAAATGTGATTTCAAAGGTTAAGATTAACCTAATAAAACTTCTGTGAGATCAGACTAAAACATGTAAGAATCATAAAATATCTCTCAAAAATGTCATATTTTGTTTGAACTGAAATATTCTTGCCAATTTTGAAGTATCTACTATTTTGATTGATTTTGCATACAACTGGTTAACGCTCTACAAATGATCACATGAAAGAAAACTTCCCACCGGTATCCAAGATATGGCCAGGATAGATTGATAGGCTGATCTAATGGGGGGGGGGGGGGCAACAATAGAAGGATCACAATCTTTTTACCTTTTACTTTATCTATCTTTAAAAAGCAAATAAGCTCTTAACTTTGTTCATCAACAGATAAATATGTCGCCATTCTTAATGAAAACATTGTACCTTTCTAAACCGCAATCAGTCACCAGGAGTAATACATGAAGGATACATAACTTCAGGTAGAGGTTGGATCCCATGTTCATAACATTGGTTTTTACATCATCCTTTATCCCGTGGAGCAGTATTTACTGTAGCAAAGTTCATGTTATAGTACCCCAGATAGCTACTTGAGAATAATGTTATATCTTTCCCTAGATACAAATTCAATTTTTGATAATAGTATAAAATAGAACTAAAAATAGGAAAAGTGAAGAGACTTTTAATGATAGAATTTCTCTTAACTTCACATTAAGTTATCGATTGTTATATTTTAGAAAATGAGGCTATTTAGAGATAATACATCATTCCCAAGTTGCTGTCTAGGGTACTAACTGTACATGCATCACTTCGTAGAAGTGAGCTGTACTCTAGGCACTGAGTTATATGTTTTTTATAGCATTTTACCTTGCAGTCAAAGTTATTTTGTTTATAAAAGATAACTCTTCTATTACTATGAGTGATATAACTAATATATTTCTCATTAATGATTAATATAATGGACCAGTTTGTACATGGAGCACCTCCCAAGTGGAACACTACTCTGTATTTTTAGTGCCAAATGTATTCCACTTGATTACCAAGGTTCTACTTTACACCATAAGTAAATTCTCTTCTTTTTATCTAATGCTGTACTTCTTGAACTTTGGAAGTAAACACACTAAGTTGTGCAGAATATGAAGTTATGATTGAGTATGTATGTGTAAGGTGTCATGTAAACATGTACTTTAAGATGCAAAAAGACTTAGCGAAATGTTCAGAATAATTTTCTATATGATTTTTTGCTCATTACACTCAATTTCTTATTGTGCCTATTATCTAAAATATATGGTGTTTGGCCAATTCCTATAGAGCAATATGGTGTTTGGCCAATTCTCATAGGGCAGTTTGGCTATTCCCATAGGGTAATAAGGTGTTTGGCCAATTCCTAAAGGGCAATATGGTGTTTGGCCAATTCCCATAGGGCAGTTTGGCCAATTCCCATAGGGTAATATGGTGTTTGGCCAATTCCCATAGGGCAATATGGTGTTTGGCCAATTTTCATAGGGCAATATGGGGTTTGGCCAATTCCTATAGAGCAATATGGTGTTTGGCCAATTCTCATAGGGCAGTTTGGCTAATTCCCATAGGGTAATATGGTGTTTGGCCAATTCCCATAGGGCAATATGGTGTTTGGCCAATTTTCATAGGGCAATATGGGGTTTGGCCAATTCCTATAGGGCAATATGGTGTTTGGCCAATTCCCATAGGGCAATATGGTGTTTGGCCAATTCCCATAGGGCAATATGGTGTTTGGTCAATTTCCATAGGGCAATACGGTGTTTGGCCAATTCCCATAGGGCAACATGTAGATATTTGATGGCATACTATAACATGCTCAATGTCTATATCAATGCATTTTATTTGATCAACAACTTACAGTACTGTTCACAATTAAATTTCACTCTCTCTTATTTCAGTATTGTCGTATTCCCTGGGATGTCGCCCACCCAAAGCTTGTTGTAGACTACTTAGTGGAGTATGAAAATGTGGCGCCACCTAACCTCATAATTTCGATTGTTGGAGGGGCAAAAAACTTCAAGCTAGACAAATGGAGTGGACGTTGGAAACGAATTATAAATGAAGGCATCATTAAGGTGGGTGACTTGTTAAAAATTATTAAATGAAGGCATCATTAAGGTGGGTAACTAGTTAAAAACAAAACTGAATTTATAAATGAAGGATTCATTAAGGTGGGTAACTAGTTAAAAGAACGAAACTGAATTTATAATGAAGGATTCATTAAGGTGGGTGATGAGTTAAAAAGTATTAAATGAAGGCATATTATTAAGGTGGGTAACTAGTTGAAAAGTGAAACTGAATTAATGTTTTCTGCCAAGCTGTAAAAAGTTAAAACTTTTTAAGATAACAAAATTTAAAAAATCTAGCTAAATTTATTATTGATTACATGTTAAAGGAAAGGAAAGGCTACTCAATTTGCACAGTGTATCATTTCGACAAAGTCTATAAATTGTTAAACTTGATCTTGTCCCTTCAGAGTCCTTTCTTGCAAAATTGTTAATTTTGTTTTTATTTTGTTATAGGTTGGCAAGCAAGCTGGTGCATGGTTGATCACTGGGGGATCAAATGTTGGTGTTATGCGTGCTGTTGGGGAGGCAGTTGAGGCAGCCCAGACTAAACAATGGGTCGACAACAAACGTCTTAAAGATGTAAGATTTCACAACTAAGGAGAGATATTGCTAAAGTCACAGTTTCTATGTCACCCAACATGAGAGGGGGTTGACTTAAATATTGTCACAGGGGTTTCACTAGAATTTATCACAACAGGCTAAATAAATGAAAACAGGCGAAATTAATGGAAATCATAATTTTAACATGGAAAAGTTGAAGTCCCTAAAAACTGTGAAAACAACTGGTGAAAACTGCCTGTTGCCTGCTGCTTGTGAAACCCCTGTGTTATATATTTTACCTGGAACCACCAGACCCTTAGCAAAATATATATTTTCCTCAGGATATATCCCATATCCAAAACCTCCCATAACATATTCCTCATATATGTACTTTGGTATATGATTTCTGGGATGATACATTTGTGAAAAATGACAATTTCCATATTAATATTTCTAGGTGCACTGTATCGGGATCGCTAGCTGGGGATACACCGCAAACAATGACCAACTGTTCCTAAATGAAAAAGACAACAAGGGAAAGGTTTGTTAAATTAAAAAAAAATTTAAAACACAAAAATAATTTGTTTATAAATACGGTCTATGCCAAAAAATGTTGGGAAACAGGGAATATCAAAAAAAAGAATATTGATAATGCAAAAATTGTTCTATAGGTTAAATGTGGTGTGGTCCAGTACGAAAGCAGCCACATGATTCCAGGAAAAGGCAAACCCGTGCATCTCAACCCAAACCATACTCATTTCCTATTGGTTGATGATGGTAGCCAGGGTTACGGAGGGGGCAAGGAAGAGGGGGAATACAAGTTTCGTGCGAAGTTTGAAGAGTATATCTCAGCTACACATAGTCAAGAGTACATAGGTAAAACAGAAAAATTACTGATTCAATGGATAATAGGACTTAGGAATTCTTAACTTTGTGAAGCTTTTGTTCAAAGCCACCTGGTTCACAGTAAGGGGTCTGAAAGATAGTCACAGAAATATCCAAGATAAATTTTTTGAAAATATTCATTTTATGAATTCCTCAAGATTGTTATTATGCAATAACGTAAAGATAATTTAAATCAAGGAAAGTAATTTTCAATTCTACAATACTACATAGTATGAGACACCATTACTGAGAATGCATGCCTGATATTGTTTATTCATAGATTATGAGACACCTGCTGTCATGTTAGTAGTTGGGGCTCAGGGAATGGGCTCTATAGAGCAAGCTGTTGGGGCTCTTGAGATGGGAATACCAGTCGTCATTTGTATAAACACAGGCGCTGCCACCAACCTTGTAGAAGCCGCAGTCAAAATGAGCAATAACCCTAAACTGTAAGTTCTAGTACTGTAAAAACATTTAGCTTTTGTTCAATATACAGTACTGTAAAAGCCCAAATTTTCGTTGTCAAAAAATATACAGTACTGTAAAAGCCCAAATTTTCATTGTCAAAATTTCAGTATTTTGTCAATCTGAAATGTTTCATGGCCATCAAATTTCAATGTTTGAAGAAATATCTAAATGCATTCAATGTTAAATTAAATATTCACAGTGTCTTTACTTTAATTTCACTGTCTAGCCTTTTCAGCGAAAAGAGTTAAAATTTGGGCTTTTACAGTATTTCTGCACATCTCATTACGCCTCATATTATACCACAATTTTTCTATGATACATACCAATTGTTGATGATATCTTTTTATCCAGGTCATATGAGGTTGACATTGCGCCTCACATAATTCCCCATTATATATTTCAGGTCATATGAGGTTGATATTGCGCCTCACATAATTCCTCATTATATATTTCAGGTCATATGAGGTTGACATTGTGCCTCACATAATTCCTCATTATATATTTCAGGTCATATGAGGTTGACATTGCGCCTCACATAATTCCCCATTATATATTTCAGGTCATATGAGGTTGAATTGCGCCTCACATACTTCCTCATTATATATTTCAGGTCATATGAGGTTGACATTGCGCCTCACATAATTCCTCATTATATATTTCAGGTCATATGAGGTGGACATTGCGCCTCACATGGAGGAAGAACTAAAGAAGGCCTACAAATACAAGATGTCTAACATTGAGCAAACCATTAGATGCCATATGGGCTTCATCAAAAGTGTCATAGAACACAAGAAAATAGTAAGTCATTGATGTACATTGTCTTTTCAAATGTCACCATATATACATATATACTTGAGCATACTGATCAAATAGTCTACAATTTCAAAGTACCATGTACCATGTATGTACCATAGTTTCATAGCACCATGGATCTTTACCTCTGAATGTAGACCCCTTGTCTTTCTGATTCTGTATAATCATGCAAAATGTATCTTTTGATGATCAAGATCATATTTAATTTGCCAAAATCCGCGTTGCTGCTACTGCTGAAATTTTTATATCTTTATATTAGATATATATGTTTTGTAAATAGGTTTTGAGTAGTTACTTTTTGCATGCAGCCTTGTAGGTAAATATTTTATATTCTTCATATTCAATCAATTAACTTATTTACCTTATTTCAGGTGTCGTTCTTTGATTTCCAACAGAGTGATGAGCTGGACAAAGCCATCTATACAGCATTGTTTGATGGTAAGAGCTTCATATTGCATAATTGAACAATGAAAGGAAATTTTTCCTCGAACAGCCGCTAACTTTTATCAGACAAACCTTGCATTTTTTCAATAACCCTTTGATCTTTGATCTTTTTGCCAATTTTATTTTACTTTATATTTGTTGGTTTTATATTTTATGATTGTTCTTTCTCATGAAAATACACAATTGTTTTTCATTCTTTCAGTATCACATTGTGAACATTGATCCTTTCATCATCCTCTAACATCTCTATTCAGGGAGTTAAATAAAGAACTGAATGCTTCAACTTAATCCTATTATTACCTTCAATTTCATCATTTATTCCTGCAGTAGCTTTCTAAGTCATCTGAGGCACCAATTATATGATACTGTAAAAGTAACTGGACATTTTCTTCATACTTCAGCTGACCTTGATGACACATCCATTGAGAAATCTGTAATCCAGGAGCGAAAACTGAACTTTGCGTACGACTGGAACAGATTGGATATAGCTGAGAAAATAATTGTCAATGGTGATCTGAAGTTGAAAGCACTCCATGAACTGATGAGTGATGCCCTTATAGAGAATAAGCCTGAATTTGTTGAGAAGTTGTTCCAGCATGACTTCAACCTTGGAGATTATCTCAGTGTTAAAACACTGGAGGAGCTTTATAATGAGGTATGTTATTGTGGAGAAAAGTTAAGAACAATACAGTTCCGCAGTGGACTACAATTGATTTTTATAACATAAAGAAATATTACAAATGTTGATCACAGATACAGCGTATATTTTTCAAATTGCAAAGTAAATGTATTGTCCGGACCAAAAATGGTTACCCTTGAAAATTTTAAACATTTACATTGTATATGGTGCATTCTAGGCATTTCAAACTATTTTGATAGCAATTTGTTTTTACAAAACTGCTTCTTTTCTTTTTTGTGAGGGTGGGGTAGCACCCATCGCATCCCCCCTTGACTACGCACATGTGTACGTATGTTTGGTTAATAAGAGATGCTCATTTGTTTTTAAAGGAGACACCAATAAGCTATCTCTTCAAGGCACTGATTAAGATCAAAGGAGAACCTGCCAATAGTTTTCTGGGAATCTATACTAAACAGAAGATTGGCGATGAAGAAGTGTGGTTCACGATGCAAGATGTTAAGAAGCTGGTTGAAATGATGACTGGTTATCCATATGAGTACAATCGAGAAAGGAAACCAGAGGATGTTGAAGATAAATTGGATCATCCTTATATGGACTTGTTCATATGGGCAGTTCTCTCTGCAAGGTTTGTATATTGGTTTGTCCAGAGAACAGCGCAAATACAAGTTTTATTTTTGCCGTGCACTGACTTGTTGTATTCTTGCTGAGCCCAAATAAAACTAGGTTCGTCTAGTGCACACCCCAAATACTACTTGGTTTGTCTTTTGCACAGCTTAAATGCATTTTGGTTAGTCTTAGTGCACATCCCAAATACAACTTTGTTTGTCTATGGTCCACAGTCAAATACAACTTGGTAAAGTCAGTGTATATTTTTCTTTTTTGGTGCTCGCATTGATGCAAATCCCAAAAATCACATCCCTTTGACAATTGCACACTGGCTACGCCTCTGTTGGCTACACCTCTGTTGATGGAATTAATCTATAAAAAGAACAGTAACTTCTCTCATAATAAAGGTCCCTAAGCCCACCCAGAACAGAATATAGATGGTGCTACAGTGATTTTCTACATGTTTGTTGATTTTAGGCAGAAAATGGCGCTACAAATCTGGGAGTACACTCCTAATGCTATTTCAAATGCTATGTTGGCTTGCCATTTGTACCGTTACTTCCGTGATAATATACCTTTAGAGGATACATTGAGCAAAGAGATTTACTCCAAATATGCTGAGTAAGTACATGTATAAGGATTATTTAAAATTCTTAATCCAAGGTATCCAGTATAATCAGTATATACCTTTTTCAGCATGTAGTAATAATGCTCGGTAAATTCATGGGCTTTCAACTAGAAGGGTAGGCAACTTCCCATATTTCATACATAAGCATTGCCTTTTGGGTTTTCAAAATTGGAGAATGTACACATTCCAAGAAAATCTTATTTTGTCCTTTTATGGATGATTTAAAGAAATAACTTAAAAATAAAATCATGATTATCTCCATACATGTTGATAATTTAATAAAAAATGGAATTCATCATAATTATGACAATACAGAAAGTGAACATTCTCCCACAAATTATATTTTTATTGGAAGGTGTTCTTGAATAATGCAATACTCGAAGAGATTATCTTGATACCTCTTATTCTTATTGGCCTTTTTGTTTACTTTTACATGAGATTGAATATATTTTATGCTCTAATCATATTGAAAATTGATTTTTATTTAACATAATACTAAAACATGTACATTTATCTAATACTTTTTGAAATATTACTATAAAAGGAGAGCATGACATTGCTCATTTTGAAGGTCTCATGTTATTACACAGAGTTGCATACCCTTCTAATTGAAAGCCCATGGTAAATTAAAAGGTGGCCTTTTTTGGTACGTTTTGACTCGTAGGCAAAAGGTCAACAGGGGGGGGGGGGGGGTTGTCAAAGAATTTGAAGTAAGATGTCAATAAACTCTTTAACCTAGTACCCCTGTTTTGATCAGCACCAAAACTAGGTTATTTGAAGCAAAATCTAACTTAATGATGTGTTTTACGCTTAAATTATTACACAAATAGTATGTATTTCAGTTTCGTCATACCATTTATTTCAGAGAGTTTGAAGAAAGGGCCAGTGCTCTGTTGACACAATGTTACAAGACAGACCCAAATTATGCCCAGGCCATAGTTGAAGAGAGACACTTTAGATGGGGCAAATTGAATACACTCAACATGGCTGCTGCCAGTGACTCAAAGGTATGTTTTCCTTTTTTATCACTATCAAGAAATGATGACACACATGTATTGTATTGTTATAGCTACCATTTTTGTGACTTGCATTTGTCAGGCCGTGTTTGGTATCTGTAACACATTGTCACACTTTAGTGAACATTTACTACAAGATTTTGACATTTTTTATGTTAATGTGTGCTCACTTTTATATTGTTTGCATTTATTCAATCACCTAGGTAACTATAGTAACTGAATGCTGAAATACAAATAACAGAATTGTTTTCTCAGATGTAATGTGTTACAAGTAAAAAAGAACAAAAAGATTAAACAAAGATCTATGACGTTTTGGAAATGTGATTTGAAATCAGCAGCTGTAATAGCAAAACTTTTTATTGAAGACTCTAAAATCAGATTTATTAATATGAGAAATTATTTCTTTTCAGAATTTTATTTCTCATCCTTGCTGTCAGATGGCGCTGGGTGGGGAATGGAAGCGGGGACTTTTGAACCCTGGGTGGCAGGTATGTAAATTACCATTTTTGTTTGTTGTAAAATTCCATTTTAACGAGGGCTAGCAATAATTTCTAGACTTGTGCACTTCATAAACAAATCATGTCATAAATATAACTTAAAGGAAAAAGTTATTGAGATTTTTAACCAGATTAAAAGAATCTGCCACAATTAAGCCTAGCCAGCAGTATATTAAAGCATATGTCTTCATCAGAAATACTAGTGAATAAAATAGTAGTGAATAAAATAACTATTATTAGTAAAACATTCATGGCTCCTTGGAATTACTGTCCTCATAATTTTTTCAAGGAACCTATGGACTATGGGAGAACTAATCTCTAGCGTACAAGTTCTCTTAAAACCTGTAGCTATGTAGCTAACCTATCCACTTGAGCATTATAATGATAAGCTATGATATTTCTATTCCAGATCGTATTGTTTCTCTTCCTGCCATTCTTAATTCCTACAAAACTAGTCCAATTCATGGAAGATGTCAACAAATTGATCCGTGAAAATAAGCTTGATAACTACAAGAAAGAATATCAAGCAGACGTAAACTGTTGCATTATGGGATTTAAGAAGTGGTACAAATTCTACCAGACACCATTTGTGAAATTCACAGGACATGCGGTAAGTTAAATTTGGTGTCTGTAAATTTTCAGGATAAAACTGTTGCAAGGTAATTAGGGTTACAAATTCAAGCAAAGATTGCTACATTAATTAAAAGGACTAGATGGGATATATACACATAGAGATTTTGAGTTTTGAAAAAAATTGAAGTTTGATAGCTTTATAACCAATACAAGGCCTCATTATTATTAACCTGTGACTTTTTCCCTTTCAGATCTGCCATGTCGGGTTCATTATTTTGATGTCATTTTTCATACTTTTTGACGTTAACCCGTACACACCATCTTTTACTGAATACTTGATCTTTGGTTGGATTGCAACGCTTGTTGGAGAAGAAATCAGACAGGTACATTCAATATATATCAGGCCTTTAGCCAAGATTGGCCAAAGGAGGTTCACTTAAAAATTCTAGGGGGTTCTATTTTGACAAGTTGGGTCAAAATCACATGATGACTGCACGATTTTGAAAGAGTTTCTTTTGGTCAGGAGGGTGGAGGCACCAAACCATCCGAATCCCCCTTGCTACAGGCCTGTATATGTTAAAGAAATAGTTATCTTTCGTGGCAATAAGTAACACATTTCTCAGGATAAACGACTTGACATTTTTTTCTTTGACTGCATACTGTATAGTTATTGGACATGCTAGGTTTTTTAGGCAGTCATTTTTCGTGTTAAGGTACTATATTGTTCGCTGTGTGCCTTTTTATTTTACAATTCTAGCTTGAATATTAAAGAAGTTGACCTATTTGAAGATTTATACAGTATATTGAGGACACATTACACATAAATCAAATTTAGACAAGGAAACAATTTTTCAACATGTAAACAAATATGCCATTATGCAAATACATCTAATAGGTACAGATTATTGTACTTATAAGCATAGCACATATAAGACATGATAAAATACAATCTGATTAATGATTACAACTCAGCCAGCCATGTTATGATATATAATTGCTATATTTTAACCAAGTGGCTACAGTATGTTATATTGGTGTTTAATGAATTATGTATGAATCAACTTAACAAAACAATAAACATGCTAAGATCATTAGGTCTTATTTAATAATCTCTCATGAACAATTTAAAATGCATTTATATAACACTGGTTATATCATTACTGATTTTTTCTGCTCATTTAAGCTGGAAAACGAAGAACTGCTCATTTAAGCTGGAAAACGAAGAATATTTGTTACTTTAGTAAGTCCATAGACATTTGTTACAAATGACACTTGAAAAGAACCTGTTCCATAGTCAGCATGTGTGAGTGTGCCACATCCTCCATGAGCTTTCAAAGGGTCAGAATGGGCATGGATTATAGTTAAACCATCCACTGAACAGCGCCTTGGTGTCTTAATAATATAATCTCCATATACTAAAGCATCTCCGGGATAAAGTTCCCTGTTATAGGTGCCTCCTGGTGTAAGTTTTCTGTGTACTATTATTGCAAATGCAACTTCGAGTACTTCTGGTGGGTTCCTGTAGTAGTGTGCCTTATTTCCCTTTGACTCCATTATCAAACGATAGGGACCTTCTCTAAAATTGACAGTTGTCATTATGAAAGTGAAATCCCCGAATGGTACAGCCACTCCATTGTAAATCTGACCATCAGTTATCAAGTGACTCACATCTATTCCATACCTGATCTTGAAATAATCTAGTGCTTTCCTTCCTATGGAATAAAGATCATTATATGTTAAAGAACATAAGTCAAAGATTAATGAATTGTTGATGATTTAAACTATGTATGTCTTGTATGAAGACTTTGAATAAGGGTTGCAGGATACAAGATATGAGTGGATTAATTCATCTACAATTCATTGAGACAATTAAAGGGCTTTAATTCTTTTCACACGATGCAAAATATTTTGTACAGTATCACTTAAAGAATAATTCTTTTCTTGTAAAGACACTTTTTGCAAGGGTTTTGTAAAGTTTGACATTTTGACCTGCATAAGCACTTGCATTGCTATTATTTATGATGTTATTAATAGGTTTTCACTCAAATGTCAATTTGAAATTGAAGAGAGTAATCATCTTCACTTTCCACTGGGTCTATGTAGAGAGGTGCGGAGCAAGTGAAATTGACACAGTTGTTTATAACTCAATTGTTTCGCACAGCTGTATTTCACACATAATTTTGTGGTATAACCAAAATATATCTTAATTTTTGGATTAAAATCTTGCCTGCGGGCAAAAAAGCATGTACAAAAATGCAGCCTGAATCTCCAAATAACCATGCACTCTGTTGTACAATAAAGAATGCAGATTATTGGAAATACTTTGTTCTGGTTTGCTAGATTTTGATATATCACACTTAACTATGTGTGAATTAGATATTGAAAGTGAATATGTTTTTGAATTCAAAGATAATACCTTCACGTATAACTTGGCTCCTCGTTGTTCTTCCTGCCAACTTATGAAACTCAATGTATGTATCAGGCCATGGTTGTCTTTGGGTGATAAATACCTTGTATTCCCCAACAAAAACAAATATTCTCTCATACTTCTCAACATGTGTTGTACTATTTACTACACAATTTCTGTTGTATCCTATTCTTCCATGACTTGTTGGTAATAATGAACTGCTCAGAACAAGAACAAGTATCTCGATGTACCTGAGAAAAATTAGTCATTTATTTTATTTAATCAATAAAAGTTTGTCTGCTGATAAGATTTTACACCGTTGATCTGTATTTAGATTGCTCTGAAAAGATTTGGAAAATATATAGTCTCTCCAGGCCCTTGGGAAATATCATATTGTCCCTTGGAATAAAACCCATATTGAATCCCTCTCTGTAAACCCCCTCTATCAAATGTTTTGTACAGTTGTGCCATTTCAATGTTTATGTAATCTCATATGTAATTAGGCATCAAGAGAGATGTTACAAAAAAGAAATAAGAACCCCTTTCCATACAAGAAGCAAATAAAATAATCTTACCCTATTTTGCACATGCTCCTATGGAATGCTCCTGTTTTTTACTTGGTGATATTGGTGTGATGAACAATTGATTTTAGTAAATATATAACATCAACTTGAATTATTGACACTGACTTTATGCTCACTTAACTTTGCTGATTAAACAAATGAACAAATGTTGATAGATTGTTATCTAACCATAGTTCAATGATATCAAAAAGCATCTATTGTCATCAATTCATCTGTCCATTTATTTATTTGTCTGTATGTCTGGACAATTGCTTAAAATGGTTGATAAGATGTGTTCAAATTTTTATGGGCTTTTGCCTTACTGGCATAGGACCTTTGTTTGAGAAAGAATTTCAAATAAGGTCACTCAGATCAGTATGACCAATATGGAGACACTCTATATATCAAAAGTTATAATATACAACATAACAAGCACCATCTGATAATACCAAATATGAAAATACATTCACCGATGTACTTTTACATCCCAATTGATTTTTATTTGGCTTCAAATTATGATATTTCAATTTGTTTGATTTTTTTTTGATTTATTCTAAATGTTCATGTAAGGGAACATAAAACTAAGAATCTACTTCTTATGGCCTTACTAGAAATGAGAGTATATGTCATAAATGCTACTAAATACTACAGGGTGTGCCAAAAAAATTTGCAAATTTTTTAATAGGGTGGAAAAGTATCATAACATTTATGTATTGCCATAAAAAGTTATCTACACAAACTTAGAATAGGCAGATTTTTACATGTCATCAATTCAACAAAGGCATCCTCCTAAGCAGGTGTCCAGAATCCGTACCTCCTTCTTCCCCCTGCTATAAGCAGTTAGCATTTCCCCAATTAAGAACTCGCAATTTGATTCGCTGTCGCAACACTGCGACAGAAATCATGTATACGTCATTGGCGCATAATTAGGGTCATGTGATTCAGTTTAATTGGGGTCATCCAACTTGGTTATAGCAGGTGGTAAAAAGAAAGAAGATATTCTGAATTTTGAAGCCCTGTAATCGGAGGATGAAAGATTGGATAAGGTTTATTTCTTGCATGTTAACTGATTCCCAATTTATAACATGTGATAAAATATATGTATAGTAACAAACTGATATGTAATGATTATCAACTGATTAACGGTAACAACTCAGCCATGTTCGGTTATGATATATGACTGCTATATTTTACCCCAGTGGGCTCTAGACTGTGTTATATTGGTGTTTAATGAATTATGTATGAATCAACAAAACAATATACATGCTCATATCATTATTTCTTATTTAATAAGTTTGACAATTTAAAAGCTATTTATACAATGCCGGTTATACAGGGTGTTAAAAAATGCAACCCAAAGAAATCGCTATATCTTGAAAAATACTGGTTCAATTATGTTCATATTTTCAGGAAATAAAGAAGAGACTGTGTATGTATAGCCTCTGTAAATAGTTAGTTGTAAAACATGATGCCTTGGACACCTGCTCAAAAGACAGTTGTACTAGGAAAATACAAAAAACACAGTCAGGGGTGACTGCAAAGGGAAAAAAACTAAATAACTTCCTAACCATAGTGTTTTGGCTCTTCAAATTTCATCATCTTCATTTACTGTATGGTGAATCTGTAGAGGGAAATCAAAATCACTTCAGAGACTTTACAGTCATGGTCAAATCGCAGTCAAACGCCCTGGTTCAGGGAGATTTAAGAAGGCATTTTGACCATGACTGTAAAGTCCCTGGAGTGATTTTGATGAAACTCCACAAATTCACCACACATTGAATGAGGATAATTTGTGCCAAATCTGAAGTGCCAAAACACTATGGTTAAAAATTTATTTGGTTTCATTGCTGTGGCAGTCACCTCTGACTGCGTTTTCATATTTTCCTTGTACAACTGTCATTTGAGTATGTGTCCAAGGTATCATGTTTTACAACTTACTGACAACAGGAGCTATAGACACACAGTCTCTTCTCTCTTCTCCTGATAAAATGAACGTAATTGAATTAATATTTTCCAAGATATAGTTATTTTCCATTCACGTTTTTCGTATTTTGCCAGTACATCTGTATTTTGAGCAAGTGTCCAAGACATCATGTTTTACAACTAACTAACAACAGGGGCTGTACATACACAGTCGCTTCTCTCTTCTCCTGATAAAATGAACGTAATTGAATTAATATTTTCCAAGATATAGTTATTTTCCATTCACGTTTTTCGTATTTTGCCAGTACATCTGTATTTTGAGCAAGTGTCCAAGACATTATGTTTTACAACTAACTAACAACAGGGGCTGTACATACACAGTCACTTCTCTCTTCTCCTGATAAAATGAACGTAATTGAATTAATATTTTCCAAGATATAGTTATTTTCCATTCACGTTTTTCGTATTTTGCCAGTACATCTGTATTTTGAGCAAGTGTCCAAGACATTATGTTTTACAACTAACTAACAACAGGGGCTGTACATACACAGTCGCTTCTCTCTTCTCCTGATAAAATGAACGTAATTGAATTAATATTTTCCAAGATATAGTTATTTTCCATTCAGGTTTTTCGTATTTTGCCAGTACATCTGTATTTTGAGCAAGTGTCCAAGACATCATGTTTTTCAATTAACTAACAACAGGGGCTATACATACACAGTCGCTTCTCTCTTCTCCTGATAAAATGAACGTAATTGAATTAATATTTTCCAAGATATAGTTATTTTCCATTCAGGTTTTTCGTATTTTGCCAGTACATCTGTATTTTGAGCAAGTGTCCAAGACATCATGTTTTTCAATTAACTAACAACAGGGGCTATACATACACAGTCACTTCTTTCTTTCCTGAAAATATGAACATAATTGGATTAGTATTTTTCAAGATATAGCAATTTCTTTGGGTTGTGTTTTTTTAACACCCTGTATTATTACTGGTTCTTGTGGTAATTTTAATTAGCTGGGAAACGAAGAACGTTTGTTATTTTAGTAATTCCATCATCATTTGTTACAAATGACACTTGGAAAGAACCTCTTCCATAGTCAGCATGTGTGAGTGTGCCACTCCCTCCATGAGCTCTCAAAGGGTCAGAAAGGGCCTGGATTATAGTTAAACCATCCATTGAACAGCGCCTTGGTGTCTTAATGATATAATCTCCATACACTAAAGCATCTCCAGGGTAAAGTTTCTTGTTATAGGTACCCCCTGATGTGAATTCACTGTGTATTTCCATAGCAAATGAAACTTCGCCTACTTCTGGAGGGTTCCTGTAATAGTGTGCCTTATTTTCCTTCGTTTCAATTATCAAACGATAGGGACCTTTTTCTAAATAAACAGATGACATTGAGAATGTGTAATTCCCTAGTGGTACATTATCTCCATTGTAAATCTGAGCATCAGTTACTAAGTGACTTACAGCTATTCCATACCTGATCTTGAAATAAGCTAGTGCTTTCCTTCCTATAAAGAACATTAATATTTGTACATTAAAAGATTTAAGCCCAAGACTTAATGAGTTGTAGATGATTTAAAGCATGTACATGTTGTATCAAGACTTTAAATGAGGGTGCCAGCCTCAATTCAAAGTCTAGGATATAAGATATGAGTGTATTAAATCACCCATTATTCAAACAGTCATGTGCTGTCATTCAGCATGGGTTTAAAATCATGCTGAATGACTGAATTATTGACATTTGTTTGGGTTACCTGTTTTTGGCTCACCCTGTAAGTGAATATGATTTTGATTTCAAAAATAATACCTTCTTGTACGATCTGGCTCCTTGTTGTTCTTCCTGCCAAGTTATGAAACTCAATATATGTCTGTGGCCATGGTTGCTTTTTATAGACAAATTTCTTGAACTCCCCAACAAACACAAATACTCTGTCATATTTCTCAACTTGTGCTGTACTATTTACTACACACTTTTTACTGTATCCTATTCTTCCATGACTTGTTGGTATTAATGAACTGCTCAGAACAAGAACAAGTATCTCGATGTACCTGAGAACAGTTAGTAATTTATTTTATTGAATCAATAGTGTTACGTACGAAAATAACAGAAAGTAAAAACAGCAATTAAAATATGATAACAATATATTTATACTTTGAAAACTAAATAATATAACAATAATATAAAGGAGGTTTAATACTTAAGTGATGTCCAATCAATGGTACGGCTTATTCTTGATGTCGATAAATGTCGTTGACGATCCTTGAGAATGATCCAGATCACGAAATGTTTCAATAATCGTTAATAGTTCTCCAATGTTTGTAATAATCCAATAATGTTTGTTGTAATCCTATAATGTTCGTATCCAATAATGTTTGATGATAATCCACAAATGTTTGATGATAATCCACAAATGTTTATGATAATCCACGAATGTATATGATAATCCGTATATAGTGTGTGTTGAAATATATGTCCATATGAAGTCCTCAGGTTGTATGTTTGTAGTGTTATAAATGTTCCCACAGTAGGTGTCTATAATATTCCGCTAAGAAGATGTCCTTTTGATAAACTTTGAAATTCTGCTCTATATAGTTCCTTTGAGATGTCCAGTTGATGACTTATAATTATCTGCTACTGAGTCCACTTTGCAGTTTTATTTATAGTGTGAAAGAATCATCTAGAAAGAATCTTCTGGAACTGAGACTACTTGTTGAGTTTTGATTGGACATCTCCAGTCACATGATTAAGTCTTAATGAATGGTTATATTTTCTAGAACTCTCTGGATGGTCAAGGGTTAATGAATCATTCAGTTCAGTTTTGTTTACTAGATACAGTGTATAATGTCATTGTGACCTTGACCAAAGATCTCTAATAAAGAATAGCTCAACATATACAGCAAGCATACATTACAAATTAAACTATAGGTGAATATAGTAGAATATAATATACATGTAGCTCACTACTGTAACACCTCCCTCCTTAAAAGAAAAGTTTTGAATACAATGAAAAACTTTTACAATAATATCTTGAGTAGCGAGCATTACAATTTCTAAAAGTGAGGTTGAGACTTACATAATATTTGTTTACAATAGTCTTTTTATATGCAGTATGTTTACAAGTATATAGTACTTTCTATCGTTACAGTGTGAGTACAATCTAATAACATATAATGTTTTGTAATAATGTATTACAATAGTATCATACTACAATGGTATCAAGCTAAGTTATGCATCAAGTCATAAATACAATACATGCAATAGATCATATAACATATACAATAGCATACATTTTTGAGTCTGACAAACACAAAACTAGTACAATGTTTTAAATTATCACATGATCTTATGTAACTATTTCTACTAGTACAATCTGATGTTATTTAGTAATCTTGTGACACTATTTAATGATCACCTATAATGCTCACATAATCTTGATACAATCTTATAGTTCATATAATATCAATTTCACTGTTTAGGCAAATGTTTTTATATACAGTATATAAGTGACAGTTATCTCAAATCTCCAATTTGCCTATCATATAATATAATCTTCATGAGTTAATCATTATAGTTTACACTATCTGACTCTTCAATAACATTCATGTACAGTTGTCATTGACATACAAGTTTGGCCTACGAGCTAAGAGCACAAGCTCATGTTGAGTAAAGAAATTTTATCACGCTCAACATACTTTTTCATCATGTGTAGCTCTCTACACCTCACAGGGGCAGCTTTATCAATGCAAATGAAATCATTCAGCACTGAGTCAGATTGTAAGTCAGATGTGAGCTCCTTTGGTAGCTCAACTAATGTGGAATTGTTGATTTGTGTTTTCACAATATACTTGGTTTTGTTATTTCTAAGCATAAGGTGTGATTTTATTTCTAGAAACTGTGTGGCCATAGACGTAATAGTGAGCAGATATTGATTATCAGATTTTGTTTTTGGTAATGGACCAACACAGTCAATAAGAACCTTACTGAATGGTTCATCAAATGCAGGTATAAGTTGTAAAGGAGCAATTGATATTTTCTCGTTAGGTTTCTCTACCATTTGACATGTATGACAAGACCTACAATACTCTTGGACATCTTGTTTTAATTTGGGCCAATAGAAATGATTGAGTATTTTATGGTATGTTTTAGTTACTCCTAAATGACCTGCCATGGGAGAATCATGAGCTAGACTCAAGATTTCCTTATGATACGATTTGGGGACAACAATTTGATGTACAATTGCCCAATCATCTTCAGGGGAAGCTTCAGGAGGTCTCCACTTTCGCATTAATATGCCATCCTTTTTGTAGAAACAAACAGGGACCTTGACAGCTTCATCAATAGTAAGACATCTTTTATGAAGATCAATGAGTGATGGATCATGCTCTTGTTCATAAATTAACATGTGTTTAGAATGAGGATCATTTTTCAAAGAATCACTATCAGAAATAGAGGATGAAACCTCAGAACTAGAAGAGGATGAAACCTCAGAACAAGGAGGGGATGAAACCTCATGAACACTAGCAGAAGAAGATGAAACTTCATCAAGACTAGCAAGAGCGGGCGAAACCGCATTAAAATAGTGATCCTGCTCAGAAGGTGAATCACCTCTGGCAATAGGCTTTTTCAATGAAGAATTTGCCTCAATAGTTGACTGCTTGGCTCGAACAGAAGGCTGTTTCAATGAAGAATTTGCCTTTAAAATAGGATAAGGACCATCTTTAACAAGTGGTGAGTGACATTCATCATCAAACAAGGAGCTTAAAAACCCACTATCAAAGTCATCTCCCACAGACGAATCCCCGCTATCAGCTAACCTTTTAGCCATAGCCCTAGTAACAGCACAAGCAGGATATATATCTGAGTCCTCTTGGACAGAATCCTCAATAGAACAAGGCTGATCTGAAACAATGGGGTCTAATGATACCTTACCCCCAGCTAAATCATTGCCTAAAAGCAATGCGACTCCTTCAACAGGAAGTTGTGGCCTAACACCAACAATAACTGGCCCTTTGACTAACTCTGATGTGATATGAATACGATGGAGGGGAACTTTAGTAAAACCTAATTCAATGCCTTGCATCAAAATATGGGTACCTGTGAATGACTCCTCAGATAAAGGAAGGACACCTCCTAACAACAAAGTCTGTGATGCACCCGTGTCTCTAAGAATCTTAACAGGCTTTGAATTGGTATCATCACTTGAAAGTGACACAGATCCTTCAGACATGAAAGGCTTATAATCCTCCATAATATCACTATGAGTAGATTTCTCAGTATGAGTATATGAATCCCAAACAATGGGCTTTCTTGAAATGGGAACAGTAGCACAACCATTTGAATGAGCAGAACCAGACATCTCTCTTCTATTCTTAATCCTATAGCATTCAGAAATAATGTGACCAGGCTTTTTACAATAATTACAGGTGACATTTGATGTTGGACCTGACGATTTTGATTGATCTGATTTTGAGCTAGAACTCTGTGATGAATTAGACTGGTCTTTTGCTTTGTTTGATGTATTTGATGATGAGGACTGATTTGATTTTGTATCATATGAAGGTTTGTTACCTTGATAACCTCTAAAGTTAGGATTACCTTTGATAAAACTACCCTTATGAGTTAGAGCATAATCATCAGACAGGGTGGCAGCTTGACTTAAAGTTTCTACCTTGTGTTCATCTAAATAAGTTCTAATGTGATATTGAACACAGTTTTTGAATTGTTCTATTAGCATAAGCTCTCTGAGCTTTTTGAACTCTTCAGATACATCTTTAGAGACAAGCCACCTGTCAAAAAGCTGCTCTTGCTCTCGAGCAAACTCAACATGGGTTTGGTCACTCTGTTTGTGGGCATTTCTAAATTTTTGTCTGTAAGCTTCTGGCACTAGTTCATAAGCTTTAAGAATCGCATTTTTAATAAGGTCATAATCAGAGCATACTTCTGCTGAGAGAGAGGCAAATATTTCACTTGCTTTACCAATGAATACACTCTGAAGCATAACTGGCCATGCTGATTTAGGCCAATCGAGGCTTTGAGCGACTTTTTCAAAATGCGTAAAGTATTTATCAACATTTTTCTCCTGAAATTTAGGTACAAATTTGAGAAATTTTGAAGCGTCAAATCTATTTTCAAAATGTTGATGCATAGTAGCATGTTCATCAGTTTTAGATTGAGCTTCTATTTCCAAACGTTTTAATTCAATTTCTCTTTGAATTTCTTGTTCTCTCATTTGTCTTTCATTTTCTCTTTTTTCTCTTTCATTTTGCATTTCTAACTCTTTTTCTCTTAATTCTTTTTCATTTTGCAACTCTTTTTCTCTCCTTTCATTTTCAAGCTCTTTTTCTCTTATTTCAAGCTCTTTAAGCCTTATAGGATCTACAGGCTCAACATGCTGGACTGGCTCTACAATAAGCTTTAATGCTTCTTCTGGTAATATTTCTTCCGCTACCAAATATGGTACCAGAATATTTTTTATTGCACCTTTTCGGTATGAAGTTTTTACTGCCAAACCAACATGTTTTGCTAGTGCCAGAAGTTCAGTTTTCTTTAACTTGTCAAACTCCTCCAAAGAGGGCGCTTCTAAAAATGTCTCAACCTCAAAACTCATTTTTGATTAATTGCTGTCTTCACAATTTAGATATACAATTTTGGAATTTTGAATTTTATGAATTTTAGCTTGTTGTAGTTGTATCCCGGACGAGCCCCCAATTTCTGTTACGTACGAAAATAACAGAAAGTAAAAACAGCAATTAAAATATGATAACAATATATTTATACTTTGAAAACTAAATAATATAACAATAATATAAAGGAGGTTTAATACTTAAGTGATGTCCAATCAATGGTACGGCTTATTCTTGATGTCGATAAATGTCGTTGACGATCCTTGAGAATGATCCAGATCACGAAATGTTTCAATAATCGTTAATAGTTCTCCAATGTTTGTAATAATCCAATAATGTTTGTTGTAATCCTATAATGTTCGTATCCAATAATGTTTGATGATAATCCACAAATGTTTGATGATAATCCACAAATGTTTATGATAATCCACGAATGTATATGATAATCCGTATATAGTGTGTGTTGAAATATATGTCCATATGAAGTCCTCAGGTTGTATGTTTGTAGTGTTATAAATGTTCCCACAGTAGGTGTCTATAATATTCCGCTAAGAAGATGTCCTTTTGATAAACTTTGAAATTCTGCTCTATATAGTTCCTTTGAGATGTCCAGTTGATGACTTATAATTATCTGCTACTGAGTCCACTTTGCAGTTTTATTTATAGTGTGAAAGAATCATCTAGAAAGAATCTTCTGGAACTGAGACTACTTGTTGAGTTTTGATTGGACATCTCCAGTCACATGATTAAGTCTTAATGAATGGTTATATTTTCTAGAACTCTCTGGATGGTCAAGGGTTAATGAATCATTCAGTTCAGTTTTGTTTACTAGATACAGTGTATAATGTCATTGTGACCTTGACCAAAGATCTCTAATAAAGAATAGCTCAACATATACAGCAAGCATACATTACAAATTAAACTATAGGTGAATATAGTAGAATATAATATACATGTAGCTCACTACTGTAACAATAGAAAAAAGGTTTGCCTGCCGATTAGATTTTACATCATTGATCTCTTAAGATTTGGAAAATATAAAGTCTCTCCAGATCATTGGGAAATATCATGTTGTCCCTCGGAATAAAACCCATGTTAAATCCCTCTATAAATTTTTATTTTATCCAATGTACAGTTGTGCCATTTCAATGTTTATGTATTCTCATACGTGTCATATGTAGTTGGGCATCAAGAGAGGTGTTACAAATTTAAAAAAATAAGAACCCCTTTCATTACAAGAAGCAAATAAAATCATCTTACCCTATTTTGCACATGCTCCTAGTCCAACAGAATGCTCCTGTTTTTGACTTTGTGATATTGAAGTGAAGAACAATTGATTGTAGGAAATATAAACATCAACTTAAATTATTGACACTGACTTTATGCTCACTTAACTTTGTTGATTAAACAAATGAACAAATGTTGATAGATTATTATCTAACAGTAGTTCAATGATGTCAAGAAGCATTCATTGTCATAAAGGACGATTCTCGGTTTGGAGAACAGTCTCCTGGGCTAATAATTTTTTTCATGAAAAATATAGAAATATTACCCAAATTAAACTATGAATATTCAAAAGAGGACATTTAATTCTACAAGATGTAAAAATAACAAATTGGTCTGAAGCAGGGATAACGCTCAATTAGACCGATTCAATAAAATACAAGTCTCGATTTGGGGAAAGAAGTTCATCAGTGTACTGCGCTAATATTTTTTTTGCGAAAAATCAAGAAATATTACCCAAATTAAATTATGACTATTCAAAAGAGGACATTCAAATATATATTATGTAAAAAAATCAAATTTGTCCGAAGCAGGGATAATGCTCATTTAGATTGATGAACTTCGTTCTCCAAACCGAGAATCGTCCTTTATCTGTCCATTTATTTATTTGTCTGTATGTCTGGACGATTACTTAAACTCAAAGGCAAAGGCCGATAGGAATAATTTTTAAATAAAGATGGCATGGAAAAGATAATACTGGATTCTGTTGGTGCTGCAATCTTTTTATCGGCCCAGGACCTATGCTTAAACTGGTTTACATATGTGTTCAGATTTTGTAGGATTTTGCCTTACTGGACTTTTTGTTTGAGAAGGAATTCCGAATAAGGCCACTCAATTCAGTATGACCAATATGGGGACGCTCTACATATCAAAAGTAACCATATGTATAGGACATAAATAGTACCATCTGACAATGCCAAATTAGTCTAAATTGCCTTCATTTTTATGTCACCACCACAAGTGAATATGCCATGTCAAGAAATATGTGATTTTAAAGATTGGATAAAGTTTATTTCTTGGGAAATATCTATAGCCTCTAAACTCTCCCAACTCATAAATAATTTTATTTTAGATTGCCACCTCCTATGCACAAGGCTTCAAAGGCAAAATGACAAGATGGTTTTTCGACCCTTGGAACATCATGGACCTATTAGCGCTTCTCCTGTTCCTTCTGGGGTTCTCACTAAGAGTGACGATCGTCATTGATCCTGGGAATGTTAACCACGAACTGATTGTTAATGTCATGAGGACGTCTTACTGTTTGAGTTGTCTGGTTTGGTATATGAGGATCTTGAATATCTTCCTTGCCAGTAGCTACTTTGGACCAAAGTTGATCATGATCACCAGAATGGTAATTATTTGTTTTGTGTAGGATTTGATTTGTCTTTTTTATATTGCCCAACAAATTAAATAAACTAAGACAAGAGTGGTAAAATTAATTCCCTGCATGTATATTTTTTTAAACACAGGACCCAATAATATGGCCGAAAAGAAATAAATGATTTGATATGTCTAAATGTACAGTTCATAGTTAGAATATTGCAGTTGAAAAACTTTTTAAATGATCTTTTAACTGGCAATGACCTCTGATTTGCAGCTACTGGAGGTGATCAAGTTTATGATAATCATGGGAGTATTTGTGATATCTTATGGAGTAGCAGCTCAGGCCTTGCAGCATCCAAGCAGGACGCCATATTGGAATATATTTCGTGACATCATCTATATGCCATATTGGCAGATATATGGGGAGTTGTTCCTTGAAACAGTAGTGGATGGTATGTAAGATTTTGGTCAGGTTCCTGCAGATAACTCTAACCTTTTACTTTTGAACTTACGAGAGATTAGGGTGGGAGGGGTATAGGAGTTGAGATACACAATACTTATGGTATATAAGGCCCTTATGATAAAATATCCGTTTAGTGGTGATTCCCCATACTAAAATCTCTTTGATGAATCCTTTCTCTTTCTTTGATTTGTCTTTTACAATTTGTCTATTATCTGACTCACTCAAAGATTTAGTTTTATTTAAAGATCATAATCAAGTTGATTAAATATTGTATGATGAAATGTTTGAATAAATTGAATTGAATTGATATATTTACTGAATGTCAGTATAAACGCCTAGCTAGATGTATGTACGTGTATCGATTCAATGCTATTCCTTTAAAGCATGAATAGCAGTTTCTAACCCATTTATAACTTGGAGTTTTGCATTGTTATTTCCTTGACTTATAGCTCAGAAGGAGGGTTGTAATGGCACCCAAGTATTGAGCTCAACAGGGGATTGGTGTCCACAGAAACACTGGCTGGTTGACCTTCTCCTAGGCTGCTACTTGCTCATAGCAAATGTATTGCTGCTGAATTTACTCATTGCCCTCTTCAGGTATTTTCCTCGACAGGTTTTGATTCTATTCAAAGATTTCAATTTTTATTAATCATTAGTGTATTCATACATGGCTAGCCAGTAGCGATGCATTACCACTTGCTGAGTAATCAGGGAGTAGTATAGCCATGCTATACTAGACAACAAAGCATGGGAAATAAGGGAAAGCCACAATTATGGAGAACATTGACTTTGTGCATTGTCAATCTATATTTGTTTAGTTTTTGGCCATACCCCATGTCACTTGTGTAAATAAACATAACTCGATTCCTCTTCATACAAAATGAGTGAAAACTATTTTTCCAGTAACGTCTACAACCACGTTGAGGAGAATGCAGGGCAGTATTGGAAGTCTGCAATGTACACTCTAGTACAGGAGTACAAGCACAAACCTGCACTAGCGCCACCTTTTATTGTCTTTGAACACATCTTCCTACTCATCAGGGCAATATGGAGAAAATGTACAAATGTAAAAGGTACATGTATGCTCATAGTTGATAATTCATTGTTTATTGGAAATCACTTTTTCATGAGTTTTGCAAATAAAAGTAGTAAATTCTGCAAGTAAAAGAGGTTAATTTTGCATGAATCTGTGGAATTTTAGTTTATAGCAGGAGCACAGATTAAGTGCAGCTTTAAAACATAGGTCTGGGAAAGCAATTTTGATATATTTCAAAATCATGTATTTTGTGTTCTATCCATTTTTTATTCATTGTTTTGATCTTTATTCAGGACAAAATAATTGATATTCCAGTACATTCAGTATGTTATAATTAATCATTTTTATATCATTATTGATTTTAGAAAAACATGGCAAAGTGTACACAAGAAAGTTCCACCAAACATTGCTTCATTTTGAGGCAGATGCCATGGAAGATCTCATCAAAGCTGAAGAGAAGAAAGAACAAGAAAGTGTAGAGATTGTGTTAAACAAGATACATGAGGGGTATGTGAACAAAAAACATTGGATTGTTAGTTTAGTGCCATTTTTTCTTGTTAATCCTGCCTATATATATATACAGTGTGTTTTCTTGTCTGTCAAAATTTTGTTAAAACAGCACTTTTGTAATGAGGGAAAAATATATGTTTGGTTTTTGATAATTTTCGCATTTGATAATCAACTTTAACCTCATATTGATTCATTGATATCATAAATAGATTGTATGATAACCTTTTTAACATTTCGTCTTTTAAGAGTATATATTTCCTATTAATATGGTCCATCACAAAAATAATTAATTTTCCAGCCAAAAGATGGTCTGCAGGGAGAAACAAGAGCAACAGGACAATGAGGCTAAAGCAAGGGCAGTGAAACAACAGGCCTACCTACGTAACACATCATCAAGTGACAATGATTCCGATTCAAAACAAAAGAAAAAACCAATGCTCATATCAGCACAATACTCAAGGCAAGAGGAGGATCTGGCCACTAAGTTTCAAAATCTCGAAGAAAAATTTGAATCTCTTGAAAAAACACTTCAGCTTTTAATGAAGAAATTATAAGCAGCTTTTGCTTGTGAGATATGTGCAAATCAACCTATGAAAGAACTCCAGCTTTTGTGAGGATAATATGTGTGAAACAGCTGTCATTAGGATAATATGTGTGAAACAGATGTTATAGGATAATATGTGTGAAACAGCTGTTATAGGATAATATGTGTGAAACAGCTGTCATAAGGATAATATGTGTGAACCAGCTATCATGAGGATAATATGTGTGAAACAGCTGTCATAAGGATAATATGTGTGAAACAGCTGTCATAAGGACAATATGTGTGAAACAGCTATCATAAGGATAATATGTGTGAAACAGCTGTCATAAGGATAATATGTGTGAAACAGCTGTCATAAGGACAATATGTGTGAAACAGCTATCATAAGGATAATATGTGTGAACCAGCTATCATGAGGATAATATGTGTGAAACAGCTGTCATAAGGATAATATGTGTGAAACAGCTGTCATAAGGATAATATGTGTGAAACAGCTGTCATAAGGATAATATGTGTGAAACAGCTGTCATAAGGATAATATGTGTGAAGCAGCTGTCATAAGGATAATATGTGTGAAACAGCTGTTATAAGGATAATCATAAAATGACAATCAGCAGCTAGAAGAGATGCTTCTTCTGCTAGCGTTATACCTGTAACAGCAATATATTTGTAGTTGTAACAGCAATGTAACAGCAATATTGCTGTAAAAATGTGAGACAAAACATGTGATCAAATCAAGTCATCTTCTGACTGAATGTACATAACTAGCTGCTGTAGAGAAATCTTTTATATTATTGTAATGAATTCCATTTATTTTTATATACTTTTATGCATCATATTTTTGCAATTTTGAAAACATTTACAATCATTTATGTCCAGACAATCCTACCAGCTAGCTGTAGAAACATAGACTCCTAATGAAAAAGTAAACTAATTGATCGTGGATGCAAACTATTTGACAATGCTAAGCTCCCATATAGAGGGACATTTGTCACTGGCCGGTGTTTGCTATTATAAAGGTTGAATCGAGGGACCAGTTGTCATGTTATTATTTCTTATATATGCTAAAAATAAGCTGGTCCAGTTTCTTTCAAATATATCCTAGCTTCTTTGGTGATGCGAAATGTAGCAGTTTTTTTGGAAAGGTATTATTGTTCATAGATCTGTGTAAATACATAGTATTATGTGATAGTTTTATATATCTATTATATTATAATCATATTGTTTGTACAATTGAATCTCTATGTGGCTATATTTTTTAATATGATTTGATAAAAATCAAAAAAGGAAGTAAAGCACATTCCCGATTTATGTTTCCATGCAAATATTGTAGGTCAATCTTTATGTCACCACCAGAAGGGGTGATTATAATGGTGTTTGGTGTTCAGCAGTTAGAGTTTAGTGTCTGTAACAAATGGCAGGTTGTGACATTTTGCGTTTTAATGCCTTGTTTTATTCTATTTTATGCAAGTTATGCTCTTGTTATTTGACAATCAATTATGAGATTTTTTATTATAACAGATGTATTATCAATGTTTAAACAAAGTGATATACAATGTTTTGAAACATTTCCAATAACATATGTACATTTGTAGATTCATAATTTTGTTTAAATCATACAAAGCAATCCGTGACAGACATATATTGATAATGTGTTTATGCATCAAATTATTTTGTACATGTTGCATTTGTTTGATTCATTATGTACAAATTAAGCTATTAGTCCAGAAATACAAAGATAAGTTTTGTGTAGAAAGTATTTTACTTTACTGTCAATATGAATTCTTACTGTCTACACTGGGTGAGTTTCATAGTTAAATCATTGAAAATGGTTAATGAAATTGAGTGAAGCATTTCTCAAAAATAACATCAGAGGAACTTCATTCTATAGTCATTTAATAATTATTAAGAAACTATATCTTAAAAATGATGTTTCTAAATCAGGTAGCAGTTATGAAAATTGCTGATTAAGCCTTTTTTAAGGGGTCCTCAAACAACCCTATGAGTAATTGGGGGCATTTTTTTAAAATTGACTTCCTAGTTGTAATCAAAAATTGCTGAGAAACCATTTCTAAAAATTCCTTTCGTTTCCAAATATAAGAAAAACCTGTGTGTAGAAATTTGGAAAAGATCGGATGAGCGATTTCCTGAAATGGTGAATAACAAGTTTTATTGAAAAAGTTTAAAATGGCCGCCAGAAAACAAGATTCAGCCATTTTTTAAAAAATAAATAAATAAAATGTTTTATACACACTCAATAGCAGCACTTAAATTAGCACCCATCGACCAAGTGATCATATATGATGTTCTTAACCTTACACCTCTATGTTTGCACAAAAGACAATGCATCTTAATTGTCTGTGTTTTGTAAGATAAGAACAGTGATACATCACCGCTGCATGAATGACAATAAAGCCAGAGTGACTGCTGTACCTAAGCAGAGTTTGAAATTTGAATTTTGAGTTCGAGTCTGAATTCGGTTGAAATGTCATTGTAACTTGTCATGACTTAAAAAGTTATTTGAAAAAAAATAAGTTCACAATTCATTCGAACAAAAAGTTTTAAAAACAACTTTTTGAAATAAAAAAAGTTTCTACATCTTCACTTTATAAAGAGGTATAAACTTTTCCAAGGGCCATTAATCAAAAAGAAATGGGTAGAGCTATTAATTTAAATGTTTAAATCTCAAAAAGTTACATTTACATTAAAAACAACTGCTTTCGAAAATAAATATTATCAATGATTTGAAATTAATTATTTCTGAAGTCAAATATTAACAAAATAACATGAACCTTACACACTAAGAATCAAGCAGGGTGTCTTTAAAATGTACGACTTCTGATCTAAAATCAAATCCTTAAAGTTACGGCGTCTAACATTCTTTTACTGGACTAGTTACATCAATACATGAATATTTATGAATAAAGCCAAAATTTGAGCACTTTGGACTTTGTAAAATATAAAGTGAGGCATTCTGATGTCAAAAATAGATACTCATGTGATAAAGAACATATATCATACATATAGAAGACAACACAACATATATGTTGTGTACAAGATAATACATTACTAGCTTTTGAAAATACAGTACATAAAGTCTAATAATATATAATATTTTAGATGCTACTTATGAAAAATTATGGCATCTAACACTGTATTACCAGTCTTTATTGGGCCATTTCCAGCTGAAAAACATCAGAAAGAATGTAATGAAATTTCCACAACAACAGAAGACCATTTAAGCAGATTTGTGAAATATATTGCTAAGAATGCAGATGTGAGAAATAGATATCCAGAGGATAAACTTCAAGAGCATATATCATACATAGAGGACAAAATACAAACCATTTGTGCAAAAGTTGGTGAATATGACTCTCGGTTGAGCTCATCTAAGATTGTGAGACAAGGAAGTAGCTATAAGGGAACTAAGATATTAAAGCCTGATGAGCTGGACTATATGCCAATCCTGGCAATGTTTAATAAAGAGACTGTTGTAGTGGAGGATGTGAAGGCGAATTGCCAGAAAAAAGACGAGGGATATGTTTATATCAAAGTGATCAATGCAGCTGTTAGGGACAATCTTTGTGACTTGTGTGAACAAAATCTAAGTGGGCCATACCATGAAGGTGATAGAACATTTTGCAGTGAATCATTACACCTTAAATGTGGTGAAATTACGGAAAGCGAAAGGGGATATACCGCAGAATTTAAAATTCAATGGAGTTTTAACATGGGGGTGATATCACACACCGCGGCCCAGTCAGATATATTTCTGCGCACTTTATTTATTTAATTCACTTTGCACAACGCGCCCCTTGTAATTCATTCAGTGCGCAATTAAAAATTGTTTATGAGTGATATCGCACAACGCGGCCCAGTAAGATCGATTTCTGCGCACTTTATTTATTAACACACTCAAAATATCGCGCTGAAGCTTGTATATGCTGGCGCGATGTAATTATAGTTTTCTGTTAATAAATGCCCAACAAGAAAGGTTAGCACAACGAAATCAACTTTTTTCGAAAGACTGCAGACTTGACCTGCGAAATTGTAATTTTGGATCACAGTGATGCCTCTAGAGAGGATATCTATGAGAATTACAGATTATAGTGCGCAGAATTATAAAGTCAAACTGACCTCAAAATGGTAGTACACAGTGTACACTGCCATCTTTCAATAAAGTAACTACAGACCTTCGTATACAAAATACCAGAATGATTGATGTAATACCTGTATAGCATTTCTTCTGGGAGAAGGAAAGTTCCTATATGTATTCCATGGCCGTAGCCAGGGGGCCTCACCCCCCTCCCCCTTGCCAAATATTCGTTCAAAATCATGCAGTTTTTCACCATTCTTAGCACTTTTCGCATGATTTTTTGTCAAAAAGCTCCCCCCTCTTGGCAAAATCTCCCCCTTGGTAAAACCACTCCCCCAGGTTAATCCAGGATACGGGTCTGTATTCTTAGACGAGATTGTTCAAGAACATAAGGTAGACATAAGTGCCACCTGTTAAAAGCTAGGAGATCTTTTCTAAGTTATTAAGTCATCAATCAGCAGACTCAGTGGTAATTGTATCCCCCACCCACTTCAAACTCCATACACTAACATACTATTACAATTTTATCTGTGTTTATTTGACTGTAGAAGGTGTACATTCATAGCATTGAATTGTATTACATTGCATTGTATTGTATTGTATAGCACATCATTGTATTGTATTGTACTGCATTTTATTGTATTGTACTGCAATGTATCATATTGCACTGCATTGTATTCTATTGCATTATATTGTACTGTATTGCACTGTATTATATTATATTGCACTGCATTGTACTTTATTGCACTGCATTGTATTGTACTGCAGTGTACTACATTGTATTGCGCTGCATTGTATTGTATTGCACTGCATTATAATGTATTGCACTGTACCACATTGTGTTGCACTGCATTGTATTACACTGCATTGTTTTGAATTGCACTGCAATATATTGCACTGCACCATATTGTATTGCATTGCATTGCAGTGCACTGCATTGTATTATATTGCACTGTATTGTATTGCATTGTCTTGAATTACACTGCATTTTATTACACTGCATTGTATTTTATTGCACAGCATTGTTTTGTATTGCACTGTATTGTATTGCATTGTATTGAATTGCACTGTATTGTATTTTATTGC